AGGTTTGGCGTCATCTGCTAGCCGACGCCTTACTCTTTCTCTATGTCTGTTCTCCAATAGAAGCTCCATAATCCTCAGGTAATCATCTAATAATATGCGTACGGAACATACCGATCAGCTTCCCCAGCTGCCCCAGAGCCGGCGGCGTTTCTTTTTCGTCGTCGGCTTCTGTTCTTCCCGTCTTTTCTCTTATTTCTCTCCCCTCCCTTCCTTTAAGTTCTATCCTTTCCTCGGTTTGACTCATTGAATTGAGCCAACTGATTCAGGTCCGACCATGTCGCGACCTCTTCCTGCGGTGTTCCGCCCATCTTGGGGCGGCGGAATTTCTCAGTCTCCGCCAACAAGAGAGCCATCGATAAAGTATGCGCGTCGGCTCAGGAAGCCATCAAGGACATGAAGGGTTCGTCTACTGTGCTGTGCGGTGGTTTTGGTTTCTCCGGTGTCGCCAATACCCTGATCAATGCTGTGCGTGATCGTCCCGATATCAAGGATTTGACTGTCGTCTCCAACAATGCTGGAATGCCTGGTGCTGGTTTGGGTAGGTTATTTGCCATCAGGTGAAGCAATTTGCTAGGGAAACGATGGCGCTGACATTCTCAGGCCAACTCCTCGAGTCTGGCCAGATTACCAAAATGATTGCTTCGTTCATCGGTGAAAACAAGGTCTTTGAAAAGATGTACCTGAACGGCGACCTCGCTCTGGAACTTACCCCTCAAGGCACTATTGCTGAGAAGTGTGCGGCTGGTGCAGCTGGTGTCCCTGCTTTCTACACTCCTGCGGCTTATGGAACAATTGGTAGGCTTTTGCTCTATGCGGCGGGTCCAAGGACATAGCTGACGATAACAGTGCAAACTGGTGAACTCCCCGTCCGTTACAACAAAGATGGTACGGTCAAGGAATACTCGAAACCCAAGGAAGTCCGGCAGTTCAACGGCAAGAACTATCTCCTGGAGGAATCCATTTTCGGCGACTACGCTTTGATCCGTGTCCACAAGGCCGACAAGCTCGGTAACTGCCAGTTCCGCAAGGCCATGAACAACTTCAACGAGGCCATGGCTAAGAACGCCAAGTACACTATCGTTGAGGCCGATCACATTGTCGAGGTTGGCGAGCTGTCTCCCGAGGAAATCCACCTGCAAGGCATCTACGTCAACAAGGTCATCCAGAGCACGGAAAAGACCATGATTGAGAAGCTCACCTTCGCCAAGGATCCTAGCGAGATGCTCCAGGCTGGTATGCATGCTTCTAACATCCTGATTCTATAGCTCCCTGCTGACTGCTCCAGGATCCGGCGAAGCTACCGCTCGTCGCGAACGCATCGTCAAGCGTGCCGCCAAGGAATTGAAGGACGGCATGTACGTCAACCTCGGTATCGGTATCCCCCTGATCGCCCCCGCATACCTCCCCGAAGGCGTCGAAGTCGTCCTCCAGGCCGAAAACGGCATCCTGGGTCTGGGCCCCTACCCCAAGCCCGGCGAAGAGGATCCCGATCTGATCAACCCGGGCAAAGAAACCGTCACCCTGAGCTCTGGCGCCTCCGTCTTCGGCTCCCACGAGAGTTTCGGTATGATCCGCGCTGGCCGCATCGATCTCACCATGCTCGGCGCCCTGCAGGTCAGCCAGTACGGTGACCTGGCGAACTTCATGCTCCCCGGTAAGGTCAAGGGTGTCGGCGGCGCCATGGACCTCGTTGCCAACCCCGAGAAGACCAAGGTGGTTGTGACCATGGAACACACCGATAAGAAGGGCAACCCTAAGATCCTTCCCCAGTGCACCTTCCCCCTCACCGGCCCTCGCTGTGTCTGGAAGATCATCACTGATCTGGCCGTCTTCGATGTCAGCCCAACCGAAGGTCTGACCCTGGCCGAGACCGCCGAGGGCGTGACTGTCGAGGAGATCCGTAGCAAGACTGCGGCTCCGTTCAAGGTCGCTGAGAACCTGGGAACGTTTTAAATGATGTATGCACGATTTCATTACCTGTAATCTAGAATTTATATCCATAGAGTTGAATGTCAGGATGCCTGTCTCATCTAGTGCATGTGTAGTATGACCCAGTGTCAGAAGATAACGGCGCATGGAAGTATATAGAGTGGTACATATGACCACAAGTGCGGAGATTCCATCAAATACCAGTAGACTAAAAAGGTGTCCGGACGTTGTCCTTCTTCCATATCCACAAGATATCCAACTTTTTGCTCCGAAGCGAACCAACTGGACCTCATCTTAGATAGTAAATGCATGGACTGATATCAATAGCTTCAACAATATCATACTATTCGGGTATATGAAGCGAGGAATTCGATTTGGGCCGCCGTAACAAGGCCGCTGACCTGAATGGAATTTTGATCAGGACTTTAAGCGGTGTAAATGCGCAGCATACTGAACTGCTTTTGCGTCACCTCGGAGGCTGACATGAACATCTCTGCGGCTGAACGAAGGCTTCAGTGATAGTTAGCTGTGAGTTTCTTTCGTCATTTCACCACTGGGATACTTGTGCTTCTGGCATCAGTGAGACGCCATGCAGTATCATCTGGTATCTCTTCAGTGCCAGTGTCTATGAAGAACCGGTCCCACCCAACTTTCGGCCTTCGGATTGCTGATCCACGTACTGATAATAGATTCCTCGGCTATCGGACAGTCCTTTGAAGCCGGGACGCCCGTGTTCAAAAAGATAGCCTGTTATGCTGCCAAATTGATGAAATAGCCCCTAGCTCTCACATGTATCTCTGCCACACTCTAGGTCCCGAGCATGGGGATCGTAGGCTGTATCCATGCTTATTCTGACCCCCTCCCCCTCCTGTACCGAGTGGTGCGAACGGGCTTGGTTCAAGCGTTGGATCGAAAAAAGCTGGTATACCACTTGATCGCTGACAGATATAGTGCATAACGGCAGTATCTTGTTAAAGCCATGTCTGTTGGTGCTTCAGCCGAGAGGGCCCATTCGTCTTCGGCAGGGATGGAGGCTGTTGTTGGTGCATTTGCTTTCTTTCAGGAGCTTGGATCTCAACAATAACCAAAGGATCAACTGGCTTATACCATTTCAGAATCTCCAATCCATCCTGCTTTGCTTGTTTCATGTCGCTCCACACCCGCAACAGAAAATTATGGACCCGTTTTCCATCGATCCGCTTTCCATCAATAGCGGATCTCAGATATCGCTAGGGGTGTTACTGAACCATGATGACGCCCAGGTCTTTCCCAATTCCCCTACCCCGGTTGTGGCCTGTCCGCACCGTCAACTATGCTGTGCGCTCCCGATGTGCTAGCTGCCTGCCGTATAATTGCTCGGAGGGATGCCACAAAGCATGACTGAGGGTGTCGCACTATTTGATACTCTTGCACTTCAACCCGGCAGCACCATCAGGAAATCGATTAGTGACTTCATTGCGCTGTGTCTGTTCGGTGGTCTCTTATCCAAAGCCACCCAAAGGGCATTTCCTTGCTATCTTAGGGCTGCTTCCTCGGGCTCGGTCATCCTTCATTGAAAGCTGCCTTTGTTGCAGAACCTGGGGAACGATATAGGCTGTCTTCTAACCCACTTCCAGTTTTTCTCTATGGAAGCCCTTGATGGTGGAAATGTCAGTGCAAGCATTTCGAGACTCGCAGGGTAGGAAGTCAAGGGTCGACTTACAAACAGCTGGGAATTGCTTCACATCGCAAGCAGGTGATTTTCAATCAGGTCGTCGAGGTAGACGGAGTCGAGAGAATCGTAGCTATGCTTGGATATATGTCCAAGATGAAGTCGAACGGGTCAACTTAGGAGATAGCATAGTAAACTCAACAAGAGCCAATGAAGACGAAAGACAGAAGAAGTGAAATGCTGCGGGAAAGAGTAAAGACAGTATTACTGTACGATACCGAATGGCATCACATTTACTGAAAGGTTGAGTTGTGAATGAACCCTTAGGAGAAAGAGAAAGAAGTATACTGGTGAAGGAATGAAATCAAGCATTCAGGAGAAAGATTCACTTTTAGATGAATGCCCATTCCGACGAGCAACTTCGGCTTACTTATGTCCATGATTCATCCCGGATAGATCTGGACACGTTGAGAAGGGGAATGGGCCTTTTGCGCATGGGAATGGAAGACCTGCAATGTCAACCAGGGTCTCTGCATGCTCAAACAGGAAGATATGAAGCTATCCGAGACAGTTTTTGCATTATCTTTCGGGAAGCCGCCAAACCAACAGGGTAGATCTTAGGAGAAGATGCTTTATGCTGTCATGTAGGTATTCTGCGAGAACCGCTTGCATCAAGGAATATTAGTAGTCACTAGTTGTTTGTCATGCAGCTGCTCAATGCCTATCAGCAGGCATCTTCGTTGTCGCCCAAGTCTGGAGGAATCACGAAGAAGGCAACTTGAGGTTTTCCATGTCAGACAAGCGAGACAGTGATGAGGATCACGTTTATTGATATCATTCTTCAAAAGAGGTATCGATACAACCATCCCAGAACAAAGTGATGGCCTTTCTGCTCTTCAATACCATCAGGGAGCTATGTGTAGGAGAAAACACAGGGGCCAAGGGCCAAGCGTTTTTCTTGTCCCTGGTCTGGCGCCAATTGAAGCATGTATTTCTTAGCGCGTTCACCATGTACTTGATCCGATTGGATGGAATTGAACCGCTTGCCCAACCGGTCAGTAGGACCGGCAGAAAATGGTACGTATCTAAAGGATGTATCCACTCCAAGCATATCAGCCATAAACATCACCTCCCGAGGCAGATACACGACTACTCAGCCCAAAGAGGTGGGTAGTAAGCCATCTAAGACTGTGAGGCGAATCACCAGCTGAGAAACGTAATTTGATGCGTAAGGAAAAGGCAGAGAAGCTTCTCAGCTCGATCCCTGGTATCAAAATGGTCAAATTGACCCAATCAAATGAGTGAGCCTCAAGGCCCAGTACTACGGCTTCCCGATGGTGTTGATGCTCAAAAGCCACTTGACCTCTTAAGTCTCTTCTATACTGAAGGAGCTTGGAATACGATTGCAAGAAACACCAACACCTACGCCGAGATCAGCGCGTCTCGCTTTCCGACCAGGCTCGACCTTGGGCCTCTACGGATGCGAATGAGATAAAAGTGTTTTTTTCGGGGCACTCATCTATATGGGAATCCGGAAGGAACAAGCCACTGAGGGGTATTGGCGCACAGAGAAAGATGCGCACCTTGGCCCGCTGCATCCAGTACGTCAATATATGAGTCTTACGCGATTCCAGCAGCTCAAGCGATACTTACAAGTATGACCGCATATGCCGAACCCTTCGGACAATGAGTCTCGAGGTGAGACCGAGGGAGCCGAATGCGATATCAAAGCTCTGTGGGGGAAGCTTGAGCCGCTGATTTCCAGATTTCCGGTCCGCCTTCAGAGAGATATCGCCAGCGCTCAAAGAACATCTCGATTGATCAGTCAATCATACCACGCTCTGGACGATCAAATCACACGTACAAAATGCAGGGCCATACGCGATACGTCGATATTGCGGATCAGCTTCGCACAAGCTATGAAGCCCCTCATCAGCCTTGTGCTTGGTGGCCACTTTTCTTATGGGTTATTTATGCAGCTGTGTCAATGCCTGGCAAATCAGCAGTATACATGCACAGCAGTCAAAACAAAGGAAACACACGCAGCTTCAATTCCGACAGCAGCTTTTCCAGGCTTTATTCCAATGTCGAAGGGTGCCAACATACCAGCCCAAGCCCAAGGCTGCACGTGCCCAGGTAGCCGATTGGATAGCTCTCTTGAGCATGAGGTGGAGCGGACAGGCAAGCAGATAGGGTGTACTTGGTGTCTCCATATAAACTATATGCGGCAGCGAAAACCCGTCTGTCTACCGATATTGCGGCCTAGCCTCATTCAGTGGAATTGTAAGGCCTGCAAGGTGCCTCTCTGCCCGCCTCATTCAAGAAGTACTTGGTGGGAAGATTTCCATAGCTGGGTTGAGTAAAAGTTGAGTTGAATCTTGTCATGGTCAATTCGGCTCCATGGTTCATTGTCCCGAAAGGCTTAGCCCAATACGACGATGGCAAGTATTGCCGATTCGACAGGACTCGTGGAAGTCAGCATCAAGGGTTCTCGTTTTCAGCCCAATCCTCTATCCTCTCATTTCCGATGGAATCAATTTCAAAAGAGGGAGCAGTTTGGTGGAGTGCACTGCACCCCTGTCACTCCGCAGGTCGTATTGTGCAACTGTAGCTCAGGTCCTGTCAACCGTGAGCATTGCATCAAAGTCGACTGCGATTGCAAACTCTCCGATTACAGTCAAGATGCTTACAGCTTAAATCGCATCATCCATCAGTAGCCGACCGTGGGATAAGACGTTCTCGGCCGCTTGAATGTCAGTTTCATCTGAATATGAACCAACCCCTGTCCAAGGTTACATCACAAAAGTACTGTACATCCTCCCTGCTTCTTCAAGGGCATGGCATGATTTCTGCAGTACCACATCGGAGTCGCCCCTCGTCACATATGAAGAACTTGCACTTCAAACCGGCAACCTGAAGCGATTGACATTTACCAGCATCAATGTCGAGAACTCAGCCAGCCTCCTCGCTCCGGCATGACGCCTCAAGCTGCCGCTCCGCAGCAACCTCACTTCGAACCAAGCTAGCCATATGAACAGCAGAACAATCTCGCTAGAATCTGATGTCCAGACCATACTATGTCTCAGCCACGGCGGGGGACTGAAATATCCTTGCTCGAGACAGCTGAACAGCAGCTGAAGAAACATCCCCAACTCCCGATGCCTCCGCCCTGTGCAATGAACAACCTATAAATACGGCTCGATCGCTCGCAATTATGACTTAGATCAAGTCACTACAGCACAGCAACAGGCTACCTTCGTCATGCAGACCAAACCCCTTCCGTTGAAAGCCATCTGGCATCTCGTTCTTCCGCTGCTGGCTGCCTCGGCCACAGCAGCCCCATACCAAACCCGCATACTCGACACTGGGACGACCTTTGGCTCTCCAGACCCCTACGGCCCCTGGTCCTTGACTCCCTCCTTTGCCAACAAACCCGGTCCAGACCTGGGCTACATCAAAACCAGCAACACCGGCACCGGCAAGGTGGAAGTCCACCTCGCCTCCAGGGCCTCCAACTACCAGACCCGCACGCTGGAGCTTGGCACGACTTTCTGGCCCGAAGACAATGGCGTCTGGCAGCTGATCGACGCCGACGGTGATGGCCGGGATGACCTCGTCTACATCAAGACCCGGAACACAGGCACCGGCCGAGTGGAAGTGCACATTGCCTCGGCGGCGTCCAACTTCCAGACCCGCATCAAGGAAGTCGGCACGACTTTCTTGCCTGAAGATGATGGGACCTGGCAGATGGCCGACTTTGACGGCGATGGTATCCTCGACCTGATCTACATCAAAACCCGGAATACCGGAACTGGGCGGGTCGAGGTGCATGTCGCCTCTGGTGCATCGAACTACCAGACTCGCGTCCAGGAAGTCGGCACGACCTTCTACCCCGAGGACAATGGCGTGTGGCAAATGATTGATTTCGATCGAGATAGGAAGCTGGACCTGGTGTATATCAAGACCAGGAACACGGGGACCGGCCGCGTGGAGGTCCATGTCGCGTCTGGGGCGTCGACATATCAGACCCGTGTCCAGGAGGTCGGCACCACGTTCTATCCTGAGGACAATGGGTTCTGGCAGATGATTGATTTCAATAAGGATGGGGTGCTGGATTTGGCGTACGTCAAGACGCAGAATACAGGGACCGGACGGATTGAGGTTCACGTTGCAACTGGCAGAAATTGAGCACTGTATCTAGGTACCGACATCCTCTACATCGATCATCAACTCGTCTCTCAAGCACCACCAATCAAACTCGAATTCGCATTCATACATGTAAACTAAACTCTTGTACATGTGCCTATCAAGAAACAGCGCTCGGACGCCTGCCCTTCCCTCCTTCACAACCGCAATCCCCACCCAGCTCCGACCCTAAGCCTTCTACGCCTTTGGCGCAAACACTGCAAGCCACCGTCCTGTAATCTACCTATACGCCGCGTAGTCGCTCCGTGAGCGCTAGATGGAATTGTATTCGTGGATAGTTCTGCACATCAATCTTAGATCGGGTGTCATATGCAGGATGAGTTGGCATGGCCTGGCATGGCGGGGTGTCCAGAACAGATATCCTCAACAATCCTCTGTACTCATGGGCATCAACATCAAGCATCGCCACAAACATAGTATCCAAGTGAATATCTTCTGATACTGCAAAATGTCTACCACAGCAACATCAACATCGACCTCAACCTCAACCTCAACAAAAACCACCCTCCTCACCCCCGCATCCTCTCCGTCTCCAAATCCCCTCCCACTCCATCGCCAAAACCCCGTCCCATCCATCACCCTCATCCCCAACCACGGCGTTGACGGCGACTGCCACGCAGGGCAAACCACCCAGCACCGCGTCCAGGCGCAGCCGCAGCGCACCCCCAATCTCAGACAGGTCCATCTCGTCCCCGTCGAGACAATCCGCGAGCTCTCGGGGAGACTTTCCGCTGCTGCTGGTGCAGCGAACACAAAGCCACTCTCGGCCGGCGAGATCGGTGAGAATATCACCACTGAGGGGGTGGAGTTATCGACGCTCCCGCTGGGGACGGAGGTTCGTTTCCTTGGTGAGGACGGTAAAGAGGAGGCTGTTGTGGTGTTGACGGGTGTTCGGGAGCCGGGGCCGGGGATGGATAAGTGTCGGGCTGGACTGAGGGATGTGTGTGTGGTAAGGGATGGGAGTCGGGCTGTCAAAAGGTTGGCTGGAGTGATGGGGACGGTTAAGAAGGGGGGCGTGCTCAGGCTGGGGATGGAAATTAGGATTGTTAAGCCGGCGGGTGGCAGTGTGCGGCCGTTGCCTGTTGTGTAAAGTGAGCAGGGATGCTGGGGCTGGTTCTGTGTGGTGTCTCTTACTTGAGCTTGCTTTGTATTTTGTCATATTCCGTTTCCTAATGCGTATGTGCGTCGAGGTGGACTTGACGTAGGATTACCCTAGTGTAGAGTGTGTGTCACTCGGCACTCCTGTAGCATCTCTGATGGCACACGTAACACGTTCTCAACTGAAATCTACCAGAGGAATTGTCGCTGGAAAGCTATCGAGGGCGCTTCACTCCAAAGGCTTGGTCCGGGGGGAGTACCGGCGTGCAAGGACTGCGTATCTTCTACGCGGGTAGACTCCAACGACGACGGTATATACATGTATCCCATTGCTGTTGAAGGCTTTCTCGACTCATTGGATGAATCGTAGCCGTTCCCCCATGCGACACGCTGGTTCATGTCCTTACCGTGGACCGCTTGAGTGGATTCCAGTCCCAGTTCGCATGCGCTTGTAGCTTGCTCATAAGGAGGTACGGGTTGTAGCTCTGTTTGCTGTCTCTCCGACGCTGGACCATTTTCGTCAGCGTCGACTTCCGATCGCGCAGGAGCATCGGTGCGTCTCGACGGCGAGGTCACAGCAAGGCCAGCCACTCTTGTTTCTGCCGAACAATCTTGCTGCCACTTTCGAAGATCACGAGCCGTGCGCAATGGGTATCGTCTCCAATATTGTGCATCGTTCTTCCCGGAACGCAGAAAGGGTGACTGGCCCCGTTCAAGAGCAGTCGATAACTGCTCGTCGTTCATATGAGCCAGCAATCTCAACAGTGTCTGTTCCGTCTCATGCAGGCGATGTTCGAGCGCTTCAATATAGCCCTTTGCGGGTCCTCTGGCTTGGTGAGACTTGTACATCTACTCAAGGACCGAAACAAACCGTTTGAGCTGCTCAGGCCAGTCACACTGCCGATGAGATTGGAGGCATTGAGTGCATATCGGCCTTGGCAGTCAGTGAGCCTGCCTTGAAATTATTAGGACAACTTACTTGTTGCCGCTGCACTTCAGTTCGTCAGCGAAGGTGATACCAATGAACGAAGGTTCACTCACTTTCTGCTTCCGGGACCGGCACGAATTACAGGCAACTGTGATCCGAGATGGTCTGGAGCCTTTGCTGCTTTTACTGGTAGACATGTTCACAATAGTCTATATCTACTGATTTTGTGGTCTATTGATGAAACCGGTCTCTTGACTGAATGTATGATGCCCTCCCGCCTAATCGGGACAAGTGCGGGATTATCTACAGGCTAAAGGTTTAACCGACGGTTTCTCTCCACCAACAACAGCAGCCGGTAGCCCAGCACTATGGAAACGTCACCTTCTCTGGGAAATGTAACTGCAAGGATGAAACTTCAGGCGCATCACGCTCATATCTTTCGACTGAGAGCTACCCTGTCTATCTGAAGGCATGGCATCGGTATATATAGAGGGTGCAGGCCTGTTGGCTCCTCAGCACTCTCATCGCTACAAACATATCCACGGAAGAAAATAAAAGCAAAATGGCATCTACAGTTCCAACTACCTACCGTGTTGCGTCCATTCCAGGTGATGGTATTGGGCCAGAAGTCGTTGAAGCGACGATCCAGGTCGTTAAGAAGCTCTGCCAAAAGTTACAAACATTCGACATAGACTTCACTCACATCCCATGGGGCACGCAATACTACAAGGCACACGGTCGGTATGTATCAGAAGACTGTCTGGACACACTGCGACAGTTTGATGCAGTACTATTCGGCGCTGTAGGCGCTCCAGGTATGATTGTCCTGAGTGATCGACTCTGGCCAACCAGCAACTGACCTGGTTAGATGTTTTTGACCACATCTCTCTTTGGGGTCTTTTGTTAGCAATCCGAGGACCTTTGCAGTTGTACGCCAATGTCCGCCCGGTACGCACCTTCCCTGGCACAAAATGTCCGCTTAATACCGCGACAAATGGCATCGACTGGGTTCTCGTACGCGAAAACTCAGAGGGCGAATATTCCGGCCAGGGCGGGCGCAGTCACGTCGGCCAGCCGTGGGAAGCTGCGACGGAGGTTGCCATATTCACACGGGTTGGAGTCGAGAGGATCATGAGATTTGCATTCGAAACAGCACGCTCAAGACCTCGTCGTCACTTGACAGTCGTCACTAAAAGCAACTCGATGCGCAACGGCATGGTCTTGTGGGATCAAGTGGCTGCAGAGGTCGCCAGGGAATTTCCAGATGTCACCTGGGACAAGATGCTAGTGGATGCTATGACGACTCGCATGGTGGGCAAACCCGACTCCCTGGACACTATCGTCGGTACCAACCTGCACATGGATATTCTGTCAGACTTGGCTGCAGCGCTGGCAGGATCAATTGGAGTCGCTCCCTCTAGCAATTTAGACCCAACAAGGAAGAATCCGTCCTTGTTTGAGCCCGTGCATGGAAGCGCTTTCGACATCACGGGCAAGGGAGTAGCCAATCCTGTAGCCACGTTCTGGTCGGCCGCAGAGATGCTTGCTTGGCTAGGCGAGAAGGACGCTGCAAAGCAGTTGATGGGATGCGTTGAACGGGTGTGCGCTGCTGGAGTCCTGACTCCGGATCTTGGAGGGACCGCAAATACTCAAGGGGTTGTAGAAGCGGTATGCGCAGAGATTGAGCGCTTGGTTCTGCGACAATGATTGGTTTTATTAAGATATAGAATGATTGACTTTGCATCTTTCTTTTCGATAAAAGTTCACCGATGCATACGCTCGACCACGGCTCATTGGCAGTAGCTCTAGTCACCCGCATCACGCGCCTAGTTTACTTGATCTCCCCAGAGCAGCTGAAATCTCCCCTTTCTTTTCTTCCCATCGCAATGATTCCATGGTCTTCCATTTCATTGTCGTAGTTTTGCCGTTCACGTTGTCGGCTGCTAGCGGTTGGCGGCGGGTATCTTTTCCGAACGACGTCAACCTCCGACGATAAACGGCATTTACGGCATTCTTTTCCCCTGGGACCATCGGATTCTTCACAATAGCCGTTGTATGACCGCTCTCTCTCATTCGGATTGGCCATTGAAGCTGGCCCACGGTATCGCAATGTGTTCATCTCTACCGTGATGGGTCAAATAGCAGCTCTCCGCCGCTGCATAAATACCGTTCGTTATGCTGAGGTCCGGACTAGGATAGACTGACCCTTCAACTCTATACAGCAGATCTACCTTCACCATGGCTCCAGCCCAGATAGACGAGGGTCTCCGACAGACTGCCATTACAAGTGAGGCAACCTATGTCAAGTCTGTCGCCAAGTCAACATCATCTCGATTCTCCTTCTTGTCCGTACCGCCCGTCGATGAGCCGTTCACACTTCAAGCCGAATATCTCAGTGACAGTCACCCTGACAAAGTCAATCTAGGCATCGGCGTGTATCGCACGGAGGATGGTGATCCTTGGCCCCTGAGCGTGGTGGAACAGGCCGAGGTGCAGCTCTTCCATGCGAACAACGTCGCCAGACACGAGTACCTGACCATCCAGGGCGACCTCAAGTTTCTAGCTCTAGCACGCGACCTGGTCTTTGGGTTTGGAAAGTCCCCAAGTAACGAGGAGGCCGCGGCGCAAGGCCGGATCGCCTCGATTCAAACGATCTCGGGGACAGGCGCAAACAGATTAGGCGCGGATTTTCTCGCGCGCACCATCAAGCCTTCCTGTGTTTGGATTCCGGATCCCACCTGGGCCAACCACTACACCATTTGGGAGCTCGTCGGTGTTGAGGTCCGGACATATCCGTACTACGACCACAAAGGCAAATGCTTCGATTATGAGCGCACAACGCGGCTGCTCTCCGCTCAAGCGAAGAAGGGCGATGTCGTGATCCTTCATGCCTGCGCGCATAATCCCACCGGCGCTGATCCCAGCAAGGAGCAGTGGCGTAAACTCGCCGTGCTCTGCCAGCAAAAAGGTCTGGTGCCGTTCTTTGACCTGGCGTACCAGGGGTTTGCATCAGGGAGCCTCGACGAAGACGCATGGGCCATCAGGCACTTCATGAACTGCAAGCCCGAACTGGAGTTCTGTGTTGCGCAGTCGTTTTCGAAGAACTTCGGTCTCTATGGGCAGCGCACTGGCGCACTGCATGTGGTCACGAGTTCGAGCTCGGGGACGTTGCCGCAGGTTGTGTTGGCCAATCTCTCTCATCTTGTTCGTGGAGAGTACTCCATGGCTCCCCGAGGCGGATCCGAGATTGTACGGACCGTCCTCAGCGATGAGGGTTTGAGACAGCAATGGTATGAAGACTTGAAGCACATGAGCGGGCGGATCAAGCAGATGCGCCAGGCATTATATGACGAGTTGATCCGACTGGGCACACCAGGCACTTGGAATCATGTTCTAGAACAGGTAGGCCTCATTTCGTCCTGAGATCATGTTTGAATAATTTGCTGACAATATTAGATTGGCATGTTTACGTACACCGGCTTGACAGAGACTCAAGTGCTCGCAATTCGACGACGACACCACATCTACATGATGAAATCAGGACGTATCTCCATGGCTGGCTGTAAGTATCCTCTCCCTTGCTAGAATCCTTCACAACACTGACGGTCTCAATAGTGAACTGGAAAAACGTCCGCTACGTCGCCCAAGCGATTGATGATATTGTACGAACCGTGGCATGACCTTTCCTCCATTTTTGATGGCTAATGGCTATCTTCATCTTGATACCTGTATATATGTAATTCTGGCGGTATATATACTTTGACCTTCGGCAAGATAGAACAATGTGCTCAATTCCAAGTCATGCATGTCTCTGAAGCTATTCCCAGTCCTCCGCGTCAAGCTCCCCAACGAATGAGGAGTTATGTAGTAACTTCACTGACTCGATTATTCAGAGTCGGTCTCTCAAAACTGTAACTTGATGATGCCACTCGTCACAGCATTCACTATCTACGACGTACTGACGACGCAACCTTTTCCCCTCCACCTTTCCCCACAGACCTTTTCAACCTCCATAGATTATCATACTCAAGGGTCCCCCTTACGCGAACAGTTGATACTCCCGGGTTTAAGTTAGAATACACAGGAGACTTCAACCGCAGGAATAAGTCTAGGAAATCGTGATCTATCACACGAAACTTCATCCATGAAGAATGGCCTCGCTCTTAAGCGCTGCTGTTGACGACTCGGTCGACACAGAGGATTCCAGTGAGAAGCATGCACAGTTATCCGACCTAACATCTTTTCTTTCTATAGCCGCCAGGCGGGGCTATAGAAACATGGATGACCTCGAAGAGCATGGAGCAAGTTTGGACAAGCTGGAAGGAATATCCGGGGGATATACCCGCTGAAATCGCTGAGTACCTTGAGGAAGACGGAACTGCAGGTAAACACCTTAGCTGTGAAGTAATAACAGTGACTTATAACTAACTATCATTTATCATTGAAGCATACAGAGAAGTAATAGCCTCCATTAAAAGCCTATCCTGGATTGGCCGGTACGATGACATTACCGATGCTATTGATGACCCTGCATTCACTATCCATGATGAGGTGAATTTCATTCCCACAGGGGCAAATATCACCTATCTTGTTGATTGGTATTGCAATGAGGGCAAACTGCCAGAATACATAATATTGCATGAGATGCGTTACAATGCTTCCCTTGGCTATCGAATAACTTCTTTTCTCTGTCTTTCCAGCCGAAATCAACATTGCCGAGCTCCGTCACCAACAATCCTCAAACACACACCATACAGTCATTATACCCTCTCAGAAGGCCTCAGTGCCTGCCTCAAGCCGTGCGATGAAATTCTGTTGCTTTTCTTCCTGCTTTTGTGATCGATGACCCTTTGTTTTGCTTTCACTCGCTTTACTCAGATCAGTAAGCTCAGTTAATAATGTTGTGTCCCTGCTGTGTTGACCCTACTGCGCTATCATCCTTACTAGCTAGAGATGGTTGTCTGGACCCCTTTTTGGCTGAGTGGTTTGATGTATGACAATCAATAATAAAGATCCTTCACCTTTTTGCATCCTCCAAGCAAGACCTGCATGAGGCGTTTAAGAGTTGAACGATGAGTGATGACTAAGCAAGCGTTGATGGGGGAGCAAGAAACTAAACTGGCGAGGAAGAGCAGTCAACCTTTGCTTGTTCATCAACCGAGGGAGCATCGTAGCCTGTCCTGAAGTGTTGATCCAGGCAAAGCCTATGTAGGACTGGTCAAGGCACCATGTCCCCAGGATGGACTCTTCGGATCTCACCTCTGGCCCGTCGGAGATTGGTTCCCTAACAGCGCACTCGAATGAAGAGAGCCAGTTCGTTGGCAGTTCCAGCGGCGTCTTTTTCATCAATACCGTTCGACGTGCATTCTCCAAGGACTTGGATTCGTCCAAAATAAGTTTGCCTCTGCCGGAAGACACGCTTGTGGGCAGCGAAGAGTCGCATGCTGACCAGTCCCCGTTTACTGCCCGCTCTCCGTCCGTGTCTGGGCCATCCGCCTCTCTTTCTCAGTGGCAGTATGATTCAGAAATCGCTCATGAGCTCGGGAAGGCCCCGCCACTGGACATGGCCAGGGAACTCATGATGGTCTACTTCAAAGTGTGGCATCCCCTGTTCCCGTTTCTACATGGCCCCAGCTTCCTGCGGGCGATGGAGTTGCTTTACTCAGACTCGCACGGGACTGAAGGGCATACCCATGTGAATATCCCGTCTATGTCTACGGACCACCGGAACGCGTGCTGGACAACAATCTTTCAGTGCGTGTTCAACCTCGCAAGCCATCTGCGACCTGATCTGGCCCTTCCGCCGGAATCCCGAATCAAATCCCCGGGAAGCATGCATTCCTTGCTCGCTATTCTTACGCGGAGGCAGGACCTCCCGTCCTTGCAGGCTCTTCTCGCGGCGCAGCTGTACCTTGTAGCCAAGATGTCTCTTCGGACGGCGTCCACGGTAGGCGGCTGTATTCTCCGGTCTATGCTACACGCGGGTCTCCATCGATGCCCGTTTCGCTACAAAGAGCTTTCGACTCACGACCGGCAGTTGCGCCAAAGGATTTTCTGGTGCGCGTATGCTATCGACCGGTACCTGAGCCAGGCTCTGGGCTTGCCTCTCGGTATACAGGATTCGGACGTTGACGTCTGCGCTCCAGGAACCCACGAGATTCATTCGCCAGGTTTGCACAAGGTTCGGGACACAAGTGAGGGCTCGATGCCGCGTTTTGTTACAGACAGTCCCGAAAATGGCGCACAGGCGTCAAACACAGCTGCACAGATTGAGCTCACCAACCCCCAGCATCCCCCTCAACACCGACACAGCGGCACAATAGACCCCAGTGAACACGAAAAACATCAAAGAGAAATAGCGTTCATGAGCTACGTCGAATCCGGCAAATTGACCGGCCGCGCTCTGGAGCTCTTCCACAAGTCCATCCTCGTCCGCTCCGTCCGCCGCAGCTCCGTCCTCATCCTCGTCACAGACGTGCACAAATGGTGGAACAGCCTCCCCCAGCCGTCCAAGGCAGCCCGACCAGCACCAACAACTCCACATCCCCACGATCACAGGATGACGAGCCCTTCCACTTCGGCCCCTTCTTCACAGTCCTCTACCACCACCTCATCCTCCTCATCAACCGTCCCTCTCTCTCCCTCCCCCCTCAACCCCCGAGTTCAACTCCGGCCTGCAAACCTGCATCGGCGCCGCAAGAGGCATCCTCTCCGCGCTCCGCGCCCAGATCGACGCAAAGCAGGCGCTCTTTTGGCCGGGCTTTCTCTCCGCAGCCTGGATGGCAGGCCTGGTCCTCGCCTTTGCCTGCCAGCTTGAACAGTACGTCTGGTCAAAGGGGTCTGTGTAAGTTACCCTTGTAGCCTTCCAGAAGCCCTAAAAAAAAAAAAAAAAAAAAAAAAAAAAAAAAAAAAAAAAAAGAGGTTCGAGGCTGATATCGTTTGCAAGCGAAATAACCGACTGCCTCACCTTCCTCCGAGTCATGTCTGCGGACTGGGACACGGCGAAACACTGCCATCGAGCGCTGAGTCTCCTCGCCGAGAACATCCGGCAGTCGTTTACTTCTGCACAACCTCCTCGAATCTCGACCTCGAACCCGAACATCAATCCCTCCTCACGCGAGGAACCCGCAATCGCAAACCCACCCAAGAGACGGAAACTCTCCTCCTATGATCCCTCGGGTCCTCTCCCGAGCGCCAGTGCCAGTGCAGAGTCGATACCCGGCCAAGGTATAGGTTCGCTAAATGCACCCGAGTCGGGAGATGTGCCACTTGAGCTCAATACGATGGTTCCGACTACCGAGACGGATTACCTCGGCCAATCGGATTTTGACCTTAACATGGCGGATCTGCTTCAGGGAGCGAACTTTGACTATCTACTTGATATGTTCGGGCAGCAGTATCCAAGTTTTTGAAATCTACATATCGTCTGGTTTGTTTCTTGTGCTCAGACTTTTCAGACGATATGACTTGGACTGTAGATACAAGTATTACTTCATGTTACTAAAAATCCTACGATCCTGAAGAGCCAAAATCCCGTGAGGAAGTCATAAGTCTATATTACACTCGTGTCAGATAAGAAAGATACGAGAGTAGCCATGTTAATCGGGATAGGAAGAGAAAAGACGTCACAACTTCCTCCCTTTAACAGCAACTGAAAAACCCATGGTGTCCGAACAAACTTTTCCTCCGACCCGAGCACGGCTGGAAATCCAATTTGCCTTTGCCATCTGCTGAAATGAAACAAGACCGGCTCCTGCAGCAGCCATTGCCGGCTCTTAACAAGACATACAAAGCACGTGTAGCTACGGGATCCGGCAAAACAGCAAGTCCATCGCAACACAGGCACGTGACACCACCAGCAAAAAAACTTTTCGAAACAGGAGGGATATCAGGACCGGGAGGGAAAAAAAAGAAAGGGTAAAAAAAAAATTCGAAGGTAAAAAGGAAATAAGAGGAGGTGTAGGAGTAGAGGGAGATTCGTTAATTCGAGAAAAGAGAAAGGTAGGTCATCAAAATAGACGTGAATCAAAATCTCAAGAGTTGGGAGGACCAGCTCAGCATCAGATACCAAGACACGTAATCTACGACTTGTTCTCTTCCGTAGCAGTCTCAGCGGCATCCTCCTTGGGCTTGGCAGACTCAGCAGGAGCCTCGCCCTCACCCTTGTTCTTCATGTACTCGTCATAAACGCTAAGGGCCTCGTCGACCTTGGCGCGAAGGGCTTCTTCATCGTCAAGACTAGAGAAGACGTTAGCATGCGTTTGGACGAAGCTGAATTGAAAAAGAGAAAACTTACAGGCCAAGCAATTCAGTGTTGTCCATCTCCAGAAGCATACCAGTGATCTTGCCAGCCAGCTCGGGCTGCTGAGCTTGAATCTTGGGGTACAGAGCCTCACCCAGCATCTGCTTCTGCTGAGGAGGGGGGACAGCATTGAGAGTCTGGGCAGTGAGACCACCAGTGGCGGGAACCTCCTCGCGACCGGCGGCGGGAGGAGCAGCGGCGGGCTGACCGCGACCACCCTGAGGACGAGGGCCTCCCTGGACGGGGGCGCCACCACGGCCCTGTCCGTAACCGGGACCACGCATACCCTGACCCATGGGCATTCCGGGCACCTGACCGCGGCCACCAGCACCGCGTCCGAACTGTACCTGAGCCATCTGAGGGTAACCCATACCGTTAGGGATGCCACCGGGGCCCTGCATGGCGCCCATTGGAATGCCTTGGAAGTTGGGAGGAATCTGCTGGTTGGGGCCCATGCCACGTCCACCCTGCTGACCAGGGAAGGGACCGGGGTACTGGCCGGGACGTCCGCCAGGGATGCCCATCACCATACCGGGCTGCGGAGCGAAAGGCATGCCACCGCGCTGGCCAGCGGGGATGAAGCCCTGCTGACCAGGACCGTAGAAGACAGCAGGCTGCATGTACTGCACTTAGAGTTAGCAACTGCGTTCCATTCTAGGAGCGAGCGTTCAATAACGCGAAAACCAGGGATACATACCGGCTGGGGCATACCAGCGGCAGCGGCGGCCTGCTGCTGACGGATGGTGTTGCGAGCCTGGATGCTAGCCTCGAGCTGGCTTCTGCGGACATCCTTGCGCTGGGCCAGAGCCACATACAGAGGCTTGCCGTTGACCATTCTCTGGTTCATCTCGGTGACGGCCTTGGAGGCCTCATCGGGGCTGCTGAAGCAGACGAAACCGAAACCCTTGCTCTTTCCAAGAATCTTCTTCTCGGTCTTCTTGGGTTCCTCCTCGGACTCCTTGGGCTTCTCCTCGGTCTTCTCCTCACCCTCCGTCTCGTTCTCCTTGTTCGACTCCTTCTCCTTCTCGGACTCGGAGGACTCACCGGCGGTGACGGTGTCACGCATGACCTTGGCGGAAGTGATGGTGCCGAAGGGGCTGAAGAGGTCGCGCAGCTTCTCGTCATCAACATCATCAGTGAGGTTCTTCACATAGAGGTTGACACCCTGGTACTTGGAGGCCTTTTCCAAGCGAGCGGCCTCGTACTGCTTGCGCAGCTCCTCCTCACGCTCGTGCTTCTTCTGGGCACGGCCAACATAGAGCTTCTGGCCCTTGATCTCCTTGTCGTTCATCTCATCGACGGCGGCCTGCGCGCTGTCGTGGGTGGCGAAGTTGACGAAACCGAAACCACGGCTCTTGCCCTCCTGGTCGCGGCTCAGAGTGGCGGAGGTGATATCACCGAACTTCTCGAACATCTTGCGGAATTCCTCATCGGTGACTTCCTGGTCAACGTTCTTGATGTAGACGTTGGTGAAGTTGGCCTTCATCTCCTCGAACTTGCTCTGACGGTCCTTCTTGGAGATGTGGTGGCCGACGAAGACCTTCTTGTCGTTCAGCAGCATGCCGTTGACATGCTTGATCGCGTTGTTGGCGGCCTCGGCGGTCTCGTAGTGGACGAAACCATATCCTTTGGAGTTACCAAACTCATCCTGGGCGACCTTGCAGCTCAGAATGTTTCCGAAGGCGGCAAAGGTGTCGTGGAGAGCCTTGTTATCGATCGCAGCGTCCAGGTTCTTGATGAAGACGTTGCCCTGGCCAGTCTTGCGCAGAGCGGGGTCACGCTGGGACCACATGATACGGCAGGGCTTGCCCTTGATCAGAGTGTAGTTCAGATCCTCGAGGGCGCGCTCGCCATCGGCAGTGTTGTTGTAGTTAACGTAGGCATATCCGAGAGAGCGTCTGGTAACGGCGTCACGGCAGACACGGATGGAGGCAACCTGGCCAATGGAGGAAAAGAGCTCGTAGAGCATAGCCTCGGTGACGGAGGGATCGAGTTCACCGACATAGAGGGAAGCAGAATGGGGCTGGTTGGCGCTGGGAGTAGCAGAGGGAGAGGCGCTCTCAACAGCGGTAACCTCAGGAGCGCTGGTGGCAGCGGGGTTGGTGGCCTCGGGGTGCCGTTGACAGTGTTGTCAGCGGCGGGGGTGGTAGAGACTTCGGCAGACATTTTGATTTTCTTTTTTTCTGAAGCAAATAAAGAGTAGACTGTTAGCGAGCAGTAACACTAGGATGTGATCAGAGCCAGAAGTTTGAAGAAGGAGACGAAGGATGACGGAGGCGAAAAGCTTGGAAGCTCTGGGCCTCGGCCTGAACCAATCAATCGACGATGACAGTACCAACGTCCTGCAAGATCTGAGATGCAAACAGAGACAATAGCAGAAGGCCAATCCAAGTGTTATCACCAAGCACAAGGGTGTGCGTCTTTATGTGCGCTGGAGTAGCAGAGCACAGTGACTTGCGTCACGCAACCGGATAAAAATCACAAGCTCGGAGGAAGGCCAAGGATATAAATGCAACACACAGTCAAAACGTACAGTGTATATGAAATCGTCTAGCGAGATCGAGAGGTGATTGATGGAGATGGACGAGGTGAAGTGACGCGATCACGAGGGATGAAGAAAAGGCGGCGGACGAGGAAATTCTTCCACACACACAGACACACCGCACAGTTCGAGATGGGTGGAAAAGAGTTCGACTTGAGATAGTCAACCTTTTTTTATACGATTTTCCGGGTTTTTTTTAGGAGTTTTTTATTTTCCCTCTTTCGATGGATTCGAAAAAGAAGAAAGTAAAGGACCTTTTTTTTTAAGAAAAGAAGAAAGAAGAAGAGTTGCTGGTGATGACAGCAGAAAAGGTGAAATGACAGAGGAGGGGAGAAAAGAGAGAAAAAGGGAAAGAGCGAAAGACAGAGGGAAAAAAAAGTGGATTATTGGTGACGAACTTTTTTTTTTCATTCTGTCTTTTTTCCTTTGAATTTTGGCGTTGAATTTTTTTTCATTCTGGAAAATTCAAAGGTGGTAGGCCACGCTAGTCTACTTACAGTAACCCACCCTCGCCGCTCCAAGAGCCTGGCTTGAGCGGTAACTATGGTATGAGACGACCATGTACACAACAACGGAGACGAAGGGGTTAGGGTCGTTGAAGCATGTCCCATGAGTGTAAAAAGAGTAAAAGCTGTTATTGACATCAAATGGGAGGAGCGCATCGACAAAGAGATCGAATCCGAGCACCCATGAGGGATGGAAGCCCATCAAATAACAACACAACAAAGATAAAGCCCATGACGCCTCAGCTATGCAACCCAGAACATTAATGTTTTGGTATTCTCAAGCACTCCTCTATGGCGAAACAAGCAATGCAATCATCAGCCAACCAGATCACTGCAAAAATACCAACCTCAGCTGAGGTCAAAGCCAGCCCCCGAGTTGATGGCATAAAGCAGCTTCTCCCGCAGAACCTTAGCATTTGCATACCGTGGCAGCTTGAGCAGGTTCACGCAGGTACTAGTGCTGGGCAATCGGTCCTGGTCTTCACTGGAGTCGCGGATGCTGAATCGCGGGTTGAGATGGCTAAACCCTAGCAATGGAGCTCGAGGGGTCGACGTCACGAATCGCAGCACTTTTTGCCGTTCCTCGTTCGACATCTCCTCCATGACCTGCCAGAAAAGCTTGACGGTCGGATGCTCTTCCTTGTCGTCGCCAATGGTATACACCCCTCCGTAGAGTGTGTTGCGCCTCAGGTCCGCGACGTCTATATCTCCGGACTCCCCACTGACCAAGGTTTGCAACTCGGATTGATTGAACATCGATAGCCAAGACGGCTGAATGATGTGTCCCAAGCCTTGTAGGAATGCATTTGTCTGCAATGCAGGCTGTACCTGCAGACGATATCGAGCAATGTAGGAGATATAAACAAGCCGATTCTGGTTGGTCACTGGAATGTCAGATCCGTTGCTTTTCAGATCTCGGGTGACGGTGCGAGTGCCTCCGTTTGGAAGTGGTATGGTGTCTGTGACCGTGAAGTTCAACGCAAAATCTTCCACGTCCCCGGTGTAATTCTTGAGTTGCAGCTGTAGAGAAGAAGAGAATTAGCACATTGCCACCTGACTCGAGGAATGGGATTAATCCACTGACCAATCCTTGGTACAACCCCTGGTCAAGATCCTTCAGGTCATTGAGATTTGCACGATACGCCGTTTCCCTCTGCGCTGATCCTGCGCCACCAGTCAAAGCCCATTTCAGAAGGAAGAAGGGCGCAAAGTTCACATCGACCAGTATCCCCTCGTACAAGCACTTTCCGATAATCCGACCCAGGAATTCATACCGTCTAAGTAGATCCCGAACTTGCTCATTCCATTCCGGGCTGTTCTCAACGAACCCGAGCTGCCGCAGAACTTCTCGTCGTTGCTCAACTGCGGCAGGGTTGGGGTAGAGCAAGTGTTGATCGTTTTCCTCGAATAGTTTTGGCTCGCTTCCGGACTTGAAAGCCTCATTTGTAACACTCGTAAGGAATTCTTTGGTTACACCGCCACCGTCGATCCCGGCCTCCACGGTGTTGAACTTGTCAATGAAACTAATCTGAATCGGCTCCTTCAAACCTTCACCCAACTCGTAGAATTGGTCGAATGCGTCTTCAAATACGCTCTCCCGCCGAATATTTGCATGATGGCGACTCAAGATATCCTGCGCTGCGGGCCGGCCGTCGATCATGCGACCCATGGACGCCTGAGCCACAGACATCCGCCATGCATCCGGGTCTATGTATCCCTGTCTTCGGCGCATCTGATCCCGGTAGATGAATTCTCGAAAAATCTGTACTCGGGTCGCAAAGGGAATAAAGAAAGGCATGTTTCTTAGGATCTCGAGCCTAGGAGCAACAGCTTCAAGCTGCTTCCTGCGAGCAGCCTGTTGCTGGCGCCGCCTGAGTGCCTCGATACGGCGAGTCTGCTGAGCACGACCGGTCCCGATAAGATTCAGAGGCTCGTATTCGTCATCTCTCATCCAATCATTCTGATCCTCCTCCTCGTCCTCATCTTGGAGTTGATGGCGATTCTCCTCTTCCGCTACAACGGCCGGTATGAAGCCTTCCATGTCGAAGCGGTTGGTCATCAACCAATGTCCATCAGGAAGGAACTTGCGTCTCGAATCGCGCTCATGAATCATTCTCAAAAGACCTGTTACAAGACCCTTGAAATAGTCGAGCGGAATTCCAGTAACACCTGGGAGACCCTTCTCCTTGTTCCGCATCTCAAGGTCCTTGACACTGGTGATGGCATCCGAAGACGGGACAGCACCAGTGAAGTAGCTTTGAATTCCTCCGGCCGTCTGAGGCGTCTCGCGCTCATTCAGGTCCGCCGAGTTCCAGTAGAGTGTGAACGCGAGATTCTTGAGAAAAACAGTCATGTCTTTGATGTCCTTCAAGGGTAGCGCGCTCTCCTTGGTCCACGAAACTCTCGAGTTTGACGAAGCTGTGAAGGAAGATTGGCTGGAAAAGAATTCTTCGTCGTCCATCACTTTCAGAACAAAGGTGTAGAGCTCCAGAAAGAGCAGGATAATGGTCCATTCCTCGTCTCTCTCGGCTTGGGTCATTGACAGCCCAGACTCCCTAGACTCATCGGCCGGTTTCAATAAGGGAAGTACTTTGGTGGAGTCTTGGCTGACCTTGTCAAAGATCCTGCTAGATCGAGACGCATGCCAAAAGTATTTGATTGCTGGAATTCGAGAACCTTGACCTGTCCCTTGATCCCCGGATGTAGCCGATCCTAAGTATAGCCACATACGAATGTCGTCTCCCCGGCGGGGAAATACTCGCAGGAGGGTGAGAGCATAGGTTGCCAGAATTTTTGCCTCTTTAGATGCGTCCGACTCGGAGTTGGCCAGGTCACCTTGGGAGAGATGCGTTGACTGGAGTTGCGACAAAAGTCCTGTAATCCTACTTTGGTTGACAAGGCTAGAGATTTGCTCCTTGACGAAGGGGTGCAATGGTGTCTCGTCCGTGTCATCATTGCCGATCACGTCATCTACCTCCAGTCGCCGCGAGAGATGCACGGCTGTGGAATTCAAAAGTTCTGATACGATCTTCACGAATTCCGGTTCCGCTGCTTGCTGCCCAGCTTGAGTCCCATTCGCATATTGGTGAAAGTAGATGATGTATGCAAGGAGCCAGAGACGTGCGTCCAGATCCGTGACACTTTGAGGACGTTCCCGAAATCGGGACTGCAAAGGCCCCAAGGCAGAAAGCAACAGTTTGTAATTTATGTTACCCGCTAATTGATCGAGCGTTCCAAGATACGCCGACAAGTCTGGGATGGTGAGGTAACTCCTGGCAAACCACTCATAAGCAGTGAGAGTCTCGGAGGTGATGGGTCGCAGCAAAGCGAGGACGCTCTGAGCAACGCTCTCCTGAGATACATGACATCGTTGGGATAGCGATTCTATGTTCCTTGTGACCATTGCCATAACAGAATAATAGTCTTCAGCTAGCCGTGCCATCTGTTTAGGAATCAAGTTTGTGAGGAAGAGCAGCAACCGGACAAGATGAGGAACCGCAAAATCAGGCACGATAGAAGACAAGGCTGAGCGTAATACCCGCAGTGTTGTCTTCGCAAGACGGCAGAGTGGAGTCGTCCATTCGCCTTCGGTCGCTATCGTAGGTACCTCATGCAGGGTCATCTGAAACGCATTGGCATAGTACACCAGACGGACAATGTCACTGGTATTCCATGGTTCCACAAACTGCACGAGAAGCCGCAACTGTGAAAGGCACTCGGCCACTGTTCCATATCCTAGGGATGGCTGCAAGAAAGCGTCAGGCTGCCCAGTCGTATTTTCAAAAGGCAGAGACGACCCTGTCCTTTGCCTCTCAGCAGTATCCCATTCTGTCCGCCACGTATTGTGAGTGAGCTTCCTGCTCCGGTAGCCCCGCCATGTTTGCTGTATCTTCCGCGTTGCTCCCAGACGCTCTCTCTCCTGTTGCCTCAGTAGCCGCTCCTGTTGTGCGATGGCAAGGGTATTCTGCGCGCTCGGCCCCTGAGGAGGATGTCGCCCGGAAGGGTAGGCAGCGAAAGGATTCGTATTACGACCTCCGAGATTGACCTGCCGCGGACGGCGAGAGTTTCCGGTGAAAGACTGGAACATAACTATTGCCGTCTTGCAGGTCTCCTGATTCTGGCTAACAAGACCTGGTCGTCCACGGTTTGCGAGGTCACTGCAGGTGATGAATTTAAGACAGACGTGACCCCATGCCTTTGCCCGAGCGATGCTGGGATTGTTTGGAGAAATATGGTGAGTGAGATGGAGATGGCTCGGGGCTATGACATATACAGCTCAGCGACCCGTTGTCTTAGGGACACGCACTATGTGCCTGATCTGGAGCTCAACCACCACTGCCAAGGCTGGTAAGATCTAAATGCCACGCATCAGAACAGCGCCGAAGGTTACCTTCAGGAGATTGATTTGTTATCTTCAAAAGATTTCTAGATTTGAGTAAGGAATGGTTCCTTAACCTACTGTACATATATTGAGTATCAATTTTCCTTGTACTTGTTGGTATTGTGGGTTGATTGTAAAATCTAGCTGGTATAACAATGAACCATCGACATGTCTTTTAAGATGCCAAAAACCAAAATTGCGCCGTTTAACGGAGTAAACACCAGGGGAAATGCTGAATCGCCCACTGCAGTAGCCACCATTCACACCATTCACATAGCTGGCGATGATGTTGTGAAAGACTGCGGTCTCAGCCGCGACGCAGCAAGCACCAACGCTCATACTGTACATATAATACACTCGTAGATCGGAGATCGTGGACGTATCGGACTTGAGGATGTCGACAACGCCGGGATTTGTAGCCGGTCAACCATCGTCTTCCTCCAACCTGCCTCATTCGAACCGCTTGAAAGATATAATATGACTCGACACCGCAATCCGAGCAATCATTGGCGGGTGGCCGCCTCGCTCGCTGCTGATTCTTGCTCGAGTCGTTCCTGCTCCAGCACTTCTTGTCCATTATCCGAAGCCCACATGTCAAGATAGTCCTTCGCACCGAACGCTCGCTCGACGATAACCGTTTTGCCGTTCTTCTCGATCTCTCTCGTGTACTTGCCCTTTGTCGGGGCCATGCGTTTCGTCACAAACGGGGTGAGCTGGTTCGCGAGATGTTAGCTCAGATGCTAGAGGTCCAATTTTCATGGCTATCTTAAGCAACGCACCTTGAAATCAGCCAGATTTTCAGGGACAACGTATGTGCGGACTTTCTTCCAATCAATCACATAAGAGCCGTTCTTCGCGAAGTAACCCATTGATCCGGTCCGGTTTCCCTTGTAGTAACCGCCATTGACCTGCTTGGTGGTCAGGCGCAATCGCGCCATCATCGGTTGCGAAGGCTTAAACATTGCCATTGTATGAGATGTAGAGCTGCAGTTGTGCGATAAATGCAGCCGTCGAGGATGTGACCGTCGTCGGGGTCGAGAAAAGGTCGTGGAATTCGGGCGGCGCTACTTAGCTCCGCCGCGCCGAGAACTTTTTTTCCGCTGCACCGCAAGATCTTAGTTTAAAAATTATTTTTATGGAGTTGACCAGTGTTGCACTCCGCACTCTTTTTTGAGACTGAGTAGCCACATTTTCAGGCTCTCATATTTACTTATTGACTTTGGTCTTGATTGTGTTTCTAATTTTTCTACGGTCAAGATTACACGATGCCTCGCAGACAAACTCAGTTGCGGGGTCCGAAGGACAAGGACCGGTCTTCCAAAAAGCCGGCCCCAAAAAGAACACTGGAAAAAAAGTACTGAATGCGCTGTCAATCGCAGAGAGCCAGGTCACCGATAAATTAGGAGTAAGGCGCAACCGCTTAGGCAAGCTCCATGACCCTTCCAAGCGAAAACGGAACCCCAACCGTGATATGGACGACTCGGATGGCCCCGATAACAAGCGTCGTCGATTTGGAGGCGATGACGAATCAGAACTGAGCAGTAACGCCGGCAGTGACGGAGAAGGGCACAGGTGGAGATTGGGCCAAGTCGACAGCGATGACGACGAAGAGTTGGACAGTGACGAGGCCTTGGGCTCAAGCGACGAAGAACGCTTTGAGGGCTTTACATTTCGCGGAAGCTCGACAACCAATGCCGGGTCGAAGCCGAAGCCGAAGAAATCCAAACGTGTGCGCGAAATCAACCTGGACGAGGATGTCGAGGAATCAGAGGAGGAAGACGAAGATATGGACGAAGATGATGACGACCTTGGAGAGGATGCCATCGATCTTACTACTGCCTGGGATCTAAATACAGCTGAGGAGGAGAAGGAAAAGGCCGCAGCATCTAAGAAGAAGCAGGCTGAACCGGATGAGTCGGAGGAATATGACTCGGACAGCGAAGAGAGCGACGATGAATCTGACGAGGAAAGCGGGCTATCAATGTCAGGTGACGAGGCCGACGAAGTAGATGAACACGGTCTTTCAAAACTACAGAGCTTCGTCAATGCATTGGAGCCAGAATCTACGAATAAGCCAACTCGGAGAATAGGAGGCGCACAAGAACACGCTAAGCCTACGGAATACGGACTGACTTCGTCACGAAAGCTTACTGTTGCCGACCTCTTGCCCTCCATTACCGACTCCCGCCTAAAGAGCTCATTAAAGCATGTCGACGCGGCCCCGTCTTCTCACAAACAGTCATCTGGAATATCTGGTAAACTAGACGCGCCCCTGGCGAAACGTCAACAAGATCGGCTGGACCGAGCAGCAGCATACGAAAAGAGCAAAGAGACATTGAATCGCTGGCTCGAGACTGTCAAGGCTAATCGACGAGCGGAACACCTGATGTTCCCTCTACCTGATCCCGATGCCCAGCAAACACACCGAATCGGCCCTACGAAGCCGCAGACGGATCTCGAAGCTACGATTCAGAATATTCTAGTTGAAAGTGGTCTTGCGGATCCGAACGGCAAATCGACTGAGGAGCAGGTTCAGGAATTTGAGGAGCTGCAGGCACGAAAGTTGCCCATTGAGGAAATTAGAGCCCGTCGAGCAGAGTTGCGCAAGCAACGTGATTTGCTATTCCGTGAAGAAGTACGGGCCAAGCGAATCAAGAAGATCAAAAGTAAGTCGTATCGCCGTGTGCATCGCAAGGAGCGCGAGCGTCTAGAGCAGCAGGAAAGACAAGCTCTTCTGGAAGCTGGGGTGGACTTGGAGGAGGAAGATCGAGAGATGAATGAGCGCCGCCGAGCTGAGGCTAGAATGGGCGCCAAACACAAGGATAGCAAGTGGGCAAAGAGCCTCAAGCAGACTGGTCGTACCGCTTGGGACGAGGATGCTCGACGCGGTGCAGCAGAACAGGCCCTGAAGGAAGAAGAGCTGCGGAGGCGAATTGAAGGGAAGAGTGTTTCCCGAGCGGATGAGGATTACCTGGGTTCCTCCAGTTCAGAGTCGGAAGACGAAGATCCTTGGGCAGAAGATGCAGGCTCTGATGCTGAGAAGCAGAAACTACGCAAGAAACTTGATGGGCTGGAGGGGGATGATGTGGATGCCTCAGAGATAACTGGTCCACATGCTAAACTTTTCTCCATGAAGTTCATGCAGAACGCAGAGGCCGCACGCAAAGCCCAAAATGACGCTGAAATTCGACGACTCAACCGAGAACTCCGCGGCGAAGAAGAGTCGCAGTCTGAAGCAGAGTCTGAGGTCGGTCGCCGTAAATTCGGCCAGTCTCAGGATGACAAATCCGGCAAGGACAAGAAACAAAAATCGTTGCCCAAGAATGAGTTTGAAGAGGCACCGGGTTCCGATGATGAGGCCGTCGCCGCGGCTGATCAAGAGATCGACATTGTCGTCAATCAGTCTGACAAGAAGAATTCATCTGAGCGCTCGGGGAAAACCCAGGCTGCGCGGCCATCTGGTGGCGTACCTGAGCAAAAGGAGACTACTGCAGAAGAGGAGAATCCTTGGCTGGTGCAGACAAAACGAAACAACCGTCGCGCAACAGCGGATGATTCGCAGCAGACTATCGATGTCACTCTTGGCACTGAGACTGTCGAGGCTCCTAAGAAACAGAAGAATCAGTCGAGTATCAGCTCTAAGAATGGCGAAGCCGAGGACGACGATGGCAGCGATGACGAGGAGAGTGTGCCAGTCCTACTCAAGAATCATGATCTTGTGAAGAGAGCGTTCGCTGGAGATGAGGTAGTCCAAGAGTTCGAGCAGGACAAGCTCGAAACCATCGAAGAGGAGGGTGACAAGGTCATCGACGAGACCCTTCCTGGATGGGGCAGCTGGACCGGTGAAGGAGTCAGCAAGAGGGAGCAAAGGCGACAGAAGAAAGTCCTGACCAAGGTTGAAGGTGTCAAGCCTGAGAACCGAAAGGATGCAAAGCTTTCTCGGGTCATCATCAACGAGAAACGCATCAGGAAGGTAAGCGATTCCTGTCTCCACCCATACGCAAGTGAATTGAATACTGATCTCTTTTAGAACACCAAGTATATGGCGACTCAGCTTCCTCATCCTTTCGAGACCAAGGCACAGTACGAAAGATCATTGCGTCTCCCCATCGGCCCTGAGTGGTCTACCAAGGAGACATTGCAAAATGCAACCAAGCCTCGCGTGATGATCAAACAGGGCATCATCAAGCCAATGGAGAAGCCGATGGTCTAAGGCATCTCCTTTTGGACCCTATAGATTTGTGTTTTATAGTTGTGCTACTGCTGCTGCGTTGGGTGCTATAACGCGCTAGCTTGTGTCACAATACCAACATGTCAAAAGTTGGGTAATGAACGGCGTTCCTGGAGCGTATTGGAATAGACATATCGAGCTTCCACAATCCTCTGTACTTCCTGCAAAATAGTAGATCATCATAGTCTGCATGATAGTTTTTGCATGCGCAAGCAAAGGTGTAAAGGTAGATGATCAGGTCGGGTGAGCGATGTCGGGGTTGCTGTAACACAAGCAGCGCCAGCTCACTTCCCCAGCAATTGCAACCTCAACCTTTGATGTATCCTTTCCTTTGATCTCTGGTGACAGAATCCCAAACGAAGCGGCCATGTGGCCTCGGTGATTATCGACAACCTGCCAAACTACTCGATGACCAGTTTATGAGGGTATTTTCACCTGACTGATTACGCCATTAGCCATGAGGTTGTCTGAGCACCGACTGCTCAACATGGTGGAATGTGCGGATAACCTTTGATCCAACTACGCATCTGTCCTAGCCCTGACGAATCTTTGCCAAATTTGACCATCAATATGAATCTCAATCCCTCCGTATTTCCAGTCCATACGAGTCCCCTCATGTGTGGCTTACGTTGGCGTATGGATCTGCCCGCAAGATTCGACTATTCATCTGCCTGCCCTGCTCCACACCCTTCCTGCCCAGAATGATCCGACAACTTCAATTACATCTTCCAACTTCAATCATTCTATCCCCCTCCCTTTCATCAACCGCATCACCCGACTGAATCATTTGCATCCTCTAAGTAAGTCATCCATCTCTCATACCAGTCTACGGAGAAAGATGTGCGGCTAGATGCCTCTCTGGCAACCGTTAGTCAGCTTGATTGGTACGCCGATCACCATGATAAAGCATTCCAGTGCCCTCGTTCCTGCATTGTTTTGCCCTTTCGAGTCCACCACGCATACTGCTAATCGCACATTGAGTCCAATCAATTGACTGACAGTCTGTTTAGATCTACATCCGCGTCACCTTCCGCTGTCTGTCCACTAGACAAAGTTTGGGTCATCTGGTAACCCTTCACGGGGAACAGCCTACTTCGGCCTGGTGAGATTCTCACTAGTCGTGACTGGAATTTGAGATTTTGATATTTGTGAGCAATGTTTTCCTTTATCTGGCCCTACTGGGCCTCGTCCGTCCTTTTGTTTTCTTTCGCGACTCTCACCTCGCGTTGTCCGGCCTATCCCAAGAGGAAGTGTACTAGAAGTATACATTATGTGCCACGCATCGGGTTGAATACACTCATTCCCATCACTCTCCTTCCTCTCATTGCAAGCCATAATCCTATCACCACTCCTTTACTTCCACCTGACATTAAAACTGTCATTCTGCTTTCTGTGCATTCGCTCCTTTGAGGCTCCAGAGCGGCGCTCTGCGGCCTGGTTCACCTGGGGCAAAGGGTCCTATTCAATTCTTTCCTTGCAACACTAAATCAGTATACGTAACTTTGTGTCGTTGTCTTGCGCTTCTTTGAGGCCTTTAGACAATTCGTCCTTCGATATCTGTCGCCACGGGCACGCCAGGAGGATGGTCGCGGCAACCATGTGGCGCTCTACAGTCATGCTGACCTGGCTTTTGGCGTCAGAGACAGTACATTCCCTACCTTGGTCGGTCGAGCCGACCAGTACCGTTGAGTTCAGGACCCAATATCCTCCCACGACGCAGGAGGCTAGATTGCGAGTACCCGAGGCACGCGCAGTAAGTTCATGAATATCCTGCCCGTGGCTGTCACTTACCCTCAAATAGTTCTATCCGACGAGTTTGGAACGTGAGGGTCGCTCCGCAGAGCAGCCTTTTCCTACTGACTTGAAATTGGGCCATCTATTGGACCCGTTGCTGCATCCTCAAGGTGGTTCTAAACCCGGTGTGCTGGATTTGTTATTATCGGGCCTACAGCCGCCAACTCATTCCGTTCCCACTAAGCGTCCGACTACGAATCCCCCAGTTGTAACCTCATCTTCACCCTCAGAGCCCTCAACCTCAGAGCCCTCAACCTCAGAGGAGACACTGCCACTAATCACCAGCCCGCCGGTGGTGCCAACTGCCAGCTCAAGCTCGACTACAGCCAACGAAGAATCGACCGGTCAGAATACTGGCTCGGCTAGGCCAAATTATTCATCTCCAGACGGTAACTTGTCTAGCTCTTTGGAACCAGGTTAGTCTGAGATTGCAGATGCACATAAGCTTGATTTCTGACACGATTTCAGCGAGTGAAACTTCGTCTTCTGTTGAAAGCCAGACGACAAGTTCCGCAACGTCAGTCCACCCAGCTCAGCAGAGTCAGTCATCAAGTGAGCCAGTATCAGGTGAGTTGTCCGTCCGCAACACCACTTACTGATTTGTTGACTGATGATGTATGAGTAGCTGCCGCTACCAACATGGCAAATGGTCAAGACGTCTTTGTACCAGTGTCGACTGGTCCGATTCCTGACACGATTGGCTCGAGGAATGATCATCCCGTACCTAAGAATGGAATCGTAAGCTCCCGAAGCCTGTTATTCTGACGGCATTGTCTGATCCGTACAGGTCAACACGGACACTCCTGTTGAGACGAACAAGTTCTATTGTGGGCTCTTCTTGGGAACACAAACCAACGGTACTTTTACACACCCCTACAGCGTTGCTTGGGTGAAGGGAGGTGGAACGTCACAAAGCTATGGCATGGCGATCTCCCATGTCGAGAGTAACGTAGTCGCGCATGGCCCGGTCAATACAGCAATTCCTGGTAGCCCCGTATCATATTATATCAATCCGATCGGCATCCATTCCGTTATTCTTTCAGCAAGTGAACTGGGGGCATCTACCGTACTCACCACTGAAAATCCGCTTCCCTTCTCGGCCAACGCGGTTCTACGACCTTCCGCTGGCTCATCTCAGAGCATCACCATTCCTGTAGTGCAGGGTATGGGATTCGTGACTGGTATCTACAGCAACTTGCAACCCAAGATCCAGAGTGGCGTCTTCTTCAACAGAATGGTAACTGCTGGATCCCCACGTGCTGGTATATTCAAATACAGCCTATCCCTCGAAGATGGAACATCATGGCTTCTCTACGCAACCCCCGACGATGGGACTGATCCACAGCTCCAGCTGGTGTCAAACAGCGAGATTATTGGGCCCGCCGGCTGGTCGGGCACGATCCAGGTGGCCAAGAACCCGGCTGGCGCATCTGGTGAGAAATTCTACGATAACTCTTCAGGTGTTTATGCTGTCGAGGGCGCGGTCAGGGGCTCAGTATCTGAGAGCACTGGAACGTACAACCTGATGTGGGCTAAGGCAGGAAAGGATGCGCAGGACACCCCGTTGCTGATGTTTGCTCTCCCACATCACATGGAGTCGTTTGACGCCAGTACACAAAACCGAGCGACGAATATCACGCTTAGAACCACCACCAAAGGCCAGGCGATCGCGGTCATTGGGGAATACTGGACAATGGTTGAGCCTGAGCTCCCCATTTCCATGGGTTTTGCCCCATGGTCGGTTTCGGGAGGCAGCATTGACAGCATATCGCCCGCTGCCCAGCAGGTCATCCTGGCCGCAGCTCCCACAGAACTTCAACAAGATATGGATGCTCAGACCAATCTCAATAGCATGTATTTCAGCGGCAAGGCTCTGAGCAAGTTTGCCACCCTTGTGTATACGGTTGACAAACTGGGGGGAACAGCACTCTTGCGGCCGAGGGCCTTGCGCGGTTGAAGCAGTCCTTTGCCCGTTTCATTGACAACAGGCAACAGTTTCCTCTTGTCTACGACAATGTCTGGAAAGGAGTGGTATCCTCTGCCAGCTATGGCACTGGTGACCTGGGGGCTGATTTTGGGAATACGCTGTACAACGACCATCATTTCCATTACGGGTACTTCATCCATGCTGCTGCGATCATAGGATCCATGGATCCTCAGTGGCTTCAAACCAGCAAAGACTGGGTCAATATGCTTGTCCGGGATGCTGGAAACTCAGCCGGAAACGATCCGCTCTTTCCGTTCTCGCGCGGGTTCGACTGGTTCCACGGCCATTCTTGGGCAAAGGGTCTTTTCGAGTCCTTTGACGGCAAAGACGAGGAGTCGACGTCGGAAGATGCGATGTTTGCGTACGCCCTGAAGATGTGGGGAAAGACTATTGGGGACGTTAGTATGGAGGCGCGAGGCAACTTGATGCTGGGCATTCTGCGCCGAAGCCTCCGGAATTACTTTTTGATGGAAAGCGACAACAAGAACCAGCCGGCGAACTTCATTGCCAACAAGGTTACGGGCATAGTAAGTCAAGCATTTGTTTCCGTACGTCTCGTGGGGTTAGCCTCCAACTGACAATTTCTTGCAGTTGTTCGAGAACAAGGTGGACCATACTACTTACTTTGGCAACAACCTGGAGTTTATTCAGGGGTATGAACTTTTGAGCCCTTCATTGTCATTGACGCTATCAAGACCTGCATTGCTGATTCTTGACACAGGATCCATATGCTACCCATCCTCCCGTGTTCTGCGTTTATTCGCAGCAAGAAGTTTGTGAAGGAGGAATGGGATACCATGTTTGCAAGCAACGGCCCAGACCCAGCCGAGAACGTGGTAGGCGGGTGGAGGGGCGTACTGTACGCCAATCTCGCACTGGTGGACCCAGCCGCTTCGTGGAACTTTTTCACACAGCCCAACTTCGACTACAGCTGGATTGACGGCGGAGCGAGCCGGACGTGGTACCTTGCCTATGCAGCAGGTGAGTTTATCGATTGAGAGTATACCGAGGGGTTTGCTGATACGCCGTAGGACTCGGAGCTGTGCCATCCTAACTTGTCCGCAACTTCGGCGGTTTATGTCGCTTGACACTAGTCTACAGGGAGTATCCGCGTGAATCTTATTGCGGAGGAATTCGTTGTATCTTATGACTTTTTTGGTGATCGCGTGAACGCTTTCTGCGCACATGTATCTATGGGCTATATGAGAGTAGGATGTTCGAGGATATTCATAGACTAATGTGGTAATTGAACATGTCAGGTTAGCCTTGGTGTGTTCTACAGTGGCTTGGGCCACTAAATCGGATGTCAGCCTCTGTATCCGAGAGCTTCTTACTCCGTGCAGACTGGTAGATAAATGGGGTGGCTGAGCAGGTCACTGTTGGATCTGCATCTGATAGCGCCAACATCCAGTGGCTTACAAGGGTGGTGACGGACGAGTAAACCGAACCAATCTGGGGCAGTCGCGTAGGTCTCCAGATCACAACACACCGCATGATAAGTAATCCTTTTACAGAATAGGCAGGTAGGCAAACAAAAAGGTTGCGCTTAGGATGAGCGAGTTGTCAAGCCACATGATGTCGATATATTTTCCGGGTGCATTGCGGAGTGCAGATAGATAGGCTGTCGGTATGAGGGTGCATCAATCGTCGGACACGTGTTAGACTTCCACATACAACCCACCGAGTATTATCATCAGTTCATCACATTTTTTAGACTGTACAATCAGACCTGTCAAGTCTGTTTTGAATCTGTCTGATTGTTTAGTCTGATATGGTTCTCGATCAATGAGATTTATCATGTTGCTCCATATCACAGTGGTACGACTAAGATAGTCCAGGCGCTATGATCGCTTACATACTAGTATTGCTGGTGGGTCTAATTGTGGCAGTGCATCTTGGCGTGAATTTTCCTTGCGAGATCCGTGGATGGCCTGACTAGTCCTCCCGTGGGCTCAGATGAATGGATGGAGTAATTTCATGTTGAGATGGCTCTGGTAGATTTACTCTGTATGCAATAGAGTTTTACGATTGGTATTGGATATCTAAGCCCTAAGGTAGTCTCTCAGAAGAAGGAATGCTTTGAGTGTATCACCAGATACTAGTCTATCGCTTGATGTCCAACTACAATGCGAGTTAAGCTAGTGGCTGGAGCTTTTGCAGATGCCCCACTGTAAAGCATCACTTTGGCGCCAACTCATCATCATCATCGACATCATCATTGCATACATCTACAGAGGTATCTATCTGATATATTGATTGAAGATCATCAACTTGATATACTCTTGGTAATTCTACAATTGAGGCCCATGTTTCCGGGTCGGTCGATGATCAACACCATCCACTCTAGTACATAGCTCCATCTTCTAAAGAGGCATTGTTGCCAGCGCCAATTTCCAATCCTGCGCATCGTCTGTGCAATCAAACCCTTTGAGTACCCTGCCGAGACTGTTAGCTTCAGGTATCGCCTCGCATCCTGTTCAAGGGTAAGCTCGCCCTAAACTCCTGCTCCTTTGAGTATCAAAGCATCAGCTTTGAGGCTGTGCAGTGCGGATTCGGCTCACTGCAGTTACTCTGCTTTATCCCATCCCCCAGCTTGAAAGCTCGACTGACGGAACAATTCCCTCGTCTTTGACAGGCTTCTACCTGTGTCTCCGCACATCCACATACCTCCGCGGATCCGTAGTCAAGGTACGTACGTGGCTGGCTGCTTGCAGTTCCCCATGCCTCTCCAGTGTATCTACTTAGTTTCTTTACACTCTTCCTTTGACTTCCTCTCTCCAATTGAGAAGAACACCTGAGTTGAATTTTAGCCCATGATCATCTCGATTGGTTCGCGTGAGGATTAATCTAGGTAATAATCCCTCTCATTCTTCAGCGAAACGTGGACATTCCCCCTCTGCGACAAGACCACTGCGGTTGTCTTGGTTTCGCCAATCCTTCCTGCCAACCTAGAGCTAAGACTACCTAACTTAACTGACTTTTGCAATTTCACCCTGGTTCCAGAACTTTTCTCTTGTCGGATCCCAGGATTCCAGACAAAGACCAACTATCAGATTCAATCCTAGACTAACCGGCTAGGATCCTACATATTTCAGGATTAACCCACTTTTTCCCCCCCGCCGTTCCCTGGTCGTTTCCCGCGCCACTGTTGGATCCCAATGTGTAGGTGCCACACCTTCATCATCTCCATCACCACTGCTACTGCTACTACGTAGGAGTATTACACTTTTTTCTTTCTCTCTTTAACTCCCCACTTGTGACCTTCCATTCTTCATTCCTTCGTTTTTCCTCTTTTATCATACGGAGTATCTTCCGTCTATTTCATAAATTTCTTTTTTCATTCTCCCAAGTCTCTCCTTGTCCTCTTTCGCCTATCAAGCAGTCTTTCTTTTAATTCTTGAACAATCATTTCGTGCAGAGAATAGGGAGACGAATCTCACAAGAAATTTGGCTAATCGGATCTGTCGAATCTGATACAGCAGCAGCGAGGAATTTCCGTTCAGCCTTCCGCAGGCACTCTTGGGGCCCCAAAAAACGCAGTATGACCGGCTTCTCTTCTTCTCCAAACGGGGTTGGAGAGCCCAGTGAGCGGGATGCTCTGATCAATGATATTCCCCGCATCAATTCAGGCAATAGCCAGCATCGGCGCCACAAACGTGGACGACGCTGGCTGAACATCCCAGCGCAGGTCATGCACTTGACCTGGGAGACCCTCGTGCGGGACTACGTCAACGTGCTGCTCGTGTTTGTTCCTCTTGGTATCATCTCCGGTGCGCTTCACTGGGACAGCACGGTTGTTTTCTCGTTGAACTTCCTGGCGATCATCCCACTGGCGTCTCTGCTGAGCTTTGCGACTGAGGAACTGGCGGCTACTATGGGACAGGCGTTGGGTGGACTGATGAATGCTACTTTCGGGAATGCGGTCGAACTGATTGTGGGTTTATCCGTTCGAGTCGTTTTGTGCTTCACTATAGCTGACTTGGAGGACAATGGTAGGTCAGCATCATCGCTTTGAAGGACAACCAGATCCGTGTCGTCCAGGCAAGCATGCTGGGCAGTATCCTGTCGAACATCCTGCTTGTGCTCGGATGCTGTTTCTTCATTGGTGGGCTCCGGTTTTCCGAGCAGACATTCAACAGTACTGTCGCGTCCACCATGTCGTCCATGATGACGGTTGCCTCTGCTTCGTTGATCATCCCGGCCACCCTCTACGCCTCTCTGTCTCCATCCCACTCCAAAGCCACGACGGATAATAATATCCTGATTCTTTCGCACGGTACCGCCATCATTCTCCTGGTTTTATACGTCATGTACCTGTACTTCCAGCTCAAGACGCATACACAGCTGTTTGAGGAGGTTCAAGACGGACTGGGACCCGATACAGAGAATCAGGCGGACCATGAACAAGAGGAGGAGCATCATATTCTGAGCCCACTGGCCGCCACCATTGCTCTGGTTGTCGTCACGATTCTTGTCGCCGTCTGTGCCGACTACCTGGTTGGAAGCATCGACAGCATTGTGGAGAAGACCGGCATGAGCCGGACCTTCATCGGTCTTATCTTGATCCCCATTGTTGGAAACGCTGCGGAGCATGTCACCGCCGTCGTCGTCGCATGGAAAGGAAAGATGGATCTGGCTATCGGCGTAGCCGTCGGCAGTAGCTTGCAGATCGCATTGTTCGTGACACCGTTCCTTGTCATCATGGGCTGGATCCTAAACATTGAGATGACTCTCAACTTCCACATCTTTGAAACTGTCGCCTTCTTCATCTCCAGCTTGGTTGTGACCTTCCTCATCCAAGATGGCAAGTCGAATTATCTCGAGGGTGGGCTTTGCTTGGGAATGTAAGTTGTCCGCTCTTCTCTCGATCTATGAGCCAGTTTCTAACTTTCCGCGCCATAGGTATCTGATCCTAGCGCTAGCATTCTACGTTTACCCAGATGATCCTACTGGCGATGCTCTTATTGCCAATTGAGCGACCAGTCGCGCTGCCAAGCTTTCAGACCAGGAATCAGGATTGATGTCCTTGGTTTGAACCTCGCGCTCTCTGACTTTGTGCCAAGCTATTCCTTTCCTTATTGCACTAACTGGGTAAATACTGCTGGTCGGGGGTTCTGTATTTGCTGTACAGACACACAATAGTGGGTTCTGACTACCCTGTATTTTGTATTTTCTTAACTCGATGTTCTCCTGTGGTGTACTTGGGATGGCAAAATGACTGGGCTGGCCTGGGCGCCACCGTTTTCATGTAAACCGCTACATCGTAAACCGTACTCTAGCCACAACTGGCCGCAAACACTCTTGTAGAACTGTTGGCCATCTCTGAATAATGATGAATGACTTCATGCTGGAATGGGGAGTCTTGGCATAGATGACTAAGCAACAGTGGAGAGGAAAATCGTTCTTCGCGGCTCCGACGAAGCCAAGGACGGAGGAGGACAATTGAACACTCTCCCTCGAAATACAGTCTGTCGATTACAGGCATCGAGGAGAATCAACATGCCGCCTCGTATCAATCTTTTCACAGTGGGCAAGGCGTTGCCTGGCTTTCGCCCATCCACCTCATCCGCGGTCAGCTCGCGTTTCAGTATCAACCGGCCTCATGCCGCATCGACCGTTCAAGCACAGAGACGATGGAACTCATCGAAATCAGAGAAGAAGGACGAATTGGAAGGGGTAAAGGGACCTACGGAGGATCCGTTGCCTCACGTCAGCGAGGAGGCCGCGCAGATGGACAGGATTCTGCATGGTGGGAAGTATGAGGCTGCTGCGAGCCCGGAGTTGGAGCAGGGGACTCCTGTCGCTGAGGTAGGTTTCTTCCTTTTTTTATCGGTACTGTTCGTCGCGCTGCTAATTTTACTGCTGGATAGATCCTGCAGCGCGATAAAGACGCCCTGAAGCACATGCCCAAGGTCATGCAAGACCAGCTGAAGCGATCGTCTGGCAACCGGTCCTTCTCGACCTTCACACGCCGCTACCAGCCCGACCTACAGGGTCAGGATGTGACGGATCCCTCAGTGGCCGTTGTCGCCAATATGATCAACCAGGTGAACCAGGACGTCGCGGAGCTGCATCCTGGACTGAAGTTTCCGGCGCCCGAGAGTCTCCCTAAGACGGAGAATTTCCGCGAGAGATATGATCCGTTGCTGGAGCAGTTTACGAAATTGCTTATGCGGGATGGAAAGTTAAGCAAGGCCCAGAAGGTGTGTACATCGCTCGAACCTTGGCAGGTTGTGGCCGGTGCTAATCTAGTTGTTTCTCCCAGAACATGTCATTCATTCTTGACCACCTTCGAACTGCCTCTCCCCCGCAACCGCACCCGAAGCGCCCCCTCCTCCCTGGTCCTCCTGGTCCTCAACTCCCTCTGAACCCCGTCCTCTACCTCACCTTGATTGTTGACTCGGTCGCACCTCTGATCAAGATCCGTCAGCAGAAGGGTATTGCCGGTGGTGGTGCTGCCGTGCAGATCCCAGTTCCTCTGATGCAGAGACAGCGGCGTCGGACGGCCATCAGATGGATCATTGATGCCTCTGATAAGCGGCGGGACAGCAGTTTCGCTCAGCGAGTCGCTCACGAGCTGGTCGCTGTTGCGGAAGGTCGTAGTGGTGTGTGGGATCGGAGGGAAGCGGTGCACAAGCTTGGTATCGCGGGTCGCTCGAATCTTGGTCTGGTCACTCGGCGCAGGTAATTAGTGATATCTATTCATTCATGCATTGTATTTTAGGCTATCAGCAATTGTAAATTATCTTTTCTTCATCTCGTATCTCGACTGCGGATGACTAAATCCTCGCTATCCCCGATCAGGCATCTTTTGAGTCTGCTGCAAGGCACCCTGACAGCCTAAACGTAGTCATTATTCTGTGTACTATCGACCAGGATTATCCTCACAATATCTCCATCTGACCCTCCTCATCTTTACAATCAAAGTGACGCTCGCCCACCACATTCGGACACCAGAGCCCTAATCCTTCAACCCCTCCGCGCCGGTTTGTCCTTCGTCCAACGAGGCAACCACTCATATCACCCGCACAGCAGCTCTGCGGGGACCCGACCCAGCCCCAAACGCCGCAGTCCAGCTCCAGCTCTGGCTCACCTACCACTCCCGACCCATTAACAATAGGCTTAGTCCCAACTTCGGTCTCGTTCTTTTTTTTTTTTTTGTCTCTCAAATATTCCTCCAGTCGAAACCGTGTCGTCGAATGCTGTTGGGCGCACCGTGGCACGCATCGCATCTGCGACTGGTGCCTACGAACACGAACTCGACCACGACGGCCACGATCAAAGCTTCGAGCTTGAAGACTTGCACACCCGCAGTCGCTACCCGCTTGTAACACGCGAACGCACTAGCTCCAACCATTTTGTTTCCATCGAGTCGGACTCGCACGAACCGGTACAGGAGAGCGAGAAGTATTCGCAGCCGGGTGAAAAGAGCGGTCAAGGCTACAGAGCGAACAACCTCAGGCTCCGGTTCTGGGTAGAGGCTCTCCGGCGTCGACAAACTCCAAAGGAAAGTGCGGGGGACAAAGGACAGCAAAGATGAAGTTCTCGCATAGTATCCAGTTCAATGCGGTGCCGGATTGGAGTGCCTATTACATTGCGTATAGTAATTTGAAGAAATTGTGAGATTTCATTTCATTTTCTTTTTGGCCTGTGGACTCGGCTAATAATGCTTCTAGGATATATTCGCTCGAGCAGCAAGCTCGGAAAGCAAGCGGACAGGCACAGTCGGATGTCGAGTCCGCGCCGCTGTTAAGCGGGACACCCACGCCCGAGGCGGTGTTCCGCCGGGCGCTGAACGCAGAGCTGGAGAAGATATGTAGCTTCTACGAGGTCAAGGAGTCGGAGATACTCAAGGAGGTGGAGGACGTTGTCCGTGGTGCCGAGGAGTACTCATCCAAGGCGGACGTGGCGGACGTGGACCCCATGAGTGACGCTATGGTCAAGTCGCGGAGGATGAGCTCTAGCTCTCGCTCGCGCCCGCGGACTGGCGGCTCGTACCGCGATTTCCCGTCGGAGGAGACAGAAGATGACGATGATGGAGCGGATAGCGATGACGAGCATCAGCCGCCGACCGGGCAGAGAGTGGTGCCGTTGACGGGTCGGTCGCGCTCGGACCTGAGCGATTCGAGATTCATGGCTGACTCGACGACTCTGGGGTTTGTTCGGCGGGGGAGCGGCGGGCATGATGGGGACACGCGGTTTCTGGACCTGTACAACGAGGGCTTGTCGCTGAAGCAGCGGGCCGTGAACGCCTATGTCTCACTGTGCGGGCTCAAGTCGTACATCCAGCTGAACAAGACCGGTTTCTCCAAGGCTTTGAAGAAGTTTGACAAGATCCTCGACTGCAATTTGCGGCGCGATTACATGAGCTCCACCGTTTCCCCAGCTTATCCGTTTACGGATTCGACCATGAAGAAGATCGAGGGCGTGATTGCCCGGATCGAACAGCTCTATGCGGACGTGATTACGGGCGGTGACCTACCGCTGGCCAAACGGGAGCTGCGATTGCACCTGAGAGAGCACGTTGTCTGGGAGCGGAATACAGTCTGGCGAGAGATGATTGGCATTGAGCGGAAGGCCCAGGCCGCGAATGTTGGTATTCGTCGGACACTGCTGGGAATGGACGAGGACCCGGCCGCCGCACGACGACAGGGCGATGAGCAGGAGGCTGCAGCCAAAGAGATCAAGACGCCGTTTGGTCGCTATAGCGTACCCGAGTGGCTCTGCAGCTTGAGTTTCGGGACGCTGATTGTCATCCTGGCGGTGTTTATCATCTTGCTCTATGCTCCGATCATGGATAAACCGGAGCAGCAGAACTGCCTGGCCATGCTTGTGTTTGTCAGTCTGTTGTGGGCCACCGAGGTCATTCCTCTCTTTGTGACGTCCCTCTTGATACCCTTCCTGGTCGTCATGTTGCGCATTATGAAGTCCGCGGAGAAGCCCTATCACCGTCTGGGACCAAAGGACGCCACCAGCGCGGCGTTCAGCGCGATGTGGACGCCTGTGATCATGCTCCTGCTGGGGGGATTCACCATCGCCGCTGCGTTGTCCAAATACGACATTGCTCGGCGGATGGCCATGTTTGTGCTGAGCAGAGCCGGATCCAACCCCAAAGTTGTTCTCCTGACGAACATGTTTGTGAGCATGTTCCTTAGTATGTGGATTAGCAATGTGGCGTCGCCTGTTCTTTGCTACTCCATTATTCAGGTATGTTCCCTTTCCCAGGGGAGGATTTTTTGTTCTTGGAAAATGCTAACCTCTCAGCCTCTACTACGTAATCTTCCTCCTGATTCCAACTTTGCCAAGGCCCTTGTGCTGGGTATTGCGCTGGCTGCCAATGTCGGAGGTGCCGCGTCGCCGATTGCGTCGCCCCAGAATATCATCGCGCTGCAGAACATGTACCCGAGTATCAGCTGGGGGACCTGGTTTTTTGTCTCACTGCCCGTCTGCATCATTTCGATCCTTTTGATTTGGCTGCTCTTGCTGGCAACGTTCAAGCCCGGCCGCGGCACGACCATTGTCCCAATGCGACCGGTCAAGGACCGATTTTCGGGTGTGCAGTACTTTGTGACGATTGTGACGCTGTCCACCATCGGGCTGTGGTGTGCTAGCCATCAGCTCGAGCACGTCTTTGGCGATATGGGCGTGATCGCCATCATCCCGATGGTGCTGTTCTTTGGAACGGGGATCCTGAACAAAGAGGACTTCAACAACTTCTTGTGGACCATCATCATCTTAGCTGCGGGAGGTCTGTGTCTCGGCAAAGCGGTGACCTCGTCCGGGCTGCTGCACACGATCGCCAATGCGATCACGGTGCGCGTCGACCACTTCAGTCTGTACGGGGTTCTGCTCGTGTTTTCGGCTCTGATCCTGGTCATGGCGACGTTTATCTCGCATACGGTTGCGGCGCTGATCATGCTGCCGCTGGTGCGCCAGATTGGCGTGGGCATGGACGACCCGCATCCGAACTTGCTGGTGATGGCGAGTGCATTGATGTGTTCGGTGGCTATGGCGTTGCCGACCAGCGGGTTCCCCAACATGAGTATGCCCGTTCCAACCTTTCCCTCAGTTGATAACGTTAGCTAACATGTACAGCTGCTATTATGACCGAGGTCCCACAAACGGGTCAACGGTACCTCCACGTGCGGCATTTCTTCACTCGCGGTATCCCGGCCAGCTTGATGTCGTGGGCGGTGATTGTGACGATTGGGTATGGACTGATGTATATTGCGGGGTTGTAGGGAGTTTAGATGGTATGTATACAGATTACCAGATTACTTTTAGAGTATTTACAATTGGAAGTTGCTTCTTGGATAGTCAATGGTCATGTAATGTCATTAGTCATGAGTGCCATGTGGTATAGAAGCTAAGCTACTGCACGCAGCTGAATATATATATAGATAGGATAGAAATACAACAGCTCCAGCGAAGCAATCAATCAATTCAAGACGACATGATACCATCATAACATAACAGTCTAGTTTTCGCATCAGCAACAAACCAGAGGAAACGAAGAAGAAGAAGAGAAGAAATCAGTTCCTGGCACATGTTAGCACCCCACACTCATCATGTCATGAGGCCAAGGGAAAAGGGAAGGAGACATACAATAATCCCAACGTCAAATCACCATGGATCTTCGCCTTGAGCTGCACCTCAATATCCAGATTCAGATCCAGCCGTAGCCGCAACTGCTCGTCTCGCCCATCATCTTTCTCTTCTTTATTCCCGCCCAGCAGCCCGCCGACAGCCTTGCCCGCTGACCCCGTCACACCGTTCACCGCGTTCCCTGCGGTGTTCTGCACGAGATCGCCGACCTGGTTCACGCCGCCGAGGCCGCCGAGGGGGCCGCCGTCTTGTTGTTGCTGCTGCTGCATCTGGGGACGCTGGCGGCGACGGCGGGGCTTCTCCATGGCGGCGTTGTTGTTGTCCATTTCGGGGCGGGGGATGCTTTCAGTTTCTGAGTCGGGGCGGTAGCGTTGAGGTTTTCTTCTTCGGGGACGGGGTTGCTCTTTTTCTTGCTGTTGTTGTTGTTGTTGTTGGTCTTGGTCTTGGTCTTGGTCTTGGTCTTGGTCTTGTTCTGTGGCTTCACCGTTGGCGTCGGCGTTGTTGGTATCTTCTTGGGGTTGAGGGTCTTCCTCGGTGTTGTTGTTGTTGTTTTTGTTTGGAGGATCCTCTTTGTTTTCTTCCTGTTGTTCTTGTTCTTCTTCAGGCTTAGACTGCTGCTGAGGCTGCTTCTTCTTGCCTAGCTTTGGAGGCTTCTTTGTTGGTGTCTGGGTATCTGTCTTTGGTGTTGGGGGAGCACCGTCTTCTGTCTGGGTTGGGTTCGGAGTCGGACTAGAAGGACGACTGTTGTTTTCCTGATCGGACATGGTGGAAGAAAGAGAAAGAGACTAGAATGATGGGAAGATGGAGGGGATGACAGTGTTTATACTCTTGGTCATGTCTTGGTCTGGGGGGTCGTTTATATGGATGAGATGATTGGGACAGAGTACAGGTGGAGGGAAACCGGGCAGTCCGCCTCGTACGTCAGTTGCTGGACATGACAGGCAGAGAGACTGGTTCGGCGTCATCTTGGATTGAGATAGATTGGATGATACCATCATACTTTACACACATACACACCATATGGATACAGAGCTTAAACAAGAGATTGTTCAGTATGACGTCTAGATGCAGGGCTGTACGACATACGTACTAGTTACTCCAGTCCATGTCCAAGCTAGTCATAGTGTCTGGAGTAGCGCCAGATGTCAGGATGGATAAAGTCAAGCGAATCAATAGCGAGACGCTCGGAGAATTTTGGCACGAGATAGTGTGGTTGGCTGCTCCACTTGGTGCTATTATTAAATTAGAGAGGGAGAAACGGATATATGAAGCGTATAATGACGCCACTCGACGTCAGGCTACATTACTGTTGTTACCCAAGTACGTGTCCTAGTATACCTCTGTTACTGTAGAGGGAAATTGGCGGCAGACTTAGCCGTGGATATTCGCATGGTAATACTTTGTACCAGAGGACAAAATGTATGGTACCGAGCACGCGAAGATTCTTCTGCTGTCAGAGCAAGTCTGACCTTTTCTGGTCCATGGATACATCGATACAAGCGGAGTCGCTTAAAAGGTATACAGAAGAGTGGGCGGATCCCGGTCTGTCTCATATCATACTAAAGTAATTATTACCTAGATCCCAGTCAGTCATAATTATACTGAGTCAGTCAGTATCCAATTATATTATGGAACCGACAGGATAATGATGCCGTAACGTCATGCACGGCACATCCAAGGGCCCGACTCCATCGCGTAGGTGGCTTCTCGGCTCCGATCAAGTATCACTGCTTATCCTTATGATGATGACGATGCGTGGTGTGCTTGTCTATGCGTAGACTGGGTTATTCAAGTAACATACTACTTTTCTTCTTCCTTTTAACTGTTGACTAAGTCATTCTATCTGCTTTTCATTCTGTTTCCACCTTGACAGTCTTGATTGTGACTAGATACTTGAAGTAATTATATACTTCTCCCGCCTCGAAAATATACAAAATGGCCACCGCAGAGAAGACAAAAGAACAGCAGAAACAACCAACCCTCCAGCAAGACGACGACTCGGTTGACTACTCAGACGACTACTCCGATGAAGACTACGAAACCGACGACTACGAGGTCTCCGGCGATGAAGCAGAAGCAGAGGATCCCAAGGCTCAGGCAAAACGTCGTCAGCGCCAACAACAACAACAACGAAGCAGACAACCAGACGCCGTAGAAGAAGCAGATGACGAGGACTACTCCGACGAAGATGACTTTTACTCTGATGAATACGACGACGAGGACGAAGACTACGATAACCAAGTCGCCTCCGGCAGGGCCATGCAGCCATACCAACCCCCGGCGGCAACCAATCCCTCTCCCAGAACGGGTCGATGAATGTGATACCACAACAGAAGCAGGGGTCGAGTCTGGACGACGAAGAAGGCATGAAGCTCAAGTTGGAGCTGAATCTCGAGATCGAGGTCGAGCTCAAAGCTCATATCCACGGTGATCTGACGCTGGCTTTGATGTATGTTCCCCTCTTGCCCCCTGATATCCCATTCATTCGCTCAATTCGAACAGGAGTTGACGCTCGATGCAGTGCATAATTGTTGTTGCCTGGCAGCCATACTGCTCTGTCATCCTCACGAGCCATGATGATCCGTCACGATTGAATAGCTTTACTTTGTCATGTTGTGTCAATAGAGTCTGGTTACCCTTTTAATAGTCAGCGTGATCCTTTGTGTTGACCTGGTGTCATTATGGATGTTTATGATATCTTAGCGTATGCGCAACTGAATAAAGTATGGGATTGCAACATCTCCAGAGTATTTACCGTTGTCAAGTACAAGACGTAGGACGAGCGCCAATTGAAATGAATAATCCCCCTGTCTATCCTCATCAGCTCGAATATCACGAAAGAGATCTGGACAAATTGAATGTTTACACTTGAAGCTGTACTATGGTTTGAGTCTTAAATATATGTCGACCCTCATCCCTCACGTGATATATATTGGGATCGCACTATGCGACAGTTGTCAACATTATTTTGCCCAGAGGCCAATTGCAAACTGACTCTTTTTAAGGCCTGTAATGGTGCAACCGTGCAAATCTCAAACCTGACCTGGGTAAGTGCTACACATGAGTCAACAGCAGTTAATCTCAGCCGAGGTACGTTGCTGATCACCTTTTAGAGACGACGAGATAAGGAGTCAACCATCAACACTCAACACCTCATCCGCTGAACAAATCCAAGAGACGAGAGACGAAATGGCAACCGATGCACCTGCACCCACCAAATCCTTCATCATCAAGCACATGAACACCAACCATGCCGACACGCTCTCTCTCTACCTACGCGCCTACTGCGGCGTCTCCGCCCACTTCGCCCATCCCGCCGTCCTCCAAGACATCTCCCTCTCCGACCTCCTCATCAGCGCGAAAGGAACCCGCTACAGCGTCCCCATCAACCCACCCATGACCTCCTTTTCCGAAGCCCGCGCCCGCGTCGTCGCCATGCACAAGGATTCTCTGCAGCGCCTCGGCCTCTCCGACATTACCATCGCCGAGTATCGGCCCCTCACGGGCTCCAGATCGTCTCGCTAGTCCTGGTGGTCGCTACGCTGGTGGTGTTTGGTCGGCGGAGCAATTTCCTGCCGGGGAGTGTGTTCTACGAGACGGTGGGCTTGGACCGGTATCCGGTACTTACGCGGTTCTGCTACGATGTTGCGCCGGTGGTGGTTGGGTTATTGCTAGGCGTGCATTTGGTGGAGGCGACGCTGTTGGCGGTTAAGAGGTTGAGGCCGCATGGGGTGCGGGTTGCGTCTGGGTTGTGGGTTGCGTGGATTGTGTCGAATTTTGTGGAGGGGTTTCCGGTGTGGCGGCGGTTTGATGAGATGGTGAGGGAGGAGCGGATGAAGAGGGAGCGGAGTGAATGATACCTCTATACGTAGTATGTATGTTATTGTAGAGAGGTGCCTCTCTAGCTTCGAATCATAAATTCATCTATCCTCGTGTTTATGAAGAGTGGAGTTATCCAATGCTATTGCTAGTGGAGTCCTAATGGTAGTCACGTGCCCACCCTTTTAGGCTAGCGCGCACTTTGGGGTAGGGCAAGAATCGACAAGCGAGCCAAGAAGCCAGTGAGCCACACTGCGAAATTCCCGAGCGTCGACGACCAGCAACATCAACTCCACGACAACCCAACGACCCTTGCCCGCTGCGTTCCTGGTGAAGGGCTGCAGAGTTAGAGGTGAGTTTCAACTTATTGCTTGCTTGCATTCTGTCTTTCAATTTCTTCCGACTTTCGAGAAGTTGGTGGTCGTCGGTGTTCGTGACAGTTCGTTGGCGATTCGGTAAAATTTGAGTCGGAAAAGGGCAACAACAGAAGACAACGATACATCAAGGCAGCGCAATTCGGCTTTCCTTCGAAGAATAATTCGTCTACTTGGTTGACGACTGCTGGCTACGACTGTTGGTTCGACACTGTTTGGTTTGAAGACTCTTGCGAGCACTTGATATCAGGACTTGGGACTTCTACGAACGAACGGAAGAAATTGAAGGCAGACGCAGGAGACCGAATTGCCTGGCTGACTGGATTTACGATAGTTCCCTACATCAACCGCAAACATGGGTATCTCACGCGACTCCCGCCACAAGCGTTCGGCCACCGGTGCGAAGAGGGCCACCTACCGCAAGAAGAGGTAGGACCTCAGTCATCCTTATTTGACATGCTTTGCACAGTTCAAATCTGACAATGCTGCAGGGCGTTCGAGAAGGGTCGCCAGCCCGCCAACACCCGTATCGGTGCTAAGAGAATCCACCTGGTCCGCACCCGTGGTGGTAACCGCAAGTTCCGTGCCCTCCGTCTCGAGTCGGGCAACTTCTCGTGGGGTTCCGAGGGCATTTCCCGCAAGACCCGTGTCATCGTTGTGGCCTACCACCCTTCCAACAACGAACTGGTCCGCACCAACACCCTGACCAAGTCCGCCGTCGTTCAGATTGATGCCGCTCCCTTTAGACAATGGTACGAGGCTCACTACGGCCAGCCCGTCGGCCGGAGACGCCAGCAGAAGACCGCCGAGACCACCACCGAGAAGAAGAGCAACAGCGTCGTGAAGAAGCAGGCTGCTCGCTTCGCCGACCACGGCAAGGTCGAGCCCGCCATCGAGAAGCAGTTTGAGTCCGGTCGTCTGTACGCCGTCATCGCCTCCCGCCCCGGCCAGAGCGGTCGTGTCGACGGTTACATCCTGGAGGGTGACGAGCTGGCTTTCTACCAGCGTGCTATCCGCAAGTAAAAAGAAAAATTTATTTGGGGTATTGCGCTTGCGTGTCGTGTAAAAGGGTGGTTTCGGAGTTTCAGCAATGTTTTCCAGAAAATATCATGATCTGGGCATCGGCATATGCAATGTCTGTAGAGCTCTGAGCTGTCAATCAATGGGATGATCCTTACGTTGTTCAATAGTTTTAAATGGTTTAGTCCAGTAGAGCTTTTCCATCTAACGTACAACCACCAGGCAACCCAGAATTCCAGCAACTCCGCCCATGCACTTTTGGAACTACAACCCAACTTCAACTCTACAACTTACGCACATCTACACACTCCTCCAACTATCTACTGACTACAGTCATGGACAATAAAACAATAAAAACCCGCCTTCTCTTGATATCAGACACCCACAACACACCCCTCACCCCCTCCCTCCCCGCACCCTACCGACACCCCTCCCAAAAGCGCACATCCTCATCCACTCTGGCGACCTCACAACAATCGGCAGCTACAAAGAACACACCACCACCCTAGCAACCCTCAAATCCCACCCCGCAGAACTAAAACTCGTCATCGCCGGCAACCACGACATCACCCTCGACGAGGAATACTACGCCGCCCTCCCGCCAAGCAGTTTCAAAACCTGGTCCGGGCGAGAGGATCCCGCAGCCATAAAACAACTCTACTGCAGTGATGACGCGCAAGCCGCAGGGATACGCTACTTGGACGAGGGAATGCATTGTTTTACCCTGAGTACCGGGGCGCAGTTGAGGGTGTTTGCGTCGCCGTATACGCCGGCGTTCTGTGGGTGGGCGTTTGCGTATCCCCGCGGGAGCGATAGGTTCAATCCCCTTCCGGAGGGAGCATCAGCATCAGCATCAGCATCAGCATCAGCATCAGCATCAGCGTCTGGCCCTGCGGGTGGTGATGTAGGGGCAGCAGCAGGGGCGAGTGTAGTGCCCGACTTCCCTTCTGTGGATATCATGATCACGCATGGTCCGCCGGCGGGGGTGCTTGATACGGTCGTTAATGGGGGCAGTGTAGGCTGCGAGGCGTTGTTTGCTGCTGTGAAGCGGGCGAAGCCGCGGGTGCATGTCTTTGGGCACATACATGAGGGGTATGGTGCGCTGCGAGGGGAGTGGGGGCGGATATGACGTTGGGAGGGACGAAGGTGGTGTGCGATGAGGATAGGGTGCGCGAGGAGCGGGGCGCGTATGTGGATGTTAGCGCTGACTCGGGGCGGCCGCTGCGGTTTGGGGAGGAGACGTTGTTTGTGAATGCGAGTATGCTGGATGAGAGGTATAGGGCTGTGAATGCGCCGTGGGTGGTGGATTTGGATTTACCGGTTGCCTCGTAGGTACTGTGCTACGGAGTATGTATATTACGGAGTACAGGTTTGTGTCTACAGAAGCAGCAGGTTGACAATCAATTATTTGCTATAATTGCAGAGGTATCTAGGGAAGGTATCAATCATGACAAAAAAAAGACAAAGACAAGTATATCCACGTAGAAAAGGTAGAAAGAATGATTTCAGCTGCGTAAAAGTAACGCTCAATGCATATTGCCTGCTCATGTGCAGATGCATATAACTTGACAGACGAAAAAAAGAAAGGAGTAATGTCCAGACATTATGATAAGGATTGATTATTCTTCATGAAGAATGCCGTTCGTCTCGGGTCGGATCTCCAGACGACTGGTCTTGCGACCCACTCCCTTGAAGAGGCTCAACCTCTTCATCACAGAGTCGCGGACGCCTCCGCTGTGAGACTGGCTATATGAATGGCCGCCCGGCGATCCGACCTGACTGCGGTTGGGAGACCGTACTGACTGGTTGTCTCTGACAGAAGTGGCTCTGACCACCCCGCCTCCCTTGATGCTGGTGATAGAATCGTCTCCAGACGGCCCGCCGTGTTGGGACCCGCTACGACTGCGGTTGTCCTGCGAGCGTGAACCGCTTCTCGATAGCTGTTCTTGTACGTCCTCCGTAGAGGCGGCAATGGATGAGCCGTGCTTGTGGACCATCTCCCCAAAGAAACTCCGGCGTTTCGTATGAGTCGTCCCGGACTGAGCGGTGGTTCGACTGTGGATCGTGGCAGTATCGTCGTCATGGTCTTTTTCCTCCGTCTTCACGTCAATCACGGTGGCCACTGACCCGTTCGCTGCGTGGTTCGCTCGTTTGAAAGGGTTCATAATGCTGATCCGTTGGCTGACGGACGGTTTCTCCGAAGGCTTGCGTACGTGGTTGCGCGGACTGATAGAGCGCGACTGTCTCTGCTTTTGCCGGCTCTCTGCGGAAACCGGAGACTGGCGTTGGGTTGCCGGGCTCTCGGCCGCCACGCGACTGAGAGAGGCGAGTTCCGGTGCAAAGGCTTCCTCGAATTGACGCATGAGCTCGGCTTGCGTGGCCTGGTGCGCCGGACGGGCATACAACGCAAGAGCATGTTTAATGGCCAAGGCATGGTCGATGAGAGCCACGGCCAGAGCATTCTTCATCGGGTCCGCCGGCTCCTCGACCTTTTCAGTGTCGTCTTCATCAGCTTGCGACAGAAATTGACGATAGAGAGCCACGCAACTGGCCGAAGAGGAGTTGAGGTCAAGCAGCTGCTGCAGCGCCTCCGTCAGACTGGACAGGCCCTGATCCTCGCCCGAGGCAGCTCGTCGCTCGAGCAGCGACAGTTCCTGCGTCTTACGCCAGGTTCGCTCGACCGCCGTCTGCAGCGGTGACAACACAACCTCCTCCACGGCGACAATCTCACTCCTGCGGAGAATGTTCGGGAACGGCTCGGCGGTCGTAAAGATGGTCTTTTCCACCCATTGCTCCTGCACATCCGTGCCGCGGACGTGTCTCTTCAACGTCGAAGAGAACTGAGAAGGTTCCGAAATCAAAAGATGATCCCTGACGGCCTGTGGAATTTTCGACCGTTGATAGACTGGATGCGTCATATCCCGGTGCGCGCTGACAGAGGTGATCTGCAAGAATTGCCCCTCGTAGTCTTGCACCTCGCCAGAAGAGACAATCTGCGCCGCAGGATGCTCTCGCTGCATTCGGTCAACAAAGCTAGCCATTCTTTCATTCGGCGCGCCCTCAAAGATAAATTCCTTGTCCCTCAAGGTAGGTGGGAACCCAAGCCCCTTGTAGACCACACGGAAATAGCGAGGGAATTGCTTCTCCTCCTTGGCGAGAGATTCATGGATCTTGGCCATCGAGCTTTGCGCGCGCGAAAGCTTGGCAAAATCCATCACTGTATGTTCGTAGTGCTCCGCAAGCTCTTTGTAGCAGACTAGCGCATGAGCCCAGGCCCTGGCATCCTCGAAATGCTGGATGATGGCAAAATACAGCGATTCCTTGCGGTCGAACGACGTCTGCTCGGGGAACGGAGGGTCAAGCACCGCGGAAACTGTTCGTCTCGGGTCCCAATCGTAGAGATCAGCGTGGAACTGGAGGGCAAGACCGGCTTCGGTGAAGTTGCCGGCCGCCGCCTGTACGTCCGCTAATTCATGCACATAGCGAATGAAGATGTCTTCCCGGCCCATATCCTTCATATACTCCATCAACCTCAGTGTATGCATACTTTCGGCCATCGACCCGCTCTGTGATGCGACAAACAGATCCAAGAGTTCGTCGACGGTCGCGATGAGACCTTTGACGGCATCGGAGAGGTCCTCGTCAAAGGCAGCGCAGCCCTCAAAGTATTCGAGGAGTTCGCCGACGAACAGCTTCTGGATAATGCTCTCGTTCATCTTCTTTGTTTTGAAGAGATGGTCTAGGCTGGATATGATTTCGGTCTCAACGATGGAAAGCTCTTGGTTCAGACCCCATTCGCTCAGAATCATGGTCCGTAAGATTTCCACCGCGACATGCCGTAATCCCTCGTGTACACTGAGGCAGAGTCCGATGATAGGCGCCACGAGGCCAGGCACATATTGAACCTGGTAGCCGCCGAGCTTGCGCAGCCCATACCGTTCCCGGTCCTCATCTGTCGTTTCCCAACCGATGGCCTCCCAGCTGGAGCGCAGCAGCTCCGCTCCCTGCTCACGAACGTCGCCGGCGATCTTCCAGACTGCCCTTCGTTTCTGCTCGGGGAATGTTTCCAAGGCCAGTGCATCACTGGACACAACCTTGAGCAAAGTCATGAAGAAGCTCTCCCACAACCTCGTATCAAAGCTCTCTGCATCATCCGGCGCCGGCAAAAACTTGCTGGTAAGCAGTGTAGCGAGGTATTCCAGACTCTTTACGGTAGCTCGGTGATTGTACACATGCACACTGAACCAACTCTCAGGATACGCTTCGCAGTTCAAAATCGAATTGTGAACCTCAAGTGCCTGGGAAATGAACGTAGCAAGTTCCAGACCCTTGAGCGACGGCTTCTTCGGCTTGGGGATCGTTGCTGTGGCAGCCATAATCGCCGACAATTCGACCAGCGCCTCATCGAATTTCTGGCTGGTTTTCGAGGCCTTGACTTGGAACGGGAACGACTTGCTAAAGAGAAGAGACAGATAGCTGGTCTCCTCCACACCATCCGGTATGATTGAATAGTATGACGAGACGATCTGTGGCATGAAACCGTACAACCACGGATCTGGCTGCTTCAGAAGCTGTGCCACGATCGCGCAACTCAACCGAACCTGATCGCGATATTGGTCGGTGATGGATCCGGTGGCTCCCCAGTACGGTTCCAGCCAGCCAATGCAACTGGAGATCAAAGTCCGCCTTTCTGGTCCGGATTCGAATATCTCCAGCTGCGTGTAGTGCTGAATCAGGACCAACTTGTACAGCACTAAAAGTCCTTTGACGTCGCTGCAAGAGTCCATAAAGCTGAGCGCAATCATGATGATCTCGTCTTTGCTAATGACTTTGGATAGCTCCGGAAGCCACGTGTGGAAATGCTGCACAACAAGCGTCTTGTTGCCAACCATGGCCGGTGACGGATTCCTCATCAGCACTTCCAGCGATTTGAAGATGGTGTGCAAGTCCCGGTTGAAAGTGGACTGGACGCGAGTGATGCCGATGCCTTCCTCCTTGGCCTTTTGCTGCTGCCTGGCATTGATGATGAACTTGAGGACATGTCGGCCGACCTTGAATGTGGCACGCAGACTCCGCGACTGTTGCACATCGGAACTAGCCTGAAGGAGGCGGAGATAGCTTCGTATCAGGCAGGGGGTAGCGAAGGGGAAATTAAATTGCTTGTCCGCATAGTGGTCAACAAGCGGGCCAAGGTTGAACCGTCGATCATGGACGATACCAAGGACTGTCACAAGATTGTTGAATATCAGGTCTTCGTACTCCTCATTTCCGGCATTTTCCACCAGGATTCCAAATAGCGCATCAAACACACTGCTCAGCTGCTTGACGATCTCAATCTCGGGCACAAACAGAACCCTCTTCAAGGTATCCAAGACCTCATCTACCGGCCGGTCCCTCCAGTGCAGCAAGCTCAGAATCACCTGGTCCTGGGAGTATTCAGTGCTACATAGGTAAGTCTCCAAGCGCAGGGTGGCCAGCGGCCCAGTAATCGCTTCATCCTTGGCTGACTCGTTCTTGCCGAGTGAGCTCCATGGGAGGGACAGGTAGGCACCCTTGCCGTTCTCGATGCTGGAAGTTTGCTTGTCGTACGCATGCAGCAGCAGAGAATGAGGACCGTCGCGGATGAACGCCTGGTTGTCCCACAATGGCATCCATGCCAGGGCGAAAGGGAACTCGGGAGCGTCCGCAATGCTCATAATCAAATGAGCGCCTGGTATGTCCTCTGTGGGCACATTCAAACGGATCGTCTGGTTCCAGGGAGTGCCCCGTTCCGTAATCATAGTTCGCCATGCAGTGTGTGCGACGTTGTTCGACGAGGGGAAAATGCATTTCTCAACTCGGGATCCAGAGGCCGCCCGCACCTCGAGGGTCAATTGCAGGTTGCGAAGCCCCGTAGTTGTCGGCACCGGGAGCTGGCCCGCCTGAGGATGTGACAAAAGAGCTTCGGGAGGAAAGGTAGCGTGAGAAATGGTCACATAAATGTCGGACCGAGGTTTCGATGGCGCTTGAGAGAAGCCGATCCGCTTCGTTTGGATCACGTTGTGCATAATGGTTGGGTTCTTTCGGACCAGGGCGTCGGAATCCGAGTCTACGAATGGATACATGTGTAAATGTATGCGAGCCGCGCGCTCAGATCTCACGTATTTCCCGCTGGGGCTTGGGAGCAGCGTGCGTACCAACCCATCAAACCCGTCCACATGTCCCTCGCCCTCTTCAAGCCACGACGACGGAGACCAGATGTTGACAATCTGCTCGGCGTCTTTCTCTTGCCGAAGGATCTGGGATACTTCAAGCAGACCGACTGCGAGAGTGCGCAGCGTCGTAGATGACTTTGAAGATTGCGTATCGGCTCGATCTTTAGTACTGGAAGAACTCTCCGAAGATTGGGGCGGTCCCGCGGAGCTTTCCTTCCCTGGCTCGGCGCTCTGAAGGCCCCGTGGTTTAGTGCTCCAGATCATACTGCGGCGAGTTCTGAGGCTACCCTTCCCTGGCTGGCCTGCGGAAGTTGGCGATTTCGCAGCCGAGGAACTACCTCGAGAGATTGAGGGTCTGGACTGGAGAGGGGCGCCTACTGCCGGCGTCTCCGGCACACGAACCTCAACGACGAGGTATAGTTTCGGGCCGTTGGCCGATCCATCCCCAATGTCAGTGGCGCACAAATCAGTAAAGAGTGTTTTCAACTTGCTGCTCTGGCCCATGCTGGCGAAGGACTCGGGGGACGGAATCTCTAGCAGGTATGTCTCCGATAAGGGCTTAGGGGCGCCACCATCGGTTTGGGAGCAGAGATGCACGGCGAGAGTGACTGGACCTGGGGAGTTGCCAGAGACAGCATTGACCTCGAGGAGAAGATGATGTAGCGATGCAGTATCAGAGTGCTGAATGGGACTCTCGTCCAACATGCTCATCTCGGATTGGAGCTTGGTCAATTGGACAGCAGAATCCTCGCCCGTCAATAATCGGCCTCTCTGCTCAGGATCTCTCACGATTACCTCTCCTCCCAGCATCTTGTTACCGCGGACAAGCTTCCAGACCACTTCCTGTCGCAATGCCTCCTTCTCATATGCCGTCAACACGTCGTGCAACAGCTGCCTCCGCGCAAAGTCCAATTCTCGGACCAGGTTGTACATCTCTTCCACCACGTCATATTGACGCGCCAGTAATAATTCATGGAGATTCGTCGAATGCCACTCGCGCAGACATGAGGCGATCTCGTCGACCAGCGGCTCCGACAACGAGGTAGGAGTCTCGTCGCCGATCTTGAGCATTGGAACCGGGGCAGCTGGCTTGGGCGCATTCGGATCGCGAGGGGTCAGGGTCACCGGCGTCACCGGCGTATGAGGAAGCGAGGGTGTCTGGATGATGTGGTTGATGGAGATCGGACTTGCCTGACCGTCCTCCAGCCTCTGGATAAAGATCTGCGAGGGTTTGCCCTTCTTGGCAATGATGACATCCGATACCTCACCGGCCAGATGCTCATCATCCTGTGAGTAAGCGACGCTGCTTCTCGTCTCTGTCACCAGATCGTCTGCTCCTCGGCCGTCGCTCAATCGATCACCATTGGTCAGCGCTTTCTGCCCGTCGCCGTCGCCGAGCACTTCCCGAATCTCAACACAATTGCGAGGAAAGATGCCGGAGAAAACCCTTGCTTCGAGAGTCTGGCCCTTGGTGCTCGTCAGACCCGCCAAGATCGACGGCGGCGCGACCAGGTACCCACGACACCATTCTCCATTGACGCCCCCCTGCTCGATTATGTACAGTTCATCGCCAAGCTCTAGCGGCAGGTCGGCCGCTGTCGACGGCTGGAAAGGATAGATGGCAACGGCGAAGGCAATCCGAGGCAGAGGCCGCCAGGGCATATCTGCTATGAAACGAGCGACACAGGGCAAGCCCCGCAGTGGTCTTCAACGGCCGGCGAGAAACGAGGGGCAGTGCGCCAACCGATGGAGGCGAGCAACGGATCGGAATTTGAGAGTGTGATATCTTCCCGATCGAAGGAATGAGGGGCGGCTACATGCGAGTATTCGCCTCTAGGAATATGTATGGACGGTTAGTGAGGTGTGGAATGTGCGAATCCTCGGAGCGAACACTTAGATACCAGAAAATGTGTGTGATCGACACGGCTTTTTTTTTAGAGACGTATGAGATTTTAAGGAGTGCTAATTTGCCAGTCTGAGGACTGGAGGGACATCAGGTAACGGGAGATGTCAGTGTGCGTCGTTTAAATCAGAAAAGAGCGTCGGTGACAGAGGATCATGATCTCGATGGCTGGAGCCAGGAGCGCAACAAGAATCCTAGAATTGTAAACAAATTCAGTATCAGCGTCGGAAATGTAAAACGTCAGTCTGCCTTTCTTCTTTTCTTCTTTTCCTTTTCCCCTCTCCTTTGAGTTTAATTTTCTCCGCCTTGCCCCCCTTGATAGCGGTGGATGCATTATTATTGCGCTGTGGAGAACCAGCACCAGTTCCCCTTGCCAGAGAAATGTGGAGAAAATCGCCGTTCAAAGGGGGGGAAAGAGAGAATTGAAGGAGATGGCGGGGTGCTTACCAATTGAGAGAATGGCAGGAAAGGGCAGAAAGAGTTCAACAATAGATATAAGAGAGAGTGAGAAGACGAAAGGGAGAAAGGTTGGTAGAGAAGCGATCACGATGGAAAGAAAGATTGAAGCTACGAAAAAGGGTCCCGACTGCAAAAGATCCAGGCACCCAGGCAGGAAAACTTGCTGATCGTCACACTCGACGGGCCTGAACACAAACCTACTAGATACTACAGATACTAGTTTTGAGGCTGGATTCTTCGAATATGAAGTGAAGTCTAATTCCATTCAGTTGGTATAACTATACTGCATTGCAACTATCGCAGTTATTTATGCTGATGCTCTCTTTCAGTATCGCGAGTCATCCCTGGAATCACGATCGAGTCTACCCCAGCCTTTATTCTCCTTCGATCGAGATTAACACGATCAAGCCCATGCATCTCTAGCACGTTCTCCTTCCAATCCCCAAATCACACCTGCTGAACCCTGTATGATGTATCTGGATCTCTGGTTTTGGTACTCGTCATCTCGCCAATTGATAAAGAGAAAGAGTTCGCTCCAACCACGGCGCAGCATCGGCCCCTGAACCAGACCCGATCGCACCTCTATACAACAAAAATGGATACATCACTCCCCACCTTTCTACAGAATCAAATTGATTAAGATGATCGCCTCTTTACGTACTGGGTACTTGATGGGCGCTTTTCCTTCTAGCCCACAGTGATAAAACAGTAGTGCAGATCGTCAAACGATGCCCGAGTCTTGGGTACGGTCCAGGAGTTATTCTGAAACACGATCGACTTTGGCAACGAACATGTTCGTGGTCTCGGTGATTGACTGTCGATAACCGTAAAATTCTGTCACCTGGAAGTATTGCTTAGAATGTTAAGGTTATCTGGTGGCATTTGCGTCTGTATGCTTAGTACATGACCTCTGGAGATGCACTGGAAAAGTGCATGATGAAAATGGGCCTGGGCAGATATATATACGTATATATATCAGAGACTAACTAGAGAGAGAAAAATCGATCATAAGAAACAAAACAGCTTCATCAGTGGACGCTGTCAGTCAATGGACTAGAATTCGGGTGACAAAGATCCTCGTCTCTTTACTAACAACTTAACTAAACCACATCTCCAGATACAGACTACAAAGCTGGTCACAGTTGAGCTTTTTTCGGCCATCAGCCGCCACTCCGGCTCTCGTACCCACGCTCCACCAGGTTATTTTAGCAAAGTCTTGATTCCAACCTGGTGGATGCTTTCCTAACCTTTAAGCCACATGAATTCCGTTTCATCTGCAAGGGTCCTCGAGAGAATATTGCACGTCTGTCTTTTCTAATCAAGTACCTTCAGGCTCTCGATCTTTGACGTGGAAGGAATCCTTCAGGCATCAAGTGCAAGAGCTTGTTGGACCCTTTCTGAAGGATATCCTCTAGACATACTAAGGAGGGATTCCTTCTAATAGGTTTCGAAAACATGAACTGCTGGATCCGTCCAGAATGAGTGGCTTTGATCCTCGCGTCCACTTTATCCCTTCCAGATAAACCTACTGGCTGTTAAGCCAAGAAGCGCAAGTTGTCTTACAAAGGCCATGACAAGCCTCTGATGTGCGCGGAGGGCTTGAAAAAGGAACTAAATACTATATACCATTGACAAACTAGAAGACATCCGGGCATGGCCACCACAAATCCGCGGCCGTAGCTTAGAGCGGTATTATTCGTGTCGCTTGCCAAATGAGCTGAGCTTGCAATCTGAATCATCCCAGGGACTGATCCGGAGCAATCTCTCTAGACATTCATGGGTACGTCTTGCCCTCTTCACACACCTGCTTGAAAACCTCCTCCGTGTGCTGCACCACCTTCTCCACCGCGCTCTGTACTCTCGTCCTCTGTATTTTCTTGTTTGGCGGAAACACCTCACTGTCCCAATCCAACCAGTAGCAACCACTCCCCTTCGTCCCATCGCTGCCAGCAGCGATATCCCCTTCCCCCCTTCTCCCTCAGCTTTCGGAGGAAACCTCCCACTCGTCGCCGCAAACAAATGCCTCTCTCCGCTCTCATCGAGCGGGACCATGAATGGTTTCAACAGCGGCGTCAGCACAGCCGACAGGACTCGTCCAGCGGGCAGTTCACGCATCACGCCCGTGGCCACTCCAGAGGGGTACGCATGGACAAAGGAGGTATGCGGGTGTCGCTCCGCCATGCTTTCCAGGAAAAAATTGCCCATCAGGCTGGCGTGCCAACCGCATTTTTTCAGGGTAAAGGTGTGCTTCAGACTAAGGTCAGAGAAGTCGAGGGTGCCAGCGCCGCCGGCGCGGACGGAGACCATTGGGTCTAGGACGGAGACTACGCGGGATAGTCTGGTGCTGGCATCGACAGAGGGATCTTGAGCGGCTGCGCTCAACTGAGGAAGCAGGTTGGTGATGAAGCGCATCCGCGCATAGTAATGCAGCACGAATTTTCGGTCCAGACCTTCGGCCGTCTCGTCCCGGCCTTTCAGCGTCAAATATCCGGGTGTCATGAAAAGAAGGTTAATTGATTTTTCTCTTGCTGCGAGCTCGGCACACACGCTGTCGACATTTTTGAGAAGGGAGATGTCGGCTTGGAGAAAGGTTGGCTGGGCGGAGGGGTTGATGCTTTTGATGGAGGCGATGGCAGCATCGGCGGCGGACTGGCTGCGGCCGATGAGGTAGATTTTGGGCGATGTGGTGTACCGGGTGAGTGCGAGGGCCGTTGAGAGGGCGATACCAGAGGTACCGCCGACTGGAGGGTGTTAGCGACTTGGAGGCTTCCGAAAGAGGGATATTTGCAGCAATTGTTTCATCGTAGATTGTGGAATATTGGAGCAGGTGAACTTACCAAACACCGCGACGAGACCTGAGGCTAGGGATGTGAGAGCCGCATTGTGGGCTTGGATGGCGTGAAGGGTTACCATTGTTGCTTCGACCTCTGGCAGATTGGCAGGATGTAGGGCGCACGGCTGTGAATCTAGGATTTCTTATTGCGATGAATACTTGGTGAAGAAAGAGGACATGAACTGAGAAGCAAAACACAATCTTCGGAGAGATGAACTATCCGATAGCCAACTGCACTTTGGGAACTGAGACGAGGTCAGCAACGAGAGAGTCGGTGGTCTGCAGACAGGGACGAAGAGAGTTACTTACTACTGCACGTCGATCCTCTAGGCCAAAAACAACTCAAACTCGACTGTGCAGCTGTCCAGATTATAGGCAAAAATAAGGATCTTTCACTAAACGTCCCAAATAGATGAAAGAGATGATTTGGCTGATGTGAAGTGTCAAGAGGGATGGCTGACGAGAAGTATGCAGTGGCTGACGTGAAACCACCTTGATGACAAGGGGAAACTCATCACGAACAAAAACAGCTTCAGTCAGCCAAAACTCGGAGTGAAGAAAGTCAGAGGCCGCGCACTAGGCAACATGCTATTTTATCTAATAATGAAGCTCTCTTGTAGCATCATCTGCTACTGGAAGTTGACAGCGACAGCCCATCCCGACAACCCGTGTTCTACCCTCCCAACTCCAGTGCTACCTTCTTTACTACAGTCCATACTTTTCTGAGTGACCATTATTGGAGCCGTCGAACAACTATACCCGCAGACATGAGCGCGGCGGGGCAAGTTCGGGCCCAATGACGACTGGGAGTCCGAGAGTGCGGAGGACAGCATCCGCCATCTCCAGCCTGGAGGTGAGGGAAGCAGAGCTTCACAAGTTGGCCAAACGGCTCACAGAGCAGGGCACTCATTCAACAGCTAGACAGAACCCCTATGCTGCGGAGCCTGGATCGGACCTGGACCCAATGGTGAACACTTCAATGCTCACGAGCTCGACCATACTGACACAGGCGATGGCAGCTGCTCGCACGGCGCATGCTTTACTCTGTGCTTTCCACGCTGCCTGCCGGGACTGAATGTGCACGTCTTCCCCAGGCGCTTGCTTCGGGCGCAACCCTTGTTATTGAGGTTCCTGCATTTGACCTACAGTGTGTAAGGTAGCCAGCTGTTAGTATGATCACCAGAGTATGACACGGTTGCATACCTTTCTGGCCCGGCACCGATTGCAGGCCAGGTTCTTTTCTAGATTCGAGGAGCCATGCGGCCACTCGATGAACTCGGGTCTCTTTGCTATGAGGGTTCCAATGCAGGGTCCCGAACATGATGCAATGGATGTTAAGGGAGGGTAAGTTGCTACACCGGAGGGGGGCGTGTATACGTGTAAATTTGATTCTGATTCTTTGTTTGCTTCTGGATGAATGCATTCTACAATCATTACTCAGACTTGGCCAACCTCTACAATTGTAGCTGCCAGCTGCCAGTATAAAGTAGAATGCCAGTATAAAGGGACTGAGGTGAGAACCAGGGCATAGACCAATTGGATCTCCCATCACACCGCAGCGCATCATCTACTACCTATAGTCTATCCACATCATGATAATGGATTATCAACTGTCTTTCCATCAGCGTTCGATCAGTTGTTTGTCATGGTGGAAAGTGTGGCTGACGAACTCGTTGGGTTTTCATTTCAAATCGAACCAATAGCCAGGAAGTTCAGCCAGGCACGTCTATATCTAGTAGAGGTACTGTGACGATGAGTCTGTACATATATTAACTACGAACTCTACTAGGAGACAACTCATAGATCCCTAAATAGTGATATACCTACTTTAGATTGGAACGAAGCTCCGTGAAAACATCTCTCTGACTTGTACATACCTCTGGCAGTGACAGACAGTGACAGTAGTACAAGTACAGAAGTCTGTCATATATTAGGCTAGCTTGAAGACAATCCATCGAATGCTGTATCCAATACGCCATAGTTCTATAGTCGTCAATGTCAATGCTTCATAAATCCTCCCTGAGCCCGGAATAACGCAAAACATGGAGGCAGGCTGAGAAGCAATACAACAGAAAGACAAGAAAAAGAAAAAAAATGCTACCGGTTGAACATGGCAATGGCATCCTCCTTCCGCCATTCCAGCTCAAGTTGCCCTTCGTAGACTGCATCCAACACGTGTCGTGTCCGGTCATACGCCTCCTCGTATCGCCGCTCGCACGCTCGAAGCACTTTTAAGACCAGGCTGCGGCTGAGCCCCGGGTCGTCTGCATCCCCAAAGTGCTTGTCCACTCGTTTCTTCAATAATTCAATCCCGCGCCGGATTTCTTTGCTGTCATACATCGCCAACACCTTCTTGGCAACGGACCGGGAGTGGCTGGGTCGGCTGGCGATGTCCGCTGGGTTACCACCCGCGGCCATCAGCCCCTCAGCCGAATCGATAAACTCCAGCAGCTTACCCAGTGGCCGGTGGATGACCAGGTCCAGGTAGAGCTTCAGGTGTTCCTCGTAATCTTGGTGTGCTCGATCGCGCCACCGCTCCAGGACAGGGAGGCCGCGCATATCCACCTCTTCAATGTAGTGGTTCATATTCTCAATGAGAAGAATATGGTAATTCAGCACTTCCTTGTCTTCGGGGTCGCCCGCACTAGCAGCCGCTCCGGTCGGTGCCTCCTTGGCAATAAATTTCAGAGACTCCCACATCGCTCGGTTGATCCGATCATAAGCGTCATTGACACTGACCCGAATGTCAAAGAACTCCTGGTTGGGTTGAGAGAGCATATTCTCAACCGCCGCAGAGAAGTTGGGGAAGACGCGAATGAAGGAGATGACCCCCTTCCGCTTGTTGACCTTGACCTTGGTGTCCTCGATTCCCCGGATTTGTTCGTCAACGAAGCGATTGAACAGGCCATTCAGACGGGAGTGCAGCTTCTGCAGGCAGCGAATAATGAACTCCTGGTTGGTGTCATCAAAGTCCGACATGGCCTTTTCCAGAGCAGACAAGATTCCAATTCCTTGTCTATGCACGTGTTAGCTTCCATATCGGGATAGTCCTTATAAAATTTCCAGGTGACTTACAGAGGATCCGGTTGGATGGCCCAGTCCACAAGGTTCTGCATGTCGGTCGACCAGAACGAGTAGACCTCGTCCATGATCTGCTCGACTTTTCTAGCCATCCCGCGGTCGGGATCGTGCGGCTGCCTGGCGCTGAAATCAGGAAGTGGTCGCTCATCGGGGTTGCCAGAGGCCACAAAGTCGGAAAACTCGATGTTGCTCAAGGAGCTCAAGTGGAAGAAATGAACGATAAAGTTCTGCTCTTCGGAGATCATCTTCAGCGTTTCCTGAAGTGTGCCGGCAAAGACTTCGCAGGGCTCCAGTCTCCCATGTTGCTTCTCACCCGGTGTAAGCCGCAGACCAGCTGCGGCCCTGATCGTTTTGCCTCGTCGCACCGTCAACTTACGTGCTGCCATTGTAATGCCCTCGCTCTCCTTTTCTTTCTCCTGGTGGGTGAAGAGGAGCTCCTGTTCTTCCCCACTAGGTTTCCTGCCGGCTCTCTTCCACGCCAAGTTGTTGTCTCGGAATTCGTTCTGATAAGGCATTTTGGCTTGTTGTTCGTAGAGACTGATCAGCCCATGCCACTCGGACCCGCTGACCTCTCTGGCAAAAAGCATCAAGGCGTTGTACATCCATAACTCTTGACGGAAATACGCTCGAGCTTCGCTGTCCAGCTTGAGAGGATCCTTGGGGCCATTCGCTGCAGCGTCGACCCTCTTCTGCTCGGCCACTTTATAGGCAATAGCCATGAACTGACGGAGTCGTTGCAGGAACACTCGAGACTGTGTTCGGTACTCTTCCTTTTTCTCTTTGATGGCGCGCATCTGTCCTATTTCCGTGTCGGCATACACCCCGACGCTCCCTTGCTCCCCAGCAGCATCGCCCAACCGTTTTTTATTCTGCCATATATCGGGATCAATCATCAGCATGGCTTTATATAGCGTCGATAGAGCCGCCTCGGTGTCTCTCAAACCATCTGGGTTACTGAGAGACGACTCTTTGAGCGGCTGCAAGTCAACAACCGAGATAGAGAGCGTCTTCAAAAGATTTTGAAGCTCATTATGAAGCAACTTCTGGTTGGCAGTCTGCACCTGCAAACCTTGAGATTGTGTCTCGATATACGACACATCTTCGTGCAATGTCTGTACCATACGATTAGAAGGGGAGGAAACAAGAATCACGGCGACGACTTACGTTGAGTTCGTGCGAGTACAGAGTTAGTAGCCCGTCCAGCTCTTCGCACTCTTCAATAGTCTTGTCAATTAACCTTGCCAGTTGGTCTACCTTGCCTTCCTGTTGTTCAAGGTTACCAAGCCAGCTTGTGGCCTCGACGCGCCCGATCTCACGACGAATGTCTGCCTCAAGATCCTCAATCTTCTTCTCATCGCTCAAACGTCCATTCCAGCCCAGATCAGTCAAAATATCATCAAAGTCCGCACCACGCCCTTCCAGGATATTCGAGTCAATCCCCAAAGCCTGACAATACTTTATAGTGTTGTCTTCGCGACGCCTACGACGGCCATTCGGCGACGGAGAGACGGACCTTGCTCTTTCATCCGCGACGGTCTTGACTTCGTCTCTGGCGGTATCTCTAGCTTCGTCCGGAGATCCAACGGCCGTATTAGCAGCTTCAGCCGCTGGAGGCTGCGTAACCTCGACCGTGGGAGGCTCCAACGCGGTAGGAGCCACAGGAAAGGGCGCTTCTTTAATTGGAGACGGAAGCGCAGGGGGCGTCTCTTTGTCGGGTGTGCCAGACGCAGCCGCAGGGGTGACCTCGGTTCCAACTCGAAGCGAGGGTGCGGGAACGACGCCGGTGATCCCGTCCGGTTCATCTGACATACTTTGCTGTTTCTTCGCTGCGGCCAGTAGTCTCTCACCAGCACCACCGGGTCGGGGCTTGAACGCGCCGTAGGCAGTGGCAGCTTTGCGCAACGCACCCGCAATGTCTCTGCTTGGTTTCTTCTTGATCATCGGGCCCAGCCCCGGGCGGTGTTCATCTGACTCTTCTTCAACCGACTTGGAGGATTCGGGAGAGCTGACCAGTGGTGGACTCGGTAATCTCTCCCGTGGTGGTTCGCTCGATTCAGCTGCGGGTAGAGGAGTCACGGATGCTGCTGTTTCCAGAGGCGCAGCGGCCACAGACGGTGTAGGTACATTGTTACTTCTCGAAGAAGCTGGTCTCAGTGCAGGTGGTATGTCGGGAGACCGCATCTTGACGGGATCGGCTGGTTTATCAATGATCAGAGACTCTACCTGCATCCCTGGAACTGACAGATTTTCTCTGCTCTCGCCCAAAGATTTATTCGCTCCCATGCTGCTTGCCGGGGTCTGCATAACATCGAGGTTCTCGGCAGACACAGACACAGCTGTGCTAGGACGGGCGTCCCGATCGCGTCCAATCTCGTGCAGACTCGAGCTTAAGTTCTCAGTCCGAGGCACAGGGCTGGGTTCTAGGCCAGCTTTCCCATGTTGTAGTGAGGGTGATGGTCGAAGGTCTGAGCTAAGATCTACTTGGCTGCTTGGTGTATGCGACACTGGCTTAGTAGCAGCCAGACTGTCAGAAACCTCTTCAATTCTTGGTTCCGGTGGCGGTAGTACGGGTGCCTTGGGCAGACGTTCATTTGACCGCGGAGGAGGTTCACCTCGTGGGTCAGGGGGAACTGCTCCCGGCGGTTGGGGAGTTTGGCCTAACGGCGAAGGAGCAGCCACTCTTCCTGACTGGCTTGTGGACGGCCTTTGCATCTGATCTCGACTTCTTTGCGCTCGCAGAGCGTGCTCTTCAGAGGGCTGTCGTCTGAACTCACGGGAAATATCGCGGGGGCCATCGCGGCTGGGCGCGCGACCGGTGTATGGCGACTGAGGCCGGCTGCCCTGCGAGGAGGGGAGCGAGTGGCAGGTCCTTGCCCCATGCCTCGCGAGCCCGGAGGAGCAGGGGAAGGGCTTCCAACGAGCAATTGCCTCTCGCGATCATCAAACCCAATGAGGTTCGGCACGTTTCCACCGGTGTATTTCCGATAGATCTTCACAAGACTGCCGATGAAAAAATCTTTTTCCTTGGAACTCCTAGCATGCCAGTAGTATGGTTTTCCCACAGTTACTACAAAGCCGACAGTGGCAGCCCATTGCTTATGTTGTTGTTCCAGTGGCGTTGACGGGACAAAGCCGGTATATGACTGAATCGAGGACAAATCGTCGAGCATCCATGTCTTCCCGATCGAAAAGGTGCCATCGTTGTTCTCTCGAGCTTTATGCATGCGCACTCTTCCTGATCTCCTAACAGCGACGATAATTACTCGAGGTTTCTTGTTCTCAGGTGGTGAATTGGGAGGGGCAGGGGTCGACGGATGCGCGGCGTCTTCTATAATGCGAACATGGGTTATGTACGATTCCACCACTGTTGCCGTAGAGCGGGTCAGTCTGAATGTCCAGAATGCTGATTCTAGGAGAAAGTCCCATGTCTCGGCGCAAGGTTACTGCTTTAGTGGTACACGAAAGCAGCAGACTGGAAATAGCCCCCGAACTCCCTTCTCAATCCCCGTAGACTGCTCCAACAAGCAAATTGAAGCGCAAGTAAAGGGTGCAAAGAAATGTATACGTACAAGAGCCATCACCGTCCTTCTTCGAGAAACAACTTTGAATGATTCGTCTCTTTTCGTCTTCGAACTTCTCCGCCCGTGACATTGTTGCCTCGCCGGGCCCAGTGAAACCGCCATTGCGACCGTCGCCCATTCGGCGTGGCTCTCGATGCGGTGGGACGTCGTTAGGTGCAGGGACCCGAGACCGATCACGACTGCTCATGGCTGGTTCTTTGCGCCTTCAGAACTTCGATCACTTGTGGGGAATGATTTGAGGATTAGACGAACATGGTCGGAGAATCAGGGGAGGGCAACTCGGAAACGACGCGCCCTATAAAAGAAAATCTCAAACTAGAGAAGCCAAGAGGCTTGACATGCGATACAGACCATTGAAGTCAACCGAGGGACTTGGTCGCAAGTGCAAGCTAGCTTGATGTGAGAGTTTTGTCGATTATACAGGCACGGAGGAGCACAGCAGCGAATTAGCTCATCAGCCACTGGGGTTGGGTCACTTGCGGACGCTAGTCACCCAAAAGTAGGCGGAGAGCTGTCGCTGAAGTATGTTGGGTGGATAATGACCACCTGGCTGTTTTGCATTGCATCGGGATCTCAGTATTGGTCTATCGATTGCTTTTAATGTTGACACTTTCTCAAATAATGAAGCACTATCCTCAATTCCATTGTATCATGGTTTACCTCTCTATTGTTGGACCTACTGAGGCACCTTGTTGTGATTTGGTAAGCCATCCTCAGTAGAGTGGTATACATCATGTCACGGGGAACCACGTGAGTTTACCTTCGGGGCTAGACCATAAAAGGATAGCCAATGAAAACACTGTCTTTATTGACCGCCTTGCCTGCCGTTTTTCTGCCTTTTTTTTTTTTGAACCTTTTTTTTCTTCGGGTGGAGATCAAAAACACCGGTTCGAGTTCTTTGTTATCTCTTGCTCGAGGCGAAGCAATTTGAGGCTCTGGTCAAAATGGCAGCACATAAAGTGAAGAAGGCGTCCTCAAAGGCGCCCGTGGAGAAGTCGGAGGTAATCACTCATTGTTACTCGCAAGCATGTACGCTGAGCCGGTGCACTGACGAGATTCTGATCCAATAGGCCAAAACTGCCGCTCCTCCACCAGAGTTAATTGCGTCGATTGCTGCATTTTTGTCTCAATCCGGCTTCAAAAGTACAAGCGAGGCTCTGGCCAAGGAGCAGTCTAAAAAGTCAATTGCCAAGGCCGACTCGAAGGATGTCCCCTCTCTGCTGGACATCTTCCAGAGCTGGCAGGACCGGAAGAGCGAGAGCAGCTCCGACAGCGATAGCAGCTCGAGCAGCAGTGAGGATGAGTCTAGTGACTCTGATGTTGAGATGGACGACGCGCCGAAAATGCAAAAGAAGCAGTCTAGAGAATCCTCTCCTTCCTCTTCCTCTTCCAGCTCTGACAGTGACGCCGATGACGAAGAGGATGACGATGCCGTCCCCGCGCCTGCCCCAGCGCTGAAGACTACCGGCACCAAGCGCAAGGCCGAATCGAGCTCATCTGAATCGTCTTCGGAATCGGATTCCGAAGACGAGGCACCGAAGACCAAGAAGGCCAAGCTGTCGACTAAGTCCGACTCATCCTCATCTTCATCTTCCGAATCGTCGGATTCGGAGGACGAGGAATCCGACTCCTCCGAGAGTGAGAGCAGTGCTTCATCCTCTGATTCCGACTCTGACTCCGGCTCTGACTCCGAGTCCTCCGACAGTGAGAGCGGCTCTTCGTCTGATTCCAGCTCAGACTCCGACTCCGACTCCTCATCTGAATCCGAGAAGGAACCTGCCAAGAAGGCTGCTAAGAAGATCCTGAAGACTGCTGCCAAGACACCCTTGCCTGAGTCAAGCTCCAGCTCGTCCAGCGACTCTGATTCATCCTCCGACGACGAGTCCTCCTCCGAGTCTTCCTCCGATGAGGATCCGAATACCAATAGCCGCAGCTCCTCGTCCTCTCAGAACTCATCCGGCAGCAGCAAAACTGTCCAACCCTCTGATTCCGATGCGAAGGAGCCCGTAAACAAGGCTACAAAGCAGTCTCAAGAGACCAGTTCGTCCAGCGCCAGCCCGGCTCCCGAAAATGACCCAGCGACGAAGAAGAAGCGCACTGGAGCTCGTCCCACACCTCTTGCTCAACTTAGTGAGCTTCCACACGACCACCCCTCGAACGACTACATCCCATATGCCTACGCCGAGAAGGCTTGGAAGGATCTGTCCGTCACTCGTGGCAAGGGGTTCACAAAAGAGAAGAACAAGAAGAAGCGTGGCTCCTACCGCGGTGGCCCCATTGACATCTCCGGAGGAAAGTCCTTCAAGTTCGAGGACTAAGACAACTCCTGTCGTGTCAAAAAGCGTGCAATAGAATTGTAGACAAGACTTGCGCGTTATTTTAGTGAGCTTTCTGACCATTTTTTGTTTCTTTTCCAAAAGTTCTGTTCTAGATGAGACTAGATCGAGAAGTAATCTTGGGATTCTGCCATACATTTCATGTTTCTTTAACAAGCAGGGCGCTAATGGAGCTGGAGAAACAATTCTTATTTAATTTCTATCCTTTCTAGATTTTAGTGCAATGTGCATTGTTCTTTTGAAAATCTTGTTCTTGGGAGTAATCCTCTCTCATAAAAGCCCTCCACTCGTTCTTCCATAACCGAAAGTAGTTTGCCGCTTGAGACAAGAATCACGACACTCACGTAACCAGATCCGACCGTCTCCAGGCACCCGGTGGTCCTAACCGCTGCCATCGCCTATCCCAACCAGTATTCTTCTCATGTTCAATATCATCGCGTCCAATCCGCGCGAAGGGCTGCTGAGTCCTCAACTTAGACGCACTGGTTGAATCCCGACGTTCGTAGCCCGAAAGCTCTATGATGCGATCCGCTTGAGTCGCCGGACGAGTGAAATCTGCGCTCAAGCCGAAATAATCTCGATACCATGCTTGGGCGGGACCCGTCAAATCATCCGACGAGGCGAAGTCGAGCCGCATCACCCCGTCAACGATGCCGGTGTAAATGGTTGATGAGGAGGGCGAAGGCGAGGACATGGTGTAGATCGGTCCGCGGTATTGACGATCTACGCGCGAGCGTGCTGCTTTCGAGTTCCAGCGGACGGAGGAGGAGGCTGTAAGAAAGATTGAGAAATCTTTGCGCGGATAGGTGACAGTGTCTTGGAACCCGTTGAGGTAGGGAGCGGAGCCGTTTGAGGACCGACGAAGGTTGTTTGGAGGAGAAGGAATTTGTGCGTCCTTGTGACTGTAGGCGCTTTGCATGCGGAGGTCGAAGATCTTGACAACGGCGTCTCCGCCTGCGCCAGCTAGGAAACGATCCTGGCCGAATGGATGTATACAGTAAATAGGATTGGTATCGATTGTGTCGCGGTAAGTATACTCGAAAGGCTGGTGCGAGCGTAGATCGTGAAGTCTAGGTATGAAAGTTAGCCAATATGCAAACAACCGAGGAACATAAGGGAAATAAGTACCTGATGCAGCGGTCACCCCAGGCAGCAAGAAATACTTGTCCGGAGGATTCTCTGGTGAATTGAGCAGTGAGAGGTGCGATTGCACTCACATTGGCCTTTCGACGTAGACCGATACTTTCCCCAATATCTAGGGAGGTGACGCTGATCTCGCGGTTCACCGATAGTCGTTCTTTCGAAATTGTGGCGATAGTCAAGGAATCCTCCTGGCGTCCCGTTCCGTACGCAAAACACTCAGGCGACAGGAACTTGGAATACTTGTTACGAGCCGTGCCGTCTGGAGTGATCTTGCAATGCGCAAACGACTCAACCTCGGCTTCTCCCGTTGTGGTCTGATAGAAGACAATGGATCCATTGTTCAAATGGGCCGCCAGAATAGGCTCGTCACCTCCGCTTAACTCTGTGCGCTCAAGCCCATGGCCGTTAGTCAGGAAATGTTGGTAGTATTTGTGAGACGCCGTGTCCGGCGAAATCGCAACATGACACAGGTCACCGTTCAGACGACCAAATATGATGCGCTCGTCGCCTGACGTTCTGGTATGATCTTCTTGTTTGAGAAGATGTACACCACAAACGTCATGGTAGCTGCTGATCTTCGTCTTCACATCGTTAAACATGAACCACTTCTCTCCGCCATTATACGTGGGCTGCCGAATCCGCAAAACTAACTCATCTGCAGCGCCCCAGACGAGCACCTCCTTTCTTTCCGACCAGGAACCACCCGGCCAAGATTCATATGAATCAATCGAGGGTCGATACCCATGTGTAGGATTGTCCTGCCGTGTGCCCCGATGGGATCCAACCTTCACCGAATCTCGTGGGGGGAGGACGAAGCGACAAAGCAGTCCGAGTCTGTCCAATGCTCGAGCGCGCGCCGTAAGCGCTTGAGTTGCATCCTTCCAAAAAGGAGGCGTCTCAATGAAGGGGAAACGATTCTTGAAATGTGCATGGAATACCCGCCAATCTTCAGCGGAGATGACCTTGTGCAGACGCTGGCAGGTCTGAGCGAGGGCGGCCAACGAGCTGGCGGATGGAAGATATGTCGCTATCACGTATATTATGTCAGACGGTAAATCGGACAGCAGCATTTCGAAGTCGATTTCAGCGCAGTCTTTCTATTAAATCAAGCAATGTATGTAGAGGACGTAAGGAATGGCGTTGATCCTTCAAAGAACTTTAGCAAATACCGCTTGTAGAGGATTCCAGATGTTCGAGATATTAGCCAAAAAGCATACCTATAGTGTGTATTGAAGTGTCTTCACGAAAAAGGTCTATATACTGTTATAAAATGTCTCATCATTATGTTTCCATAGCGATCAAGGGCATTTTCTGTGGATTTCAGTAGGGCTGAGGTGGCCCAACAGTCACCGCGGCGATATCTTATGTTGAGGAGTCATGACTTGACTCATGCAGCAACACTTATTATTTAGTAGAGACTCAGATGAATCATAGGAGAATATGGACACCAGTTGTCTTTGTGAGCAGCAAAGTGTTTGTAGCTCTTTCAGACATTCAGGACCAAGCCTGACGTAAGGGCCTGAGAAAATCAGTAACTTAAATAGATTGTGTGCCTCCTTATGTCATCATCGGTGCCTTTGTCCGCTAAATATTGATTCCTTATCGCCTTATCAGCGTGCCTTATCTCTGTGTGCTCATGCGGGGTGTTGGAGTACTCCAACGGTTCAACCCGATGGTCGTAACTTCGTATCGCTTTTGAATCCACTCATTAGTATCTATTACTAAATGTCCAAGTCAACGTTCATTGAGCCACATTGCCGCCGTACCACTCAAATCTCTCTTCGCCGTCTAGAGACTGATTCTGTAGTAGCAGAGTTCCCCATGCGGGGTTGCGTATATGGAATCCTCATACGGTAGGTCCACCCTGTTATGGCAGTCCCTACCGTCCAACTAGTTCTACGGAGTGAAGTCAACTGATACACGTATATAGGCGTATAAGTATCTGCGGATACGCTGGTTATGAGCTTTCTTACCGCCACTCTGGTTGATGCGGCATCTTGAGAACCCCAGGTAACCTGAGTTGGCTTGTTATTTCGACCAAATCCGCGAAGATGGCATTCTCTATATACACGTCGGTATCAATTGTGGCTTTGCTACTCTTTGTAGCCTACAAAGCAATTGTGTATCCAGTCTTTCTATCGCCGCTCTCAAAGGTACCGAATGCACATTGGTCAGCCCCGATCTCACCTGCTTGGATACTTTGGAAGCGTTTCAGAAGCCAGAACAATCGAACTATCCAGGCGGCTCATGAAAGACTTGGGCCCATTGTGCGATTGGGTCCCTCTGAGATCTCAATAAATTGCGTTGAGGGGGTATCAAGACGGTTTACACCGGTGGCTTCGAGAAGCATGAGTGGTATCCCCGTGTCTTCGGATCGTTTGGGTAAGAAGACCCAGAAAGTAGCAAGGTGAAACTGCTGACTGAAGCACGATACGTAGAACCGTCAGCATGTTCACCATGACTGGAAGCAAAGATCACTCGGTTCGCAAGAGGATGTTATCCAACATCTACAGCAAGTCGTTTCTCCAGTCGTCACCTCATATGCGTCTTATCTCGAGGATTATAGTACATGACCGTCTTCTCCCAATTCTACACGAAGCAGCTACTTCAAACGCGACTGTCGACGTTCATGACCTCAACCAGGGACTGACAATGGACTTTGTATCAGCATATCTGTACGGCGTCACAAATGGCACCAATTTCCTTCGGGACACGCCTTACAGACAAAGGATGCTCCATTTATACCAGAGCAGGAAGCCATTTGAGTTCTATCACCAGGAAGTTCCTAACCTTCTTTCTTGGACAAAGTTTTTGGGTATCCGCTTGATACCAAGATATTGCGACCAGGCCAACGAGATCCTTGACTCCTGGGGGCTAGGACTGTGCGACAAAGCAGACGCGTCACTGAAGTCGACCAGACTTGAGGATGAGCCGGCCGTGTATAAACACCTCAAGCAGATGATATCGAAGCACCTGCCTGAAAATAAAAATGACGTGGAATACGCGCGGATCCTCGAGCAGCAGCGGCTTGATATTGCCTGTGAGATGTACGACCACCTGACGGCGGGTCATGAAACCAGCGCCGTCGCTCTTACATATCTCCTTTGGGAACTCTCGAAGCGACCCGAATTACAGGACGCTCTTCGGGAGGAGCTTTCTGCTCTTGAGCCAATGATTATCTTCCCTCGACCGTCCGAATCTGCGGAGTTGCCTCCGGCAAAGTCAATTGACTCCCTGCCGCTGCTTGAGGCAATAGTCACGGAGACACTGCGCCTTCATGCTCCGATCCCAGGAATCCAGCCTCGAGTCACGCCGTATCCGTCGTGCACTCTGGTGGGATATAACAACATCCCTCCCAATACTAGGGTCAATGCGCAAGCTTATTCCCTTCACCGCAATCCCGAGGTGTTCCCAGATCCTGAGACTTGGGAACCTAAGCGGTGGCTGAAAGACGTCAATACTCCTTCTGAGTTGGAGGAGAGAAGGCGATGGTTCTGGGCTTTCGGAAGCGGGGAAGGATGTGTGTAGGCAGTAACTTGGCCTTGCAAGGTAAGGGCGCATTATCGTCACACAAGAGTCTCAAGCTGACGTGACTGCAGAAATGAAATTAGTGGTAGCTGCTGTTTACACTAATTTCAGAACTTCTATCGTCTGTGACGATAACATGGAAGCGATCGATGCATATACGGTGAAGCCAACAGGAGAAAAGCTGATCCTCAGATTTGAACTAGTTGAGTAGTGATGGCGTCAAGTCGAGTCTGCGAGAATGAATGAATTTAGCCATGCTATTCTACAACCAAACTAGTACAACCACGTCTTGCGTGCCAGTCATCAAATTGAAATGGTACAGCTTCGTACTCAGTCGAAGCACCGGAGGAATATGGCAGTATGAACTGTACAATCACGAGGCGCTGATGACAAACAAGATATATGAATTGGCAGATTAATGTACAGATACATATACAAACTCCCACATCCCCTGATATAAAAGCACAGCCTTAAGTTGTCATTGCCGTAAATCGAGACCCAAACTCCGGTGATAGTGTTTTGATTTTTCCCGTCAAGCACAACTCAGTTCGTAACCCAGGGCTCTCCAGAGCTCTGTTGTTCTGTCAAGCCACCGCCGACGAAATCGAGCCTGGGACCGAAGGATAAGTAACTGGTGTGATATTTGCGACAGGGAATGTAAATTCGCAATGCATCGGACGAGCTGGTTTTAACCAAGACGACCCTCCTTCTTCTGAGGTCCGACGACCTTGGGATACATTCTCATAAGGTGGTAGTTGATGGTGTTCTTCTTGTTGCCCTTGGGTTTCTGCATGAGACGGCTTGTTGTTAGTATTGAACGTTGAAGACGATGGAAAATGGAGCAGAGGTAGAAACTAGGTTAACGTACCGGGCCATCCATGCATTGTCTCAATTGTTGCTCCAACGCTGCGCAGCCCTCCACAGAGCCTCCAGAAGATGCCCAGCAGCCTAACACGCGACAGTCAGCTCTTGATTCGAGGTGCTGAGTTCAGATCGCGGACGATTGGCAAGGACGGATCATGAAGCTGGCATAGAAGCCACGACAATTGCAATAAGTAGATGAGGGACATACTCAGCATAGACGACATGATCGTCACGCAGGGATTCTGCTCATGTTGATTCGGACGCCGAACCCGCAGATGAGGGATGGTCTGCAGGCGGACGGGGTTGAGGCGAGTCGAGACGCCCTTGGGAGGCATTTTGACAGTCGAATTGAGACTATATTCTCTCAGACTCTTGCACTCGAAGAGTGAAAAGCAAGAGCAGCAGCGTAGTTTAAACCCTTAGCCAAGAACCCTTCAACCTTGCGGCGTCAAGAAATTGTCGGGAAACTTTCGGAGGTGCCAAGACTTTCGGTGGCCGGGCGGAATGGCTGACAAACACTGCCGGAGATAACTAAGTTAACTATATGAAGATGATAAGCCGGAAGAGCTTCTGCATTGCAGAACTTCTCAAGCTCTCTTCTTCAATTTCGTTGAATGGTTCGCTGTGGTTTTTGATTCTTTATAGATATGAGCACAAGACATACAACTATCCTCAGGAACACTACGTCGTTATACCGACCCACGAGACAGATTCACAGAGCTTTCTCTACAGCGAGCCGGAGGCAAAATGCGGACTCTCAGACAAACGCAAGCAGTGGTGCTTCGCATTCACAGGGTAACCCTGAAGAAGAAAGCGCCATGCAAAGAAGGTTATCCGAGATGACCGAACAAGCTGTGCTAGAAGGAGGCCGGTCAGCGCAAAGGAACATCGAGCAGGCGGGGTTTTCGGAAGATCTCAAGAAGCGGCTACAGGAACGAATAGCGGCAACTGCGTTCAAAAGCGAATATGCCGCAGCTCATTCAATCATCAACATGCCGGTAAGTTGATACACCGCACAGTTGATACTCTAGACTTTGGCTGACCAATTGAAGGAAAGTGCAGGTCAGGGCACTCGAGACATCGCCGGAGCTGCTCCATGGACGGGGACAGAGAGCCTCCACGACGCCACCCTGCGCATGTTAGATAGTTCAAAGAAGCCGATGCGTGTACCTTACAAGATTCCTCAGCCTGCTCCAGTCGATATGCGCATTAGTCCCAAACCCTCAAGATCCCCGGGCATCCGAATCGCCGATGCGAAAGAGCGCAGCCTCACCTATACCTTGAGTCAAAGCCCCGGGATATCGGGAGACGAGCGTGAAGCGATGCGAAGGGAGATGAGTGAGAGGTTCACCGCTGGTGCGCGGCCGATGCCGGTGACCCTACAAGGATTGTCATCTCTTGCAAACGAACGGATAGAGGACGCAATTGCGCGTGGACAGTTCAACAATATCAAGCGAGGCAAAGGCGTCAACGTCCAGGCAGATCACAATGCAAATAGCGCATTCATTGACACCACCGAATATTTCATGAACAAGATCATACAGAAGCAGGAGATTGTACCACCATGGATCGAGAAGCAACAGGAGCTAGCAAGGGAGGTTGATAGATTCCGACAACGTTTGAGGGTTGAGTGGAGACGACATGCAACGAGGTTGATCGCTAGCGAGGGAGGGTCTCTAGAAGCTCAGATGAGACGTGCTCAGGCTTATGCGGCAGCCGAAGCTCGACTGGCGGAGAGAACTAAGATTGAGCAAGCGTTTCGGGATACGGATGGTATTGCGTCCTCTACGTCAGCGGATGAAACGACAAAGAACAAAGCAACCTCAGACTCCGATGAGAATCAGCTACCACACTTTTCGCCACTTCGTGATCCACAGTACCTCTCAACCGAGCGTTCGTACCATGAGCTTCAGATCAAGCACCTTAATGCCTTGACTCGGTCGTACAACCTTCAAGCACCACCCGTCGCCCAGAAGCCGTATCTCAATCTGGAACGGGAACTAAATAATTGCTATGCAGATGTCGCACCAAGTTTGGCCGAGGAGATCAAACGCCGAGCTACAGAAAGAGCCAGCCCTCGTGTGCCGACAGCAAAGTCAAGCACCAATAAGGTACTTAGTACCTTCAGTACAGCTCAAACTTCCCGTGTCTACGACGAAGATGCTTCCAAAGGCTATGGGTTCAAGGATCTCTGGCGTGACCTGTTCTCTAATAAGAACGAAAGGTAAGCCAGGTGTACATATTGTCTGAGATATGTTATGTACGATATGAGTGGAGTACACCTTGGACTGGATCCGGCGTGCTATTTCTATTAATTCTGGTCAGAGTGGTGAGACATTCATACTCAGTATATTGATAAGTTTGACATTTCTTCTAAGAATACTGCCAAGGGAGAATGTGCTGCGCACACATCTAGGAAACGCTGAAGAACAGATGCCTGATCTCAATAACGATAACAAGTCATGTCACATGAGGAAATATTGAAAGCTCAAGGTCGCCGCTGTCTTTCGAGCCACGACACCAGAATTGCAGGAAGCTGTTTCTCTATGACCCCGTTCGACAGGTTCGGGGATTCTTCCACCGCTGCACGACGGGCATCCCGCAAGTCAAGCCAGAGTAGGGTTACTGCCTTTACAGAGTAGAAAAGGCCGGCACAACCCACAGCTATCCAGAGGACCTCCAATATCTGAAACTTGGCGCTCTTAGGTGCAAAGACAAAACGAATGAGCGTCCAAACGTGGAATTGCATGATGGCGATGACCAAAGAAACTGCGAGCGCCGTTGTTGCGATGCCAGCGCGTGTGGCGAATCGCCTCTTCTGCTCTCTGCGTCTTGCGATGTCTGCTTGCAAACCGTAGGATGCTGTATGCCTTCGAACGAAGATTGGCACATATATAGCCACCATAAACATGGACGAGAGAACAGACACAGCGACAATCAAACTGACCCGAGAAAGATGGAAAGGTGGGCCGCTGTCTGGCGCCGCTCTTTTCGACATTTGGTGATGCTCATCATCGCTTGGCGAGAATGACGCGATGCCTGATAATGCTCTTCTTTTCAGAGGGATTATGAAGTTATGCCATGGAATCTTAGGCCAACCTCCAATTGGCCATGCAGCCTGTGCCAGGTCGGAGTCCCCGAATGGGAGACGGGAGATGAGCTCTACATCGCCAACCCAGATCTCATTGATTCCGTTTCCTTTTTCATAGTAGTGATCTGATTTGACACCGTGGATCGCGGAGACTTTGTTTCCCATAGTGGCAGGAGGTGAACGGCAGTGCGAGTGTAAGATATGAAAAAGCAAGTGACCAACTAACGCTCAAGAGGTCCTGTTGCCGACGAATGATCCGACTGATGTCACTGAAAGAGGATGCATGTATATGTCTGCAACCAAGGAGATAGATCGCCATGAAGCACACTAACTAGGCAGTACAAGGTTGTTTCCTAATTGAGCAATCATACAGTATCACGGCAATTGTGGCCTCAGGCAAGAACGGAAGCTTTGACCAGAATTTGCTAGCCTGATACGGGTTAGCGGCTGTGATTCGGATGTACCTAACCAATCAACTTTCGGAGTTCTCTGGAGACAATTGGGGGCATGGATTTGATGCCTAAGGCAAGTTATTTAGACATAGGTACCTTAGGTACGTTCTTTCGAAATCCAACAAGATCAGGCTCTACAATAATCCGGCTATCTTTTGAAACATCGACTCTTCTTTCCGTCTCTTCGGTAAAAGTTGACTGACTACCTGTATAGCATAGTCACGTTGCTCGATCATCACTAGGGAGTGTCTTCATGGCCAAATGATAGGATGTGATGGCGTGCCGTGTGTGCATGTCGGCGCGTATTTGCACCAACCGCCGTGGTCGGTTGCGTCGTCTCAAAAGTGTCACCGTCTTCTTCAAACCTTCTACCAGTAAACCCTGCAGGTTTCCCAGGCTCTTCCTTTAGTCTTCACACTATCACATCCAATAAGTCGACAATATATCCACTATACCCCTCTCATTCAAGGATGTGTTCCATTTTCTGTGTTTCCGAAAGGGATTTGCGGGCTCATTCGCAATCACTCGATATGTATACTCATCATACTTAATTGCTTGTTTTCTGGCGGATACGAAAGATGATGCTCTTGTTAATGTTGCTCCTTTTCACTCTTTGTCTTATTGCTACTGCTGGCTCAGTATCCTTTGGAGATCTGACCTTGAACCTCGACCTGGATCGTCGTGGTATTGCTTTATCCACGGAACCTCCCGTGGATCAGACACTACTGGCAATTCAGATAGGAGGCATTGTTGGAGCATACGTGATCTTCGTTGCCATACTTTTGACTCTGTTGCTCTTCGTGGGACGACGACTGCGAAGAGCTGTACAAGCTTCGAACTACACTTTACAGGTTGAAATGATGAAACCTAGCAAACAAGCCGTTAGCATGGATCCCAGTCCTATCACGCCAATCTCAGCTCGTCTTCCAAGTCCAACTGGACAAAACGGCTTCAGCAGGTCCTGGGGCAGCTTGGCTAACGGTCAAAGATCCCACGTTTCCGGCAATGGCAGCGCTGCTACGATTGATGAATCCGTGGTTGCCATTGATCGGCGCAGGGCTCAAGAGGAAATGGAAATGCTCTATGCAGCAGTCATGGAGCACGACGCACAGCGGGTGGCTGGGATAGATACCTCGAAGCAAGAGTGGGAAGTTCAATCGCCAGACAGTGTGCACACCAATCCGTTCACAGATCGTTCCTCGCGGACATCAGAAAGGCCCTCGATCTCACAGATGAAGCCCCCCATGAGCCCAAAGAGCTCGAGGCTATCGAAGATATCGTCCCTGTCCCTGTTCAATTCAAACTCGCGTCCGCAGTCGAAAGCGGGCAAACTTCGTTCTCCTCGGCTGCCTCTACGCAATCTGTCCATTTCTTCACCTGTGGGCTCTCCTGATTTAACCGCGCCGAACTCTTATGGCGAGGACCAAATGCCGTTGACTCCTCGCCTCTACAACCCGGCTCCTCCGCCAGCACCCCCAATAACAATCAGTCAGGCATCTAGTCAAGTATCGCTAGGGAAGCCCCCTGGACGAGCTCCTGCCCCAGCTCCCCTGAGCCTATCTACAGCGAGCCACGGCTCGTCTTCTCTCCCATTCCGTGACGCATTTCCCTTGCAGAGTGCTCCTCCAACCAAGACGACGGTCATAGAACGTCCCCTAAAGCCACTAAACGGTCCTCGGACAGGATTGCCGACACCCTACAGTCCGTATATGCCTTTCACCCCTGTTACTCCCCTCACACCCAGCCGTATCGTGACCAAGCGACAGCGCAAGAGAGAGACTAAGGAGAACGGCTTGAGGGTCTTGAACGAAGATGATATAGTCAAGGACGACGGGGACATGTGGGGATACTGATCAATTGCCTTTTTCAAGTCTTTTTTGTTGGTGTTTTTGGCAATATTTGTTGCAGTTCGATATTCATATCGGACTGTCATGGGGATTAGATAGGTATACCTCGCTGAGATGGCATCTGGTGATTTTGCTTTGGTTATCTGCGCTTTATCAATTGGGAGGTGCTCTGACTAAATGGAAGAAGTTTTGATTTGCATATTTGCACCCTACGAATCAATATGTCTTCTTGCCTTGAGGGCAGTCAGCATCTGATGATGGTATTCCACATGTAGTCGATGTTGAGTATACATGCGTCTACAGGTATCTCAAAGAGACAAATGGAAAGAGTCAACACGTTCATGCTCATCATGGAACTTATGCGAAAATTATTTATGCAAGAGAAATAATGGAGTCATCGATCATCATGTCATCGATCATTGCGATAAACACAGGCAATCGGCCCCGCCCTATCTCCAAAGTCCGAGCTGAGCCAAGGCTTGACTTCCGTCATCTGTTCTGGATAACGCGAGAATCGCCGACCGGTTGCGGGCTTAAGCCTTTGGATCCCACCCAAATGCGGGTCACAGGATGTGCAAATCGCCCATCATGAACTGTCTTGCGTATGCTTTACGCGATTATTTATTATTATGGTCGAACCAGACTACCTTGATAGTCTATTTATTTATCGAAGCAAATCGAAAACGTGGATGACTGTTGCTCTACCTTAGTCAGGCTGACGCCCACCTCGTATCACTCATCCTCTCTTCCATCCTCTATCACGCTCTTGGTCTTCTTCGGGCGCTACTAGAATTTTCTCCTAGTCAGTCTGCTTGATCGACGTCCATCTCCTCCTTATGCCGCTGACCATCCTCTCCCAAGCGCAGCTCCGCTCGCTGCTGCTGTCCCTGAACCGCGATGAGGTGTCCTCGCTACAACAAAGCCTTGCCCAGGCCCTACTAGACTACTCGACCGGAAGCCAGGAACAGGGTTGTGCCGCTACTTACCAACCTCTAAGAACCGCTATCACCCGGCAGAATGGCTGCACGACACTGTTTATGCCCGCCAGTACCGGCCGAACGATCGGCATGAAGATGATTTCTCTACAAGATGGGGGTGCTGCAGGGTGTGCTGTGGAAGGGGCTTTTGAAATTCCCGAGGGAACAAAGACTGCTTCAAGGCCGCGGTCGGCAGGCCCAAGGAGCTCCATGGCGTCGCTGTCGTCCGAAATGAGTGATCTGTCTATATCGTCACAGGAAGAAGGGTCGACGAGTTCATCTAGTAGCCGATCGCTCAAGTCTGGCACTGTGAATCGACAATCAGTTGGCTCGAGCTCGAGCTCGAGCGTCTCCAAGACACTAGGTGCATGGCCCGGAGCCGGTACTCGAGACACCTCGCCGCAGGGCACTGTGACGTTGCTGGACGCCGATGGCATGCCGTTCGGGCTGATCAATGCTCACGAACTCACGCCGTTCCGGACGGCCCTGGCAACGATGATGATTTTCAACAAGCGCAAGAGAGTGCGCACTGTGGTGGTTTTCGGGGCGGGTAAACAAGCTTACTGGCACATTCGATTGGCTCTCACGCTGCGTGCGGCGGATATCAAGCGGGTTGTTATCGTCAATCGGTCGTTTGAGCGGGCAGCCAGGCTTCTCAAGGATATCTACTCTCCGGAAAACTCCAGCTGGCGCGGTGATGTGAAATTCTCCGCTGTCAGTACTGACTTCGGCGAGTACGACCGTATCATCCACGACGCTATCCATAAATCGGACGCGATCTTTTGCTGTACTCCGTCCATCGAGCCGCTTTTCCCCGCTGAGCTTCTCACCTCCCGCGAAGGGCGCCGGAAGGGTCGATTCATCAGCGCCATTGGGTCGTACAAACCTCACATGACCGAGCTGCATCCAGACATTCTGCGCGACGAGGTGAGCGCGCACCATTCCGGTCGGCATTTCCACAAACACGTTAACCGGAGTGGCGTCGTGGTCGTCGACAGTCTCGAAGCTGCTCTGAAGGAGGCCGGAGAATTGATCCAGGCGGGCATCAAGCCGAACCAGGCTGTTGAGCTGGGAGAGCTCCTGATGGTACGGGACGCGTCGCGAAAGGACAACAACCAGGACGGGGAAGACACCAAGAGTCTGCGCGAGTGGGTTGAACGAGGCAATGTCATCTACAAGAGCGTAGGCATGGGCTTGATGGACTTGGTGACCGGAGGCGATCTCGTCCAGATGGCTCGGACAAGAAATTTGGGAACCAGCGTGGAGGATTTTTAGACTCTATGCTTCTCAAGGGTCGATTCTTCGCTGTATTTTACCGGACCAGTTTCGCTTTTTATACCCTTCAATCCATTTGACTATGGCTGCAATTATCTGCGGACCTCCGCCACATAGTATGACATCAGGGGAAGCTCATCAACCTCTTCTGAGACTGATTATATTCAATGCTCACACTAGACACTAGACCAAATGAATTCAATGATTCTGATGGTATGAATTTCTTGTATAAGATGGCGGAGACCCCTCAGTCAACATCCTGTGGGCGATAAGATCGATAACGAGCGGGGTCCCCTTCGTCATCGATGAGCGGCAAGTAAGGAAAATCATCCCACTTGCACTGTGGGATTCCCGTCGGCTCAGGTATCCGCCCTCGTCTCCATACTTATTTACTCTTTCTTCTCATGTTTGCCTGATCCTCTGAGCCCTGCGCTTTTCTTCTTTCCCTCCTCCAAACAATAGACCGTCCGCCCTCACCATGCGTAACACTACCTGCCGTTTGCCCAACGGCCAAAGCTACACGGTGACCCCCGTGTTTGGTGGTGTCAACTTCAAGTCCAACGACATGCACTTGAAAGACTCCATAATTCCTCCCGGGTGGACAATTATTCTCTATACCAACCAAAACCCCGATCAGCCGGCGCAGGATTCCGTGCCCCCGGAAGAAGAGCGCGGTCGCTCTCGGCATGCACAGGGAGAGGTAGAGGAGAAGACACGCACCACTCGCTTCACAACACCAACATTGAGCGATGACTGTTTCTACATTTCGTTTATCGTCAATCCGCCCAGTACTGACTTCAAACCTCCCGTCTCTCCGACTCGTCAGATTGCGATGATGATCTGGGTGAGCCTGTACTGGTACTTCCACGAGCCCGAGCCAGACCTCCACTTGCAGACGGACGCTGCATCTCGTACACCGCTCACGGGCAAACCGAAGGGGAATGGCGCATCCATCTGAAGAGAGAGGGGATCTTCAAGGGACGCAACCTGCTGCAGAAGCTGGAGCGCATGGGACTCATTGCATCAGAGGAGTCTTCCGTTGGGCTTGAACCGAGCGAGACGCGAGAGTCCGGTGCCTGGTCACGGATGTTCGTGAGCCGACGCAGTTTCTGGCAGATTGACCCCCGTCTTTTTGTCTTCACGCTGGTTCCCGCGAACCCACTGCATTCTGCTCCGTCCTCGCCTTTTCTGTCTCCTAGATTTGCGTCGCCATCGCGCGAGAGCCCGCTGCCAGGTGAGTCTCTGGCGTCCCCTGGGGGGAAGGACTTCCCACTACACATGCCCAATGAGGGCCCGTTTGCTTCTAGCAGTCACCTTCCGACATACTTTCCCCCGCCACCAACTCAGTACACGTTCACAAACGGACTGCGGCACCCCGTCAGGCCTAAGCCGCCCCACCAGGGAGAAGTGTTCTACATCCGGTTCATTCCCAGCGTCGGGCAGTACCTGTCATTCCGCGTGCCGATTCTATCCTCTGCGATGCCAAAGCGGGGCCATGGTCATAGTCACTCGACGAGCAGCATTGAGCAACCGCCTCAGAACACGCCGTCTGACCTAGACCTGCTGCACAAGTGGATGAATGACCCGCGCGTGAATGCAGCTTGGGGAGAGGGCGGTCCAAAAGAAAAACAGGAGGAATTTCTTCGCAATAATCTTACCAGTCGCCACAGCTTTCCCGTCATTGGATGCTGGGACGGCAAGCCGTTTGGGTACTTTGAAATCTACTGGGTCAAGGAGGATCGCTTGGGAGCGCTTATCGGAGGAGCGGACAATTACGACCGGGGAATTCACTTACTGGTGGGAGAGCAGGAATACCGTGGGTCACACCGGGTCGCCATCTGGCTCAGTGCATTGGTCCATTACTGCTGGCTTGCGGATCCGCGGACGCAGACAGTCATGCTGGAGCCACGGGTGGACAATGAGAAGTAAGCTTCATCCCGGTCCTTGGGCTGCAAGAATTTTGCTGACACGTAACAGGATCATTCAATATCTTCAAAACGCGGGATTCTACAAAGAAGGAGAAGTTACATTCCCCCATAAGCAGTCAGCTTTGATGAAGATAAAACGCGACTCTTGGGAGAGCCCAGTTCTATAGACGGCCTGGGCCTGTTTTGACTTTGTTCGTCACTTTCATATCTTGGTCTTTGTATATACCCCGGCATCTTACAGCATATTTGGCATGGCGTGGGCCTGTTTGCTTTAGATTGCATCACACATACGCCTTTGCTTCATGCATTGAGGGATTGCAACAGCAGTGGTGAATGCTAGGATCATCTACATTCACTTGAGGTTGATGGTTCAGAAGATTCCGCAGCATATAAACCCCCCTCTCCTCTTCCAATCTGAATCTTTTACTGTGGTTCATTCACTTTAGAGATAGCAAGACGGCTCATTCCAGACTATTCACTATGCGAGATAAACATGGCTTCCTTCTTACCTCCATATTTAACCACTGATTCTTCATCATTTATTCTTCCACTGCCACCAAAATCTTCATAATACCATGGTCTGTTTGGCACAATCAAGTAGCATCTAGTACAAGGCCATCCCTTCGGCAGTGCTTCCTTTGCTTCGCGGCATTCTGGCCTGAAAGATACGAGCTGCGTCTGGTATGCCGTTAGATTCGAAGGCTCTTCCATGTTTGCATTGCTGACATCTCGCCAGACAAATCTACCCAGGGATTCCAGCACATTATTTTACTGTTACTGCGACGAAGGCCCACCCCTTCCCTGGAATTCTGATTCTACGTTTTGATTGTACCGGTTATCGATATGCCCAGGGCTGCATCCGCGTCAACGCCCTGTGTCTCGTGGACGCTTTGCTGCCCATACAGTTGCTCCCAGGAGGCAGACGGCATGATCAGACCTGTCGGCCAGACCCTCCTCACTGTCATCATTGAGTCTGGTTGGTCAGAGTCTCGAATCGCCTGAGAGACGATATGAACTTGTGGCTAACCGGCGTCGGCGAACCAAACTACCAAAGATAAACCCAGCCTATCCACCTGCCAGACGACTCATCCGTGAGTAACTCCTTTCCTGGTATATATGTGGGATCCCATTGTGTCGCTGTAGCTGACAGGTAGTTAGTCGGAAGATGAGGTTCTCCCAAATCAGGGCCCCACGAGTCCGTTGGCGTGTTGGACCCTCCACCAAGAAGACCCCTACCAGTTCAACGTCGGCAATGCCTTTCCATGATCGAAGCATGAAGCTTCCCACCTCTATGGAGTGATCTCCAGAACGCATTCCGATTCAGAAAGGCTGACACAAAGGAGATATCCCAGCCATGCGAGTTCAAAGACGTGGCTACAGAGCCACAGGACGCGAACGTCGATCCGCTCTGTGCTTGGTATCTAAGCCATCTGAGCAAAGCCTTTCTCCAGATTGGGGACTACCCTGATCAAGAAAATTGTCCAGGCGTAATCTGATTGACGAAGCTGAGCTTTCTCTGCTGGGAGGAGTACGTGACTCTGCTTGGCTATGGGCTGATCTATGAGCACAAGCATGTGGCGGGGCTGATGAAGTCCCTTGTGGACTTAGTTGCAACCCTGAAGGTTGTTGAGATACCACGGGCGGAATTATGTTGGTATATTGGATTCCTTGAGCTTCCGGATGAGTTCTGTCTCGACCTTTAACCTGGTGATGTGATGATGGTGAACTTTAATGTTGAAGAGCCAGAATCACATACTGACTGGTATGTGTGTGTAGTTGACACTCTGCTGATCATACCTCTGAAGGCCGTCACAATCCTCCTGACTTGACCCTGGGAAGCCACACGCAGCTTTTCATATTAATGAGCATCCCGTCCATTTGTCTTTTCGTCCGAGATATTTGCGGCATGATGCACAAGTATGTATTCCAAGCAACAGTGCCTCGGGAGTGGGCCATTGCCCTGATGAATCCTATTGATCGGTAGATACCTGGACCAGCAAGTTAGTGGCCTGACGACTATGACTTTGTGAATGGGATTCAATATCGGCGAAACTCCCAGGAGGTCTCAGGAGGAGATCCAACGCCGTATTAATGCGTGCCCAATCCTTTTCGCCTGTCCGTCCAGTACCATATGTGTCCGCCAGCCATCTTCGTCATACGCCCTTCTCAGCCTTTCAAGGAGCTCTCGAGCCTCCTTTATCACTATTTTCGATACAGCGCAAAACCGGGACAAGAATATAAACCGTCCTGCACGGCGATCCATGGCGACTCAACATCCTTCTCAGCAACAGCAGTATGTTGCCCAACAGGGAATGGTCGATGCGGCACTTGGGTTGGTGACTGGGACGCTTCCTATGACAATCTACTTCCACAGACGTTTTGGTCGCCCTCAAAACGCCCACAGGGAGATATGAAGCGATGGAGCAAGATCGACTTTTGAGGTATGGCGCTCAGCCTGCAGGTTCCCAAAATTCGGCGACCCTGGAAATAGCGCCATATACCGCGCGCGTACACCCAATTTTCGATAGACAGGATTGGGTCAAGCAGCACTTCATACGGTGCAACCAATGTTCGTGGAGTGAACTCATCGAGCGATCTTTTACAACTGCCTTTGGGTTCCTAACGAACTATCGGCTCAAAATGTCGTCCTCAGCCGAGCGAGAGCTGGTCTGTCATTTCGGGTACTCGAACATGTACTCGCTCCCAGTTCCAGGATACTCCTGAAGAGGCCTCGGACGTCGCGCCATATTTAACCCCTACAGACAAAAAAAGAAACGGAATATGACTTGCCATGGCATAGCCGTTCCGAACATAATCGGTCTCCTGTATCACCACTCGATCTTGAGACCCCGAATACAAGTTGGTGAAGACCTCACCCGCATCTTTACAGACATAGTAGTTGGCTTTGCTAACCGTGAGCTCCTCCTCAGCAGTTCTTTCGTCAGGTCGGCCGAATAAAAGGCTGGTCAGTTCGTTCTTCTACAATGGCGAGTTGCAGACAAGTCGCGCCACTGCCAACCGGACCCGTGAGCTAGCCCACCAGATCGACACGTTCAATCGCCACACGTTTAGCCGCTCGGTCTAAATGCTATTCATTGATGTGAGGGACAGCATTGACCACTGCGATGCCCAGCAACGATCTCGTCTGAATGCGGCCCATCGCAGTGTCGCTGCTGCGCTTGTGATTTGCCTCCTTTCCCGCCAGCTTGCCAATCCGACGGAAATCACTGTTCTCACCCCATACCGAGCCTAGTTGAGGGAATACCAGGCACTCTTTGCAATTCTGCAGCAACAGCAGCCTGACCTGCACCTACATCTCATACAGCTCAAGACCATCGACTCCTTTCAGGGTAGGGAATCGAACATTGTCATACTCGACCTCCCCGTTGTTTCCTCCCTGGGTTTTATGCGGGAGGGTAATCACCTGAATGTCGCGCTTTGTTGAAGATTTGCAGTGATGGTCCCCTTCTAAAGGATATCCCTCTGACCGTTACGGAAGTGATCGACGATACTACCGATAAACAATCGACTGCCTCAGGTCCTGTTCGTACTCCGCAGCTGAGTCGGTCGAAATATGCACTCTATATCATTGGCAACTACAAAGCCATGGATCGACCTAACTTGAGCGGAAACAGAAGCCTAGCCCATTCGTGCGAAGATTTCTCACGTACATCTCTCAACACAGGCATCGAGTGCCAGTCCCGGACGAACTTACAATCACTCCGCCCGACACCGCGGTTGAAGAGCAGAATGATGTGCAGGCGAGTGGTAGCTGGAATGAGAATGGCATGGAGCTGGATGGCACGGCGGCCCAGCCTGGCGCAAGCGACAACAATCCTACGACTGGTGGTGGCCGATTGCAGATTGCTAAGGAGCATGGCCTGTCACAGCAGCCGGCTGTTACGGCTACCATCGACATGACACTTTTGCGATTTTTCAATTTCTGCAAGCGGTACATCGAACTCGGGGGAAAGTATACTACCTTATGCGATATTCCAGCTTCCTATGACTGGTTTGTGGGAGCAAGAGCTCCTAAGAGCATCGACGAGTGTGTCGTCGAAAAAGAAGAATTGTTCCGGATTCCTGCAGCCACCACTGCTAGACAACTATTACCAGGTGGCAGATGAGGAGTTAGATACCATGGCCTCGGCCATCACTAAGGCGGTCGACAGGGGTGACTGTGGGTTTGCTAATTTCTGGTGGAGGATGACCCCTGGTGTGCGCAACATGATGCTAGTAACCTGGGTTAGGGTGGCCCATTACCAATTAGCAGACTGCATGAAGCTGAGGTACCTCCTGTGAATCTTCCAGCAAGAGGGCCTATTTCAAAGTGTTGTTTTGGCTCTGCCACCATTACGAGAGAACGAATCAGCGAGCTGCTGTCCGATCTGGATATGAGTCCGTTGGGAAGTTTCAATAACTCAGGGGTTGTTTGTATTGGCGGCCTCTTTGAACATTGGAAATGGCGTGGGTCCTAAGGGCAAGGAAGCGTATGTGGTGATGCTGGGTGATGCTGGAACCCTCGGTGATTAAGATCGGCTCCTGCATGAAAAGCTTTGATCCATTGGCAAACTACAACGAGGTATATCGATGTGATCATTGCAACACCGTCCTTCCTGGCTACTGTTTTTCTAAAGGCGAGAGACTCGCAGCAGGTGGTCGTGAACGTCTTGTTCTCCGACACACCATTCCACCGGCAGATCACTGTCCTAGCATGGTTTGTCTTGCTGCATCCTTCTCACCTATGACGATCAGAAAAAGGCTTGCATCGATGCAATCAAACAAGCGCGTGGAGAAGCGACTTGGTCGACTCTACTAGGCCACAACTTCTTCCATTTGCAAGCGGTTGATGCATATCAGACAATCGCAGATGACTTCTCTGCTCTCATCCATCGCTTTCAGTTTGAACAGGCGCAGCAGGCTGCATTCACAGGTCTCCGCGCCCTACCTGGTGGGTTTGGTCTCATCCATTGGGCCCCCTGGCACTGGAAAAACCTACTGGGCGGTCTGAGGTTTTCTCCTGTTCCTTGCATACCATAATCGTCATACCGCCCGACGGCATCAGGTCATGCTCTTAGCATCATACATCTCCTTAGCCTCAATGATTTTGATGTACATCCCAGGCTCCGAAGTGTGCTTCCATTCAAGGCCCTTTATTTTGGATAATGTTGGGGGGTCCTCGGCATTGAGAAGTTCTTGTACTTCCTTTGGGGTAAAGGAGACGATCGATTCAATGATCTGGTCATTGTCCCATAGCGACAGCGTCTCTGTCCACTGTATACATCAATGACGTGGTCAATGATCTCGCCGTCGGGATCGAGGAGCTCGGTTACAGTTCATTCCCGACCGTGAGACCATCATTCTCCGTTGCCATGCGCTCAGCACTGGATAACCACCTTGTTTTGTACAAGGGCAAAGCATGTGTAAATTTCCTCCTGCTTGATGGGATGGTGTCGAGACTTGAGTAAACTCGCCTTTGGTCTGTCTGCGGACTCCCAATGCTTGGCCTACCGAGTCTGACCTGACAGCTCAGATCTGACTGATCCCAACCTGTGCATGAGATTGTCTGGAGTCGTCTCTGATAACCGCCGATTGTCTGCCTCTTTCAGAACCTATCTGCGCTCTTCCCTTTCTGGTCTTGTTCCGGTCAGAGGCCCCAGACAGTCTGCTTGAAGATGTCTGGGGTACACACAGAATGGATAGGCAGCAGTTACCGGTTAGGGGTGCGGTTGGGGTTCAATGAGCTTCAGGCTCGGACAGATGGAGCTCCTCTAATTCCCGAGGAGCCAGAGAGAGTCCATGCAGTCATTGAGTGCAAGGCCATGGCCATAACTTGTAAGAGAGCTATGGACAGCGAACACCGAATTTCTTTCTCTTTCGACTATCTTGACAGTTACTGATTTGAGATTGAACGCGGGACATCGGCCTCTTCCTGGACCATGTTGCTGTTGGACACAGGTGTGTATATAGCGCAGTTTAACGACAAGGCTTTGGAGGCTGCAGCTGCGATTGGATAATTCCCGCCAGAGATTGTCCCTACGGTGCAGCGACTATGTCAAACGAGGCCCAGCTACTTATGCTGCGAATCGCAAAAGATATCAGCACTGCAAACATAACCGATGCTATCCAAATGATAGCAGCAAAGATATAGTGATCCATGGCCCTTGGGCTTTACGAATCATACTCGCCTGAAAATAGTTCGTTTCCTAGGAAGCTCTCCTCTCAGCGAGCCCGCACACTTGCGTCGAGTCATGTCTGACTGCCTAAACTGCAGTGCTCCTTTTCCTGATGATGCGCAACTCATCGATGTTACTTTTCATGATACCCACCTCTGATTCAGTTCTCGCCCGTGATCTGTTCTAGGCGGAGGTCTTCTACCCCCCAGCAATGAATTATCATTGTTTTATTGCTCAGGTCATGCGGATTGCCCGTGCTACCTTTGGTCCGAAGCCGATGGTGACTGAAATCCAGGTCATAGAAGGTTCTCAGACTTTTGGTGGCGAACTTACGAGGGGACACGCAACATGATTTCAACAACTCGCCTGCGGTAGGCATATTATCTGATGACGGACGCAGTCAAGCGACATTGAGGAAATCAGTGAGGCAATAGTTGCGGGAAGAGGGATGACCTTGATGCGACAGGACTGACATTACTATCCTCCGACGGTGGGAAAGCCCAGATGGAAGTCTCACGAGTGTCTGGGTGTGTCAGTGATACTAGTACCAGAAAGCGGATGTTTACAGCTCGGCATGATCCCGCTTATAGAGAACTGACACAGATGAGCCTACTGAACGGGCGCCTTTATCAAGGGCAGAATTGGTGGTCTCGCCACAGGAACAAAGAACATCGCCGTCTATATGGCCTTAATTAACTATCGCGGTTCCTCCTGTTTGTTCACTGGCCGATGGTGATGTGGGTTGTGGAAATGTTCCTTGGCCCGATTGGTGTGAAGTACCAGACTGTCCGATTGGAAAGTGGCTGAGATGAATGGCCTAGTCGTCATTCAGGGCAAAAGCTTCATGTATCTGCAACCTGTGGATGCCTATCGGACCATTGCGGAGTACTTCCCTGCTGACGTGAATGCTCGTCCGGTTGCTATCAGAAGTAGCTTCCCAAATGCCACTACCTGTTACTGGTAAACGTACCAGAAATCAACTCCTTGCCAGTCTCACTTGTTTTCAGTACCCAGCGACTTAAGGCCTTCTGCTTCTTGTAACCATGGGAAAAAAGAGCCCTGGTCTCCCTGCCTTTCCCTTCCCGTGAGTGTTATGCGTAAGTGGATACCTACTGGTAAGACCGGGCAGGGTTCGCAAAGGCTGGTAACTACTGGTCGCGCCCAAGAGGCCCGTGCAAGACGTCATTAGAGAAATACAAAATGTCCTCGCCATTTCTGTGCAGAAGAGAAAAGAATGCGATCATTATTGAGAAATGGGGGTCAATCAGCCGCCCGACAAGAGGAGACCGAGCGAAAAGGTACCTGAGGCGGTCCAGAAGGTGGTTATGTCCAAGCACGGTGATGATGCCCTAGTTCATATCACTGGGGCTCCCCTGGTAATGCACGCGGCGATACCAGAAAGGAAACATCGACTTGTGCTTGAAAGAGACCTTCTCGGTCAGATCAAACTTGCAGGAAACGTTCGTGTTGTGGACAGGACTATCCTCTTGGGACGGTTTATCAAGACCGTGGAGGATGAAGCCGGTACGCAAATATCGGCAAGCTTCTAACTCACGAATTTGGCCACTCCTATGGAAGGTGCAAAAGCTCACTAAATCGGACAGCCATGTACCTGCACGGATTTGAGCACACGAACTGGGCCCAATCAATCAAATCAGTCAACCTAGATGATGGAACAGGAAATCAAAAAAAGTAAAAAGGCAAAATCGTCGGCCGATGGACGATTATTTGGACGAGGACACGATGCGAGAGAAGACGGATATTGATCTGCCGGGGGCTATCCGAGTCCGTCCTGTCCTTCTCTCTGGCTCTTGCCTGTGTCGACCCCAGCCCACTGCATGATAGAATCCTCGACTCTGCCTCCTGCTTGTGTTCCCCTCCTCTCCTCCTGGTGGCCTTCTCATGCTCCTAGTACTGCCATTTTGATGCTCCGAGTGCAGCTTTTTTTCACATTTCCTTCCTCTGCTTGAATTGTGGCTCGAAGACTCTCCTGTGCTGGTCTTTTCGCGTAAGCATCCAGACTTCCAACGCAAGTCACTCAGGACAGAGAACTTTGCGGCGGCGCTCTTAGAGGGTTCGGTTTACCTTCTTCCTTTTTCTGTTGTGCGGGTTATGTCAACCCCCGGCCTTATGGGTTGACCCCGGCGGACTCACCGAAGCTGTACTGCTCCGCGGGTGACAAAGTCTAGTCCCAAGGGATAAGCCTTACCAGCGCCCTTATATGTGACGCGATTTCTAATGAGGTAGAGTCGCTGTTACTGTTGCCCTTGGTGATTCTTTTCCTGGTTCTCTTCTTGTGATGCAATGACAGCGGATATCGCGGACCGGTCTCTAAGCCCTAGAACCCGCAAAATTCGAGTGAATTTTGCTATCTTTACGTCAACACACAGATTTTAGACATGCTATACATGAGATGGAGTTGAAAGAATTGGATGTTCTGCAGTCGTAATATTGTACAGGTATCTAAGCAGCAAAATATCGTACAACCATTATCGAGTCCCTCAATCGGTAGTCCTTGACAGGCCATCATGGCGACGGGTTACGGCGCGGAGATTCCCAAAGGGAAGGACATCTCCGATCCTCTTCGCGCCTGTGAAGAGCATGCAGAGACGATCAATGCCACAGCCCCAGCCACCAGTAGAAGGGAGACCCCACTCCAAAGCTTCAAGGTAGCTCTCGTCAATCTCCGCCGGCTCATCGGTGCCCTTATTGTAGCGGACTTGATCCTCGAATTTCCGTCTTTGTTCAAAGGGAGAGTTCTCCTCTTCGTAGGTATTGACAATCTCTCGTCCGTCGATGAAAAGTTCCGCGCGCGCCGCGACACGCTGCTGATTGGCGGGATGGATGAAGGATTTTGACAGTGGGGAGAGACACTCTGGGGGTTGAGGATGAAGGTTGGGTTGATACATTCGGGTTCAAGGTAGGTGCTGCATAGCTCGTCCAGGAGACGGGGGAGAGTGGGGTTCTTGGGAATAGGAAGGGAAAGGTCTCTGAACAGCTGGTTGACTTGGTCTAGAGCATCTGGCGCGGTGAGGTCGGGGAGTCCGCGGCCAATCTTGTCTTCAATGCCGGTGGTAAAGTCTACTCGACGGAAGGGAGCAGAGAAGTCGACTTCTGGGGTTTTAGACTGGCGTTCTTGTCGAACTCCTGAATATGTGCCGCCATCCCGGATAGGAGGTTCTCTGTGATGGACATCAGATCTTCGAGATTGGCGTATGCATGGTAGAATTCACATGTTGTAAATTCGGGATTATGCGTTTTGTCCAGCCCTGTCCCAGATGTCAGTCACTCGTCTCGAGACTCCGAACCACGATCAAACCTCAGGCTTGACTTACCTTCGTTCCGAAATGAAGGGCCAATCTCGAACACCTTGTCGAATCCACCGACCACTAAGCGCTTCAGCCATAGCTCCGGCGCGATTCTCAGAGACAGCTGCCTATCGGGGAATTCGGTAGCAGAAGTTTGAAACGGGCGGGCCATCGCTCCGCCAGCTATCGAGCCAATGATGGGAGTGCTGACTTCCATAAACGATCTGTCGAGAAAGAACTGTCGCAGGAACTGAATGATGGCTGATCGCGCTCGGATGATATCTGCCGACTTCTGGTCGGCAAGGAACTGGACATGGCGAGGGTAGGGAGATGTCTCATGCTCTTCGGCGTCGACAGGGACATCGTGCAGGCAAGGCGACAGCAGCCGAGGAAGCTCAGTTGCAAGAATTGTGAGCTCTCCTGTTCCTGTGCGGTGAGGTTTACCTGTTACGGCTATGGAAGATCGTTCAGTCTCGGGTAGTGATACAGGGGACGGCTATATGGTACAACATACAGAAAGCATCGCCGCGGCGAAGGAGGCGGTAGAATCTCTTGAAAGCATCGGGAGCTACTCCGTCCAGCTTGCGAATGTTGCACATAACCTGGACCTTGTGTCCATCCTGGAAGATATCGAAGAATATCAATTTGCTCCCGGCCAGTCTATAGGCACGTATTCTTCCTACAAATCTAAGTACAGAGGACAACCGAGTAGGGCCAGAACAGCGGCAACCTACCATTAATAACGACAGTGTCATCTTCTACTGTTTGATTGCTGGTAAGGTGGCTATATCGATCGCGAAATGCCGCACAGCTCAGCGACCGGTTGTCACTTGGGAGGCGGGGATATGGGTCAGAACAGGCATTTCTGACCTCCTCAAGCCGGTGTCTGAATGCTTTATCGGGGGAGGCTGCGCTGCTGCTATGCCTTGTACGTATAGATGATGAAGAGGCCGGTTTGATTGTTCCAAGTAAACTATCTGCTATGTGAGAAGTACGATGGTTACTGGAAGTAAACGGCGATCCTGCACTGATAGATTGCTCGTATTAGCCGATCAATTCAAGCAATACAATATCTCCTCAGACGAAAAACAGTATGGATTGGGCATTGAATCAGGTAAAAAGAAATGACTCCGTTGCGATCAAGTGCTTGAAACAAGCATCATCTGCAGCGGTTCTGGAAAGGAATGTGTGTCTCATCATTCAATTGATGGGAAAATAGTCAAGTAAGAAGAAGATAAGCTTCTTACCTAAATCGAGAACTCTTCAAGCATAATTGTGAAGCCCACCGGGGGCGAATTGAGTGCATATTAAAGAGAAAAGCTACAGTCACATCACGTTAAGGATGGAAGAAGAGAAAGAAAAGAAATTGCACCGGACATGAGAAGGTCGATGAATTTATGGAAGGCGGTGGGAAAAGACAGTCTTAGCTCCCGGTCATAGCAGGACCTCCGTCCGGACCGCAATATCATACATATCTCATCAGAATCAATTTGAACTACCATCCATCACCAAACCCTACTTCCTACACGGTCAGTATAAATCTTGCTCTCTGATCAGTCAGTTATTTTTTACTGGCGACCGCTAACCGCTTCACAGATATCCGATCACATAACTCGGTCAAGCTCCCTCATAGAATACCATCACCATGTCTTTCCTCTTCGGCGGTCCCCCAAGATGTCCTCGGCAGAGAAGATCGCTGCCGCAGAGACGGAAGTCGAGATGGTCTCCGATATGTTCAACCGGTAAGATGCATCTCTCCTTGGCTATACCAGTGCCGGACAGTACCATGTCCTACTTTCATCCGCATTTGATAACCCAGCTAACGCCATACCCAATCTCAGTCTCACCGAGTCCTGCCAGAAGAAGTGCATTCCCAACGACTACCGCGAAGGCGACCTGAACAAGGGCGAGTCAGTCTGCCTCGACCGCTGCGTCTCCAAGTTCTTTGAAGTCAACATCAAGGTCAGCGAGAAGATGCAGGGCGAGGCGGCCCAGAAGCAGGGCGCTCCTGGATTCGGCATGTAAGGAAGATACGCAGGCTTTACTCGCTAGTCTTGTCTGAATGGCATGTTGCGCGCATCGACTGATTTGTTTGGGACCGATGGTCTTACAACCTCTCCCTGTGCTCGCTTTCGCCGGTGAGGTCATACTTTCATGCTGGGCGTGGATTCTCTCAACGTTTGTCTTTGCTTGCGATTGAATGGACTCAGGATGATATCCATGCTGAGTTCGCCATGAAGGCTTTTACTCAATGGGATGCGAGATGTCACTCGGTTCTGGCAGTTTTGGTCTATTATGGGAGCACTCTGGATGGCTACTCGCGCATTAGTATCTTTGTCTCCGAGCCGTGCCGTTTGCAGCGCGTCTGATATGGACACCGGGATCCTATTCACACTATGTACACTAGAATTGGTATATAAAAATACAGGGATATCACGCTTAACACGAACGACATGAAAGGATCGAAGCATATCACCTAGAAGACATTCCAACAAATCTTCCCAACCGCGACAACCATGAATTGCTCTTCTTCTCTTCCTCGTTCTTTATCAGTCCTTTCATCCTTGTTTCAAGCTCCAACACATGCCGCTCGAATTCCCCAAGGCCGCTCTCCACGTCCTCGACTTTGGACTCGAGGACATTGAGCTCATAATCCAGCTTGGCTCCCATCATCTCGACGCGTTTCATAGTATCAACAAGGTAGGTGTGCTCCTCCGTCAGCAATTCACTGGAGCGTTCCCTCATTTGTTGATATTTCTCAGCCTGGTCTAGGTAGATTGAGTTGATGTTCTCCTGTGACTCATAGAGCTTCCGGTTCAATTCGTCCACCGAGTTCACTTGTCTTTCCACCCACGGAACTGTGTGATGGCTCAGCTCCTCGATTTTGGAACTAAACATCCGTACATCAGAGGCCAGCGTGTCCTCAAGCGCAGCGGCTTGCTCTAGAGTGGCATCTGGCTTAGGCTGCAGTGCTTCTCGGCCTCCCAGGCTTTCCCAGCCAAGTACGACGTCTTCAACAATACTGAAGGACAGGTGGCGAGGCCAACCATTGCTTCTACGTTCGAAGTCATCTGTCGTGGTGAACTCTATGCAGCTCTGCGGTCGGCGCAATAACATCAGATCGAATCGAGAGAGATCGTCCTGACTAACAGATGCATCGGTCGATCGTGTCCTGGACCGCCCTAGATCTGACTCGTCCTCTTCCAGCTGACTTGTCGAGGGTTTTCGTGCTGAACCAGTCTCCTCATTATCTCGTGGAGAATCAACAGTGATTTTCGGAGCTTTCAATTCGGAGACTGTCGAACCACCAGTACTCGCTGGTGGCTCTGCCTTTGCTGCGTCAAACTGTGTCTGGTCGTGAGGCTCAGAAATACTTTCCTGATCAGTCAGGTTAGCATCAGCCTCTGCTTTTAGCACAGGCATCTCCGCATCGCTTTCGAGAGCTGGCATGTAAGCCGCATCACCCATCAACTCCGCCCCGTCTTTCGTCTGCTTGTGGTGCTGAGATCGAAGGCTGGGCAGTCCAACTGCTTCTTTGAACCTTCCAAATCCGATTCGTGCGTCTGACACCTTGCCACTAACACCCCTCCGAACCATGCGACTGAGGTTCTGATCCTTTTCGTCCGGTGCGGCCCCCGTTTCAGGCTGCCTCCACGGACGGTCTGAGCCTTGAAAGGATCGGTCACCAGCCAGATCTTCGTGCGAATGGTGTTTCCTACTTGTCCACACATAGTTGCCTTGATCATCCCTGTTGAACATCATGTCCGCAGCAGGCGGATCACGAGCGAAGCCATCACCTAGCCCACCCTTACGTGGCTTCCCCTCCACAACCACTTCGCTCTCTCGCCGGTAACTAGCGATGCGAAGTTGTCCAGCTCCAGGGTCTCAATATCGGCGATGCCACCCTTTTCCCGGCCCCGTACCATACCCATGACCATCTCACCCCCATGTCCGCTCAATTCGGCCATCGTTGACTTGACTGCGTCCGTCCAGCCTTCAGCATTTGCCGCCTTGGCAGTTACACGGTGAAGCCGGTCGAGAGTTTGGCGGTCCAGTCTGCGTGTCCGTTCCATCTTCTGTGACTTTTGAAAGCTCTCAATTGCCCTCTTGAGACTGCGTATATCGAAGGCGTCTTTCCCTACCGGGGCACCGAAGGCATGAAGTCGATTACGAGCTCCCATGAATGTGCCCAGCAGCGCAGCTACAGTTGTCGGTCCCAGTACACCGTCACTTGGTTCTAGGTTGTACAAATCAATCCCAAACTCGGTCCACCAATCATTGATTGCGGTCTCGGTGACATCGCAGAGCAGCCCATCCACATATTCAGGTGCCAAGAGGCCAAACATTGTCAGCGCGATCTGGCATTGTTTGACGAGCTCTATTACAGCACTATACACAGGTACTCGCTCGCTGGTCCGATAGAGTTGATAAAACTTTGCCACGGTGGCAGGTGAAGGAGGCTGTAGCTTTAAGCCGGCCCGGCCGGCGCAGGAGAGCCGTTTCAGGTTTTCATTGACGATAAAATCGTCCTTGTGTCGGAGTATGTCACCGTCGGGGACTGGGATGACCGTCAGCGCAGACGGAAACGAGCTCAGGTCAGTTACCATGACGGTGCCCAGAGGTGTGTCTTTCGTTCGTGCTTGACATTGCGTGACGGCGTTGAAGTACAGTTTCAAACGCGGAGACCAGGTGTTTTCGTCAGTTGGGACACTGAGGACTCCCACCAAGACCTTGTGCGAAGGATCGCCCGTGTAAGTCGTAATCACAAATGTCGGGTGTACTCTTGAACAAGCCCATTGCTCAACGATGTATATCTCGTAACCCTCCAGGATGAGGCGTCGATGGAGCACAACTGTCGCAGGGTCTTCCTCCAGATACCGAAGGGCTACAGGATCGGTGAACACGAGTTTCTGATGACCGTGCGGCGCTGATGCCTCCATGTGTCCGTTCGTATGCGAGGAGGGGCTCCCGTGAGTGTTGATGGGAGGTTTCATAGAATCACGTCGATTCGCCACGGGAGGCGCAGCCTGTGCGCTGGTAACAGCCGGTGGCATTCTGTCAGCGTGATAGCTATCGCATTAGTGGTAAAGACTGTGTCATATCCAGAGCTGCTTGCTGGTGTCTTCAAATCGATTGTCGATGTGACGAGTTCAAAGTACTGAGACCACGCTCAGAAATGAGGGGATGAAATGTTGACCCTCCTGGGGTCTCCTAGCTTTGTTGGCCTCGTAAGGAAGGAGCTTGACATATCCGGAGGAAATACTAAGCATCTGTGATCTCAAACAAATGGTGTAGAACTTCTATGAGTTTGCCGTAACATCGTCACAAGGAGCTCAAATGTGGAGCTGGGAGAGAGAGTTGCCAGAAAGACAGTTGACCGCAACTAAGCAGCGACGTCACAGGACTCTGGAAGCGGTGAGCCGGCTAAGGATGAGTGCCCCTGATACCAGCCCCAAGTCTAGGTACCTTTCTACGGAGTACGGAGTTACTCCGTACCAAGATCATAAATCTTCTGGCTTCTGGGGAATCGTGTCTGTCGTTCTTAATACTCCGGGCTAAAGGAAAAGGATGAGCACCGCTATGTTGTTGGAACGCGCGGAAACAGCGCCTACTCCGAGGATTGGCGAGCGACGTTGTATCACTGACAAATATCCCAAAGTATTCCACACACAATTCTAGAGACCCCTATTTCTCCATTCCGGACTTACGGACTACACAGGACATCAAACTAATCGGTGAATCTCTTCTCCACAGGCCTCCGCAAGGGAAGCAAACAGTGATGAAAAGAAGACCAATATTTCGAGCATCTGACGAGCAGAAGACTCAAAAATCTGACACCAAGGCTTGGAATCAGGGCAACTTTTTTTTCAAAAATTCCCAGTCGATCCGAAGACCAACTGGAGCGGTCAACTAGGTAGTTTTCAACTAGCAAAAACACGGTCTCGGATGTCTCCTCACTGACACGTGTAAAACCCGTGCACCAGGATGGAGAAGAAAAGAAGAAAAGGTTCAAAGAGACGGGGGAGCAGCGAGGTTATATACCTTTGCCAAGGCTCACTACTTGCGCTAGCGTAAGCGAGGCTTTCCCCTTAGGTGGCCACGAATATCATTGGCAGTATTACTTTCCTTTGCTGCGGTACCAAGCATCTTATGTAAGCAATCGAATATTCACGATCCTCTGCAGAGAGGGACGGAGTAATGAATCACAAGTCTTTGGGACATAAGACCAAAATATAGATTCCAAGAGGTGATGGAAATATTTGAAGGAGAGGATCTTTTTCATCGTAAAATACTTTGTGTAGTGTTCGAAGTTCTCTTTGCTAGGTGCTTCATTAAAGCGGACTACTACCACTCCACATGGGGGCTTTTTGCAACGGTTCTACGGAGTACTATTATTAGTCGGAATAGGATATGCTCTAGCGTCTAGGTACTGTTTCAATATGAGTCGAAGATTACTCCAAATTATTTTGAAATAAACAGAATCAGTCTCAGGTTCACTTGGTTCACTTGATTCACTTGATTCACTTCATGAAACCCCGCAGCATCATACCATGACCTTGAGTATCTAAATGATAACCCCCGGAAGAGGGGTAAAAGCGCATTATTGGAGAACACGTGATGTCCCATGTTCCATGTCGTAATGGAAGTGTCGGTCGCCGATAGCTTATCGAACTTCACTCACCTCCACCTGACTTGTTGCTCCTGATTTTCGGAATCTGCCCTCTCAGAGACTGTCCTTACATCGCCCAAAGTCATCAACTGGGCACTATCCGAGTCACCCATATGGCTATCGGCGTCGTGGTGCTAGAATAGCGGAAACCACCCTACTCCGCTTCAAGCGCCATCTCCGAGTCACCCCCAGAGCCGTCATGGATCTTGTTCGGAAGGAGCATGAACGGCTCACTAAGAGGCTGAAGGCTTCTCAGAATACTAAAAATGTGCAAGACACAATAGATCTAATTCAAGCAGCGCGAGACACGATCGCCTCTGGTTCGTTCCTCTTCGTCCGTCGGTCGGCGGCCATTTGGTCGTTTGGCGGTGTTCATTGACTGATCGTTGTATAGATCCAGGCCAAGCATCCATAGCCCTAGCAAAGCTCCAGAATTCAGTCAAGTCATCATTCGACTCAATCAATGACAATCTCAAGGAACACCACAGCGCTCTGAACAAGTACAGCAAAGCACTAGATAAGGTCTTGTCTTCGGGTATATCTGCATATCTGGTGCTCTCAAAACTGACACTGTGTAGCTCTTCAAAGATAAACCACTCCCGAGTACCGAGCATGATGCTTTATCATCTCGAGAGCATCTCATCAACCGCGCAATCGCGATGCACCTGTTACGAGAGGGACAGTTCACTGTAGCCGCAACCTTCCTTTCCGAAATAGCCGAAAAGAAAGCTTCGGGGCGAGAGAACGATATGGATACGGATGGCCCAGACGCCGCCAGAAGTCTTCTCGATATCGACGATGTTCCTTCGGGCGAAGTGCGGAAACAATTTGCTACGATGTATCACATACTACATGAGATGAAGGAGAACAATAACTTGCTTCCGGCTATACAGTGGTCGAGGGACAACAAAGAAGCTCTGAAGGCACGAGGCAGTAACCTTGAATTCGAATTGTGCCGGTTACAGTTCGTCTGGCTCTTTCATGGCGGACAGGGCCCTGCTGTCGCTGGTCCACAGGCTGCATTGGAGTACGCCAGGCGCGAATTCCATGTTTTTCTCCCCAGGTACTTGGTGGAAATTCAGCAGCTGATGGGGGCAATGGCGTTTTCTCCAAACCTCCAAGAGTCGCCTTATCGGAATATTTTCGACAATCCGTCGGCATGGTCTGATGTGGCGCAGTCTTTCACTCGGGAGTTCTGCTCACTGCTGGGTTTGTCTGCCGATTCGCCACTATACATAGCCGCTACTGCTGGTGCGATAGCGCTACCCACTCTGCTGAAATTGCAGACGATTATGAAAGCAAAGAGGACAGAGTGGACCACGCAAAACGAACTTCCGGTAAGTCGAGTCGCAGCAGTCCGGGTCACCCTACCATGTCTAGAAATGTATAATTGACATACTTTATTCAGGTCGAAATTCCACTTCCACCCTCTTACCTCTTCCATTCGATATTTGTCTGTCCGGTCTCCAAGGAACAGTCTACAGACGAGAATCCCCCGATGATGATGCCTTGCGGTCATGTAATTGCAGAAGAGTCGTTGAAACGACTTTGCAAAGGCACAAGATTCAAGTGTCCTTATTGTCCCAATGAGAGTCATCCGCGAGAGGCAAGGAAGGTCTTCCTATGAAGAAAAGGGGACCATGCAAAATCCGCCTGGAAGAAAGAGTCGGCTTGGTGGAGAATGTGGATGGGTCTTAGGAATCCGGATTTCTTTGTTTCTCCTTTTGCTTGTCAACTATGTCAGGATGGTGGCGTTTTCGGTGTCGAGGTCATGAGGGCATGCGGGAAGTCTTATATGTGTACATTCTCCAGATAATCCCACCTTGGTTAACTCTACTGCAAGCCCTTGCATATCAATTCCCAGGGAGCCGAAGACATTCCTTTAAAGATATACCCCACGTATGGGATGGTGTTATCAAACCTCGACTTTGAGATCGCATAGCCACCGGAAAAGATAATGTATTATTTGTCTGTTTCGCCCACTAGCCCCCATCATTCTATTAGAAAAAGCCAGCTAGGCCTAGATAATGCTTGCTCTTAAGGAGGATGTGTCAACTTTCCATTGTTCTTGTAACCAAGGAATCCAATGAATTTCCCGAGCGGGTCCGACTGCCCCACCCCCCTTTACCTGTTTCTGACATCTAATTGGACATCTAGAATCCCGTGACTGCGCGATCATTTGGCGACGCAGTCAAAACCACTTTACGCGTGCAATACCGGTCTTTACGCGCCTGCAGTTGGTCCCTCGAACTGGACCATTTGTGATAGATGGACGGAGTAAGATCAAACGATGTTGACTGGTGTCTTTAGATTTTGTAGATCTCTAAATCACTCAGCAGCTTAGAAAACATAAAAGAAACTAATTCCCAACAATGGTTCAGCTTCTGGGCTTCTTGCTCTGTTCATCAACTGTTTCGGCAGTATCAGTATCATCCCCTTGATCGTCGTACTTACAGACGCAGGTACAGATACAAGCATGCCGCCAGCTGTCTAACACCATTGACCAAGTAATTGCTGTACTCCATCAGCCCTCTGAGACCCTACCTTTTCCTCTCAGCTCGATCGACTCGCTCAGCCCGTCTTGAAGATGTTGACCCAACAGCACAGCAGTAGCAGTCAAAACATGCTTTCCATCAAACGTCCATCCCAGAGTCCCACCGACAGCTTATCCTCGCGATATCGCGTTGGAAAAGCGACAGCAACCCAGCGGGTGAGGAAGCCCGTCCGCGACTCTCCTACTACTCCATCGCGACGGCTCGAAAGAGAAAGACGCCAAAGAACCGGCAGTTCCCCTACCCAGAAGTAAAACTACTCTCCCTTTTATCACAGGAAGTTGAAACTGATTATGACGCCAGCTCTTCAAGCACGTCGATAGTGACCATCTCGGTCGGGCCAGAAGCGCGCCTCTTCGCCGCCCACGAAGATACCCTCTGCATATCCCCCTTCTTCGCAGCCGCCTGCTGCCGAGCGCAATCGCAATCGCCATCACCAGAATCGCCCCACAAGCGCATCAGCATCTCCCTACCCGACGAACAGCCCGAGATCCTATCCTGCATCCTCGAATACCTCTACAAAGGCGACTATACGCCCCGAGTCGTCTACAACCGGCACCGCGATACATGGGAGCTCGAGAACACGGGCCTCGACACAGACGGCCAAACCACCAGCGCGACCATTTTCCACCACGCAACTGGCTCGGTGATTCTGAGGGATACAGCCGTTTAGTAAGTCCGCCCTTCAACCTCCGAGCCAACTGGACCAGACGACTAACATGCTGCTTAACAGCTGCGCCGCGCAAAAGTACGGCCTTGAACCCCTGAAGCGCCTTGCCTTACGGAAACAGGGCCTCCACTCTGGTATCCAGTGCAGTACCATTCTGAGCAGCGCTCGCTACGCCTACGCCAACACCTCAGATAACGAGTCGAAACTGCGCGCTCACTATCTGGCCCTGATTATCCGGAGCCGGTCGACGTTCAAGCGGAGCGGGACTATGCAGATGGAAATGGAGAAGGGTGGGAAGTTATTCTTTGACTTGTTTGTGGCGATGTGTAATCATATGGTGTGTATTTTTCCCCTCTGCGTTTTGTATGAATGGAGCTGACCTTTGTCTTTTGCTTAGGATGACCTCACCACTGCTAAGTCTTCTCTTGCTTAGTTCCATATCCTGATGTCTGTCGACTTATTATTCCCTTTCAAATCCAGACTGCTTGTCGCGCCTTTCTACTATACCCCTTCCCCATTTTCTATTCGTTTTTCGCGCCTTGAACGCCCCAGTGTACAGTAACTTTGATTCATGTCTCTTCTATCAAAAAGCGGAACTCTTCTCACCCTGGTCAATGTGTTCTAATTCATACATGCGAAGATTTTGGAGTACGGGCGTCATGGATAGATGCTCTTGTTCATAATCTCATGTCTAAGTCATACAAGATGATGTAGGCTTCTGTATAAGCTGTCTTCCGCTGATGTATGTCAATTCCCGAACAATCCAGTCGGACCCACGCGACAGACAGGAAGTACAGCCTTGTTAATATCCACCCTTCCCTTGAGGTGGCCATTCTACCGTCGGTATAAAATTAACTAGTTGTAGATGATAGCCTGCTGTGTCGCATCCGATGGCTATTCATGCTTCATAAAGGATATCATGGGGAATTAGGCTGCACATATACAGCTCAGGGCTTTCTTCGGCGGCGAGCACTTGGATGTCGTGAGACAGATCCTGTTGGGCGACCTCACATTTCGGGTCTAGCCCGGCTCTGACTCAAGCTCGGCTTATATCGTACGCTCGAACGGTGTAGTGGAGGTCTTAGACACCGGTTCCTGGAAAGGCGGTACCACCCTTGCTCAACACAACCATGCCTCGCTCCCGGGCAATGTAACCCTTCATAAGTCCCTAGCCACAGTCAATCAGTCTGCTTGCTCCATATGATGAATAAAAATGGCATACCTTGTATATGAGGTTAGATAGTAGGCATTCGACCTCATCAATGTCTACGCGAGACCTGTCATCCGCATGTGTGCCGATCCTCAGCGCTGCTGCGAACTCGGCAACAGGAACACGAGTTCGGCGGATGGGAGGCTGGCCATCCTTGGATTCTTCGAACCCTCCAGCAATAAAAACCTTCCGGAATAGATTTCGCAGAGCAATATCGCGTCCTCTTTCCAGCGGCAGATAGATGCGTCTCTTGACGAACTCCTCTTCTCCGGCGGACATGGCTGTGTCAAATCCAACCAAATCTCCCTTTCGTATGCAATCGCACAAGGGGCGGAATAGTTTCTCCAATCTGGGAAAGGGCGCGAGAAGTTTTCGGGAGGGTAGAGTATGGGTTGTGACGAGGTGGCAGGGGACGAGATATGTGAGGATCAGCCTGCTGAAATTAGCGAGGATATAGAGACATGCGCTAAGAATCACTGACTCTCGATTTTTGAATGCGCCCTTGTGGCACATGTTCCACGCACATGCCAGGTGTTCTTCCGCCTGCGGAAGGTCATCAGAACAAGGCTCTAATATTGATGGATATTTGCGCAAGATCTTCTTACCTCTCGGTAGTTCTCATCGAGAAAGTGAATAACACCGACATAGTACTTGAATGTGACTATGTGGGACTTGGGGAAAGATTCCAGCTCAGGAAGATCGGCAGATGAAGCGCTAAGAGCACGAAGGAGGTTCTTTGAGAGTCCCACGGAGTTGAGCTAAAGTTTGTCAGACGACGTTCAGAAACGGAATGGGCTTCAATCGTACTTTGAAGTATGTCTTGAACAAAAGATTTGTGGTGTTGTAGATACCCCATTTCCGGGATTCTTCAATCGGTGCCCTTGAATCGTACTCAGTAATTTGCGAAAGGAGTGTAGAGAGTCAGTGCAACTACACACCTGTCGCTCAGACAAAGAGTAAACATCCGATTGATTATCCGGGCTGCCTCCTCGAGCTTCGCGCTCTTCTCGAAATCCGCAGCGACATCATCTTGGAACTGATCACCAAAAGCCATGGCTCCTTTAGAGGAAATCTCAGCATCTGCTTTGATCGCAAACACCCTCAAGTATTTCCCCACCACATAGAGACACGGGACCGTCCATGCTTGAAGCCCGAAGTTCGTGTAGCCTCTGATGAGAGTATTTGCCACCATTTTCCAAGCATCAAAGACCTTGGCCCAGCTGGCCGACGGGTTGTACTCCTCGAACTTGATGATCTCCCCTACAGCCTTCCAATACTCTGCGAAGATGTCAACCCAGCCATTTTGCTCTTGCTTTGGAAGCTTCACGCCGTTTGCTTGGAAGAGTGAATAGCGCAGATCTGCCGAAATGTGGTCGGAGTCAGAAAAGTTGTAGAACGACAACAAGCGATCGGGGCTTTCGGAGGTTGCGATGGGCGTAAGAGCTGCTGCCAAACGAGGACCAGACCCGTTCTTCTGGCCTTCCTTGAAGTCTGTAAAGACAGACGCCATGGCAGACTGTGTGCTGTAGCCAGAGTCCTAGATTGTCGTGTCAAAGCGTCAGTGCTTTACAATCATAGAACTAACTTCAACAAACAACCCGGACAATCTATGGAGCCAGGCTCTGGTGTCATCATCCATTTCCTGCCTTCTCCATTGACGGTCGCGAACTGTGATTGGGGGGAAGGTGGGGAACAACAGCGTTGCTGCCGTGGATTCCTGAGGCCGTTATCAGCCGCTGTGGCTGAGCATCCATATCTGGTATAGCGTCGGAGTCAAGCCCCAGCTGCCTGGTCGCTTAGGCGAAGGGCGGCAGCCCTAACTCAACAAGTTTCACAAATCCTCATTTTCGACCAGACCAGCCGGCACACCTATCTCGACAGTCAACCACAACAGAGTCGACAAAAGTGAGCACCACCCTCGTTATCTACCATTTTGTCATTTGCATTTGATACTAACCAGATTTCCAGATGGGTGAGTGAATTTTTCCCTCGATAAGTCGCACAATTTCCCCGTCGGATCGGTTGCAATGGTTTCCTGCGAACGTCGAACGACATAATCTCGAAGAATGGACACTTGACGACAATGGCAACGGAGGATAAACCGGTAGAGGGATCGAGTGCGCAAGGCTTTTTGGAAGTACCGAATGAGATTGTTCATTGAAGAAGGAGGTCGAGTTGAAGTGCGGTCGCACATTGTCGAAAAATTTCAAGATACAGATCTGAACACACGCGCCATCGACTATGACGTTCGCACGGGAATCAATGCAGCGATCGAAGACGCTTTTCTATTCGATTCGGATTTACTTGAACGAGCAGTCACTGACTGGTGTGTCTCACAGGGCGTCTCACCGAGTACCAGGTCATCGGGCGTCACCTGCCCACCGAGGCTAACCCCACGCCCAAGCTGTACCGCATGCGCATCTTCGCGCCCAACACCGTTGTGGCCAAGTCGCGCTTCTGGTACTTCCTGACCCAGCTCCGTAAGGTCAAGAAGGCCAACGGTGAGATCGTCAGCCTCAACGTGGTATGTCTACTATGGGAAAGGATTCTTCGGTCAAGATGAGCTGGACTGACATTGTCTCTTATCTTGTTTGCTAGATCCACGAGAAGCGCCCTCTCAAGGTCAAGAACTTCGGTATCTGGCTCCGCTACGACTCTCGCTCCGGTACCCACAACATGTACAAGGAGTTCCGTGAGATGAGCCGGACCGAGGCTGTTGAGGCCCTCTACCAGGACATGGCTGCTCGTCACCGTGCCCGCTTCGGCTCCATCCACGTACGTTGAAACGCATTCAACAGCAAACGTTTCATTGGAGATCTAACGAATTACATGCAGATCCTCAAGGTTGTCGAGATCGAGAAGGCCGACACCATCCGCCGCCCCTACATCAAGCAGCTCCTCCAGAAGAACCTCAAGTTCCCTCTTCCCCACCGCTCCGCCAAGCCTGCTGGCAAGAAGGTCTTTGCCTACTCGAGACCCTCTACCTTCGCTTAGATATGACGTTTTGGGTTATGGGAGATGGAGTGTGCGGATCAATGACTATGTTATGGCCATAGCATGCAAGAAGGACACGGATCACGCCGGAGAACAAGGCGTGTATCTACCGCCCAGAAGATGGGACGGATGTTTTTGATGTCTCTTTAGTCCTCTGCAGCGACCCTTGCAAGTTATTTATCAAAAAAATTACCGGGGTTCTTTTCTTTTTTTTAATACCATGGTTCTATCTGAGAGGTAGTCCGCGTAGTATCTCTGCATGCAGTGTGAGACCGGAAAGGCTCGGCAATTGAGTGACTGATGGTTCAACTGCGTTGATGTTTGACACCACGACACATTGTGGTGACGGTCGGGCTATTCTGTACAGGTCTAGCTTCACTGGTTCGAGTCGCATATATTTATTGCCTTTTCCCTGGACTTCCGTCGAATATCGCGAGACCACCAATTGACAACCACCAAGGTTACAAACTGTCAGTATAGCGTCCACCAAGGTCATTTCTCTGTAAAAACCACAACTATAGCATCTTCATGGAACGAAATACCCAGCCTAGCATACAATGACATTGGTTATCTATGAAGAGGTAGTACTTCCAATTTAAAAACCCCGGTCGATTACTAATGATCACAAATACCTTACCGTCAGGAACGGGTATTGCGTCATACGGACCAGTAAGTAAGACGGACAGTTTTGGGATCCGGACAGCGAGAACTAATTAACTCCGTAGGTACTCTCTATCCACAGAGTACTAAGGTTGAACATCCGCCCGCTCCTGTTGTGTCTCTTTCCGGTTCGGGTTCTCCTTCAATTGACCACCAGCTTGTGTCAATTACATACACAATGTTTGCGCGTCAATCTCTTCGCTTTGCTCAGCCCTTGAAGCAGGTAAAAAATATGGCTCCGAACAGTTTTGCGTCTTGGTTCTAGGAACGGAGGGAGGACATCCGCTGACTGACGCTGCACGCAGGGCTTCCGCAAATACTCCACGGAGGCACCCGCCAAGGGCAAGTCTTCTCTCGCTCCCATCTACGTCGCGGTCGGTCTCACTGGTCTCGGTGTGGGATTGTACCGGTACAACTCTGCCAGCGCGGAGGCTCCTCCTGCCGAGCGCCCGAAGGTTTTTACCGGTGGTGACCAGGGTTGGGTTGATCTCAAGCTGGCTCAGATCGAGACTCTGAGCCCCAACACCAAGAGACTGCGTTTTGAGTTCCCTGACAAGGAGGCTGTCTCTGGTCTTCATGTCGCATGTGGGTAGACTCTTTCCTGGAGGTGTTGCGTTTGTCTCATAGCTCACTTTTTTCGCCGTTAGCTGCCCTGTTGACCAAGTTCAAGCCCCACGGCGCCGAGAAGCCTGTCATCCGTCCCTACACACCCGTGAGCGATGAAGGTACGCGCCCCTTGGCCAGTATATACCCGCAGTAATTGACTCCATCTCTGCAGAACAACCCGGCTACCTCGACCTCGTCGTCAAGGTCTACCCCAACGGCCCCATGTCCGAGCACCTGCACAGCATGAACGTGGACCAACGCCTGGAGTTCAAAGGACCCATCCCCAAGTACCCCTGGGAGGCCAACAAGCACAAGCACATCTGCCTGATCGCCGGTGGCACTGGTATCACTCCCATGTACCAGCTGGCTCGCAAGATCTTCAAGGACCCCGAGGACCAGACCAAGGTCACGCTTGTCTTCGGCAACGTCCGTGAGGAGGACATTCTCCTGAAGAAGGAGTTGCAGGAGCTGGAGAACACCTACCCCCGCCGCTTCCGGGCCTTCTACGTGCTGGATAACCCTCCCAAGGAATGGACCGGCGGCCAGGGCTACATCAACAAGGAGCTCCTGAAGACCGTCCTCCCCGAGCCCAAGGAGGAGAACATCAAGATCTTTGTGTGTGGGCCTCCCGGCATGTACAAGTCCATCAGCGGACCCAAGGTCAGCCCCAAGGACCAGGGTGAGCTGACTGGTATCCTTGCGGAGCTGGGATACAGCAAGGACCAGGTGTTCAAGTTCTAAGCAGCGAGCTTAGCGTTTGTACAAAGGCATGTTTAACCGCATTGGATAGTCTTGTAGAAGTAACCCTGTATCGAATGGGGTGTTAGAACTCGAATATCAAGATATTTAAGATCAGCATCTACATTATCTATGCTGAACGCCGGGTAATTCCGCGGTGTCAACGAGACTTCCTGCCATCCAGAACCATAGACTCGTGTTTATGGACTCCAAGCAATGCTATAGCATCGATAAAAGCAGTTGATCTTTCACTGTGAAAGCTCGACCATGCCGCAAAGTAAAAGCGCGACAAGGTAAGTACCTAACGGTAGTGTTAAATTCGTCGCATCGGCCTCAGAACCATGTACATTTATTCTCAGAGATTGACGGGGTGATCTAACCCATTGGTGTGATGGACAATCTTGAAACTAGAACGGCCGGCCCGATGCGGTGCTACGATATATATATCTCCTGCGGCAGGGGCTTCCATCCGCGGCCATTACCCTCAATCACGAAACTATATAGTCAACTACTTATTGGGCATGCCATTGATCAATTATAATAAAAAAGTTTGGCTATGCGGTCACTGCCAAGTAAGAGTGTAACGCAGATGTAAATCTACGGTGTAATAGACTACCTGCGGAAACAGCCGCGCTTCTTCAGAGTCCTTGGAGTGTAGGCCCACGAAGCGGCGTCAGTAGCATGTCGCGCAAGGCAGCCTAGCCTGCAAGTGAGTGATTACGGGTAGTGAAAGAGTGGGTGGGGTCTTGTCTTCAGAGACCCGGAGCAAGGCCGTCATTTTAGCGCCTTGGAGTACGGAGTAGATAGGTATGGAGTCTGGAAGCGCCGTTACTCTGTTGTTACTTGTTCAAAGCAGGAGGAATCCTCCTGTGAGGATTATCTACGAACTGGTCTTCTGCTTGGAGGCTGCAGTAGGCTGCAACTGGTATTTAGCGCGCCTGGTGCGGCGGAGAAGAAGAAGAAGAAGAAGAAGAAAAGAAATTATGGAGAAGATGTATCACAAGTTGGAGATTGATCGACTGCCTATATTTGGACTTGGAACTGAGGGAAGTGGGAAGTGGGAAGTGGATGCCTGTGGTACAGATAGGAAGGTTGGCTAAGGCAAGACCAAAATGGTGGTCGAGAACCGACCGGTAGAGACAGATTTTGGTCGTATGGGAAGGATCCTGAAGCCCAGCGGGTTCAAGGAGAGAGGGGGGAAAGCCTGCAGGGGTAGTACTGTAGTCAGTTACAGCATCATGCCACCGTGTTTAAGAATGGGTCTAGCTCGGGGGAAGCTCTGGCTTGCAAGAGCAGCAGTTGGGATTTAGGCGCCCGGAGCTGGGTTGGCAAGTAGCAGAAACGCCCAAGCCTGAGCTTAGGGGAAAAGCAAGCCCGAAGGAGAGACCTTGGGATCTTAGGTACTAGTAGGTAGCCTACGTAGCCGTGAGTGCTCCCCAGACTAGGGGCTACGGGTAAAGGGGCTCGCACAGTAGCACCAGTGGTCACGCAAGCAGCGCCCACCCATGGCCTACTCTAAGCACCACCTTACCTCTCTACCTGGCTACCACCAAAACAAAAGGAGCTGAACTGCTGAAGCTGAGTGATGGACTGGACTCCCTCTGCCCCTAAGCCTAAAGCAGCGACCACTGGGCCCAGCGCTGCCCACGGCCACTATTTAGGGCGCTGTGCTTCCGCCTTCCACCGCGCCCAACCCCGCCAGTTTCGAAAATTTATTTTCTCCTCTCCATCCTTCTCTCTTCCCTAGACACGACAGCATCAGCTACAGCTACCCTACCAATCAATACCTTCAGCTCCTTGGGGGGTTACTCTTTTTTATCATGTCGCGCAAGGACGATACCAAGGCCCATGATGGCCAGGTCACTGTCAATGTTGATGACTTCACCAGAACCCGTGAAAGTGTAAGTTAATCGCCCTGTGTTTCTTCAGAAACGGTTTTGCGAAGATGCAGCTGCACCCCCGAAAACTGGTGGTGCTTTCGGCATACCACGGCCGCCCAGCCCCAGCACATGCCCACCCCAACCGACGCGTCAGTAAACAAACCACTCGCACACACTCCCTATCTACCTACCTACTTACCTATAAAATTACCTATGCACTGAGCGCAGGGTAAAACCTACTTGTCAATTTGCCCCTTGACTTGCTTAAACTGATTTTTAATCCTCATTATGTTGTTCCATTTCCGTTGCTTTGGCCTATTCTTTCATGTTCGGCAATAGCTTGGTGCGGCTGTCCCGGCCTTCCGCCAGGCTCCCCTATCCTCATCCTCCCGGGCTCTAGCGCGTACCTAAGCCTTGTCCACATACCATGTTACTGTCGCCTCAAGAGTTTACCCATCCTTGTAACGACAGCTCCACTAATATTTTTTCTCAGGTTCTTGTCAGCTTGTCTAATCTGCAGGCGGCGGTCTCGGATTTGACTCGCGCCTATATCAACCATACCAACACTGTGTTGAACCCTGGTCTCTCTACCCTTGACTTGGGCCACGCCAGCAACATCACTGCTGCGCTTTTGGAGAATGGATTGCTGGGCGCCCGCTCAACCAGCCCTGGCGCCAAGTCCGAGGTTGGCGAGAAGAAGAAGCGCAAGCGCGCTCCTCCTGACCCGAACGCACCCAAGCGTGCCCTGACCCCTTACTTCCTGTACATGCAACATAACCGCCCCATCATTGCGCAGGAATTGGGCCCCAGCGCTAGGCCCAAGGATGTCTCCGACGAGGGCACTCGTCGCTGGGCTGAGATGCCCGAGGCGCAGAAAGAGGTATGCCTATGATCCCTCACGGAATGATTTGGCAATGCCTACTGACATCATCGGGCAGGTCTGGAAGAAGCTTTATGCTGATAACCTGGCCGTCTACAAGGAAAAGGTCAAGGCCTACAAGGCTGGTAAGCCTTGGCCTGAGGATGACAACACCAAGGCGGCCAGCCAGCTCCAGCTGGACATTGCTGGCGCATCTGCCTCGGGTGGCGAAGAGTCCGAGGAGGAGCAGGAGGAAGAAGCGGACGAGGACGAGGAGACCGAAGAGTCCTCTCCGGAGCCGGTCAAGGAGCCCACTCCGCCTCGTGCCAACAAGCGCCGTCGCAGCGAGGTGAAGACTCCATTGAAGAAGAATGAATCCCCGGAGAAGAAGAAACGCACCTCTGCGCGCAAGGGCAATGAAAAGGACAAGGAGGAGGAGCCACCCGCTTCGACTCGCAAGGCTGCTGGCGCCGACGCCAACGCCAAGCGCACCAAGAAGAAGCGCAAGAGCGAGGTTGGCGGTGATGAGTAAATGAGGAACAGATCTTGATTGTTCATAGCTGTCGTGCGCGTCTACGGTGCTTGAATGGATATACAGTTTGGTTTTGTGCATCTACTGGTTGATAGTTTGTTACCAAGTCTCTTGAATTCTAAAAGTTCAACAACTGTGTTTCTATTCAGGAAGGTTGGGCTGAGTTATTCTATGCTTTCAGTCCCCAGCCGAATGCTTGTAGAGGGATTCTCGGGCCCAATAGCACAGAGTCCAGCCCCATCATACACAAGTCTGATGATCAAGAGGAGAATATGAGAAAGAGGGCGAAAAGGGTGAGTTAGCCAGGTTACAGGACTGGTAGGTCTGGGAAGACAGCTAAGAAAAGCATGCAGGGGTCACTACGATCTGTTGATCATTGGTGTAAATATAAAGCCCTCCGTTCGTCTGAGGCAAGGAGAATTGGATGTTAGTAACAAAATGACGGCCAACTGCCATAGGCTGAACAGCCCTTATCGCAGTCTTATCTCTATCCCCACTCAGCACTCTCATTCTCGGGCAGTCTCCCCTCCCTTTGACTGTCTGGAGTCTGGAGTCTGGTCTGGACTGGACCGGCGGAAATGAATGCTTTTAAATCCCATCAAGTGCCCCTCTTTCTTGTCTGCTTTTGTTTCTCTATGTTTTGCCAATGTTCAGACATTGTTCAATTATATCTCCCTACTCTATAGTGATACATACCCCTTCCTCATCGCCTGCACTTGGCTGCGGCGGTTGTGATTCGCAGGCCAAGACATCTCCTACTACTCCGTAACCCCGCCCGACTGGCTACTGCGCTGTTACCATGCACCTAATCCCCAAGGAGGTACGTGACAGGGACTTGCTACTTACGGAATACATCCACAATAGAGTCAGCACTAACAATTTTGCACTCGCAGCTGGACAAGCTCGTCATCTCGCAATTGGGATTTCTCGCCCAGCGTCGTCTTGCACGCGGTGTGCGACTCAATCATGCAGAGGCAACGGTATGTATTCCCTCTATATTCTCATTGCGCGATATACTTGGTTAGGTTTATAAGACTAACCGCGGATCAGGCTCTTATTTCATCGAATCTTCAAGAGGTATATTTCCCAATCGAAGCTGGATGCTTGAGATCATCGTGCTTACTCGCAGCAGCTGATTCGCGATGGCCACTACTCGGTGGCCGATCTCATGTCCATCGGGAAAACCATGCTCGGCCGTCGCCATGTCCTTCCCTCCGTCGTACATACTCTCGTCGAGCTCCAAGTCGAAGGAACCTTCCCCACCGGCACATACCTCGTGACGGTCCACCATCCCATCAGCAGCGATGACGGCGATCTGGAGAAAGCGTTGTATGGCAGCTTCCTTCCCATTCCACCGGCGGATACGTTCCCAGATCCGAACCCGGACGATTACCTCCCCGAGAAGATGCCAGGCGCTGTCCTGCCAGTGAAGAACGAACGGATTACTCTGAACGACGGCCGCAAGCGCATCAGGCTGAAGGTGATGAGCAAGGGCGATCGCCCAATCCAGGTTCGTTCGGTGCCTTTCAGACACAGGCGCACAGGGGTTTCTAAACTATGAATAGGTCGGCTCTCACTACCATTTCATCGAGACCAACCCTCAGCTTCATTTTGACCGTCTGCGGGCCTACGGATACCGACTCGATATCCCCGCCGGGACTTCGGTACGGTTCGAACCCGGCGACACCAAGACGGTCACGCTGGTCGAGATCGCAGGCAATCGCATTATCAAGGGTGGCAACTTCATTGCGTCGGGAAAGGTTGATATCAGTCGAGCCGAGGAGATCATGCAGCGCTTGCAGGTCGAGGGTTTCGCTCACGTCCCTGAACCCGCTCCGACGGCGGACAGCGCGCTGATCGCGCCTTTCACGATGGACCGAGAAGCTTATGCGCGGATGTTTGGACCCACCACCGGGGACCTGGTCAGACTGGGGTTGACCAACCTTTGGGTTCGGGTTGAAAAGGACTGTACGGTTTACGGGGATGAGTGTACGTTCGGCGGCGGCAAGACTCTTCGCGAGGGCATGGGCCAGTCCTCGGAGAGGTCGGAAGCCGAGTGTCTGGACACCGTTATTACGAATGCGCTGATCATTGACTGGAGCGGAATCTACAAGGCGGACATTGGCATCAAGAATGGGCTGATCTCTGCTATCGGCAAGGCTGGCAACCCGGATATGATGGACGGAGTGCATCCGGACATGATTGTGGGCTCATCTACAGATGTCATTGCTGGAGAAAACAAGATTGTGACGGCCGGCGGGTTCGATACCCATATTCACTTTATCTGCCCTCAGCAGGTGGACGAAGCGCTTGCTTCTGGTATCACCACGTTTTTGGGCGGAGGGACCGGTCCGTCGACAGGCACGAACGCGACCACCTGCACGCCAGGACCTACGCACATGCGCCAGATGATCCAGGCGTGCGACAGTCTCCCGATCAACGTCGGTATCACCGGCAAGGGTAATGACTGCGGTGGCAAGAGTATCGAGGAGCAGATTCGTGCAGGAGCGGCCGGCTTGAAGTTGCACGAAGACTGGGGGTCAACCCCTGCTGCGATCGACACCTGCCTGGACATGTGCGACAAATTCGACGTTCAATGCATGATCCACACTGACACTCTGAATGAATCCGGCTTCGTGGAGCAGACCGTCAAATCTTTTAAGAACCGCACCATCCACACCTACCACACGGAGGGAGCCGGTGGCGGCCACGCACCCGATATCATCTCCGTCGTGGAGCACCCCAACGTGTTGCCTAGTAGCACCAACCCAACGCGCCCCTTTACCATGAACACCCTGGACGAACACCTGGACATGCTGATGGTCTGCCACCATCTGTCTAAGAACATCCCCGAGGACGTTGCCTTCGCCGAGTCCCGCATCCGCGCCGAGACCATCGCCGCCGAGGACGTCCTCCACGACCTTGGCGCCATCAGCATGATGTCCTCGGACTCGCAGGCCATGGGCCGCTGCGGCGAGGTGATCCTGCGCACCTGGAACACCGCCCACAAGAACAAGGCGCAGCGCGGGCCCCTCAAGGAGGACGAGGGCACCGGCGCGGACAACTTCCGCGTCAAACGGTACATCAGCAAGTACACCATCAACCCGGCCATCGCGCAGGGCATGTCGCACCTGATCGGAAGCGTCGAGGTCGGCAAGCTCGCCGACCTGGTCATCTGGCACCCTAGCACCTTCGGCACCAAGCCCGCCCAGATCCTGAAAAGCGGCATGATCGTCGCCTCGCAGATGGTATGTTTCTCCTAGCGCCCCCTAACCACCTACCAAATCTTGCATCGTCGTACTAACGAGTCGAGCACAGGGCGACCCCAACGGCTCCATCCCGACCATCGAGCCGGTTATCATGCGACGGCAGTTCGGCGTAAGCTCCCTCCTTTTCTTCATTCCATCAAGTCAAACCATTACTAACAAGCCCAGGCCTTCGTCCCAAGCACATCCATCATGTGGGTCTCGCAGGCCTCCATCGACGACGGCATCGTCCAGTCCTACGGCCTCAAGAAACGCATCGAGGCCGTCAGGAACTGCCGCAATGTCGGCAAGAAGGACATGAAGTTTAATGATGTCATGCCTAAGATGCGGGTTGATCCGGAGAGTTACGTCGTCGAGGCGGACGGGGTCCTCTGCGAGGCGGAGCCGGCGGACGCGTTGCCCTTGACGCAGGATTACTTCGTTTACTAGGTGCATGCACTTGCGCTTGCGCTTGCACTTGCACTTGCAGTTGGGTTGGGTTGAATTGTTGTTTATATACCACCGTTTACTTTGTTAGCATCAGCGTATGAGTGATACCTATACATAATGATTCACGCAGTATATAGTCACATGTTTCTTATCAACTATCAAACTGCCATGTTGTATATATCGTCTTAAATGACTACAGTTCGGTTTCCTCCATGCTGTGATTATCCCCCGCCGAAACAAGCCCCATACAAGCCCATGCGTCGTAGCTATCCGCCCGCGCAGCAAGATATGCCGCGCGTCGCGCACGAGACGAGCTGGATCTGTCCAACGTCCGGGGCTGTCCCGGCGCTCCCTCCGAGGAGGGCGGTATATCGACGTCGCCGGGGCCATCCTGCTGGAGAGGGCCGAGCGTTTGATCCTGCGAGGCAAATGCGGACGAGGAGATGGAGAGTGTGTTCGTTACTTGGCTGTTGGGCATATGATTATCGTTATCATCTTCGTTGTCATCATCGTCATTTAGGTTGTGATTGTGATCCGACTGCAAATTGTCTTGCGTCGGTGTGCGTGTTTCATCCCCTGTTTCAGAGCTTTCCCCTGGGTGTAAGTGGAATCCATCTTCTTCCGCTGTGGGCCAGGAGGACGGAAGGGCGCCCAGGTCTATCTCCGGATGGCGGGGTCCTTCTGCATGGAGGAAGTGCCAGGCGCGACGGATCTCATTGCGTTTCGCTTTTGCTGCTTCCGGGCTAGATTTGGGGATTGGGAGGGGCTGGGGCGAGGTTTTCTTTGGGATGAGGTTTATGGTGGCGTCAGGGACGGTTTCAAGGGAGGTGATGGGAGACGTTCGGCTAGTATGTGGCTGGACTTGAGGCTCGCTAGTATTAGGCATGACAGTAGGACTGCGGTCGATGCTGGCGTCCATGCTGATGGATTGCTGTGTTGACTGCGTTGAGCGATCATCATCGTAGCGGACTCTTTTCCTAGACCGCAATTCCTCGTCGTTGGCGATAGTGTCGCGCATGTACTGGTCGTGGACGAATTCGTGTCCAGAACACAAGTGACCGAACAAGCTGCGCATGGATACGTCTTCGTTCCATTCCAGTGCGTCAACGGTGCAGGGGTAGACGTCCCTGGGTTTGAAAGCGGAAACCAGTTCGCATAATTCTTCGTAGGAGGAATGGCGCGAGTATGGAAAATACTAGATCTGTCAGCTGAAGACTTCTAGATTTCGAGAAAAAGATACGTACTATAGTCTTCGGCAGCCGATTCCCGGACGTATCTCGTAGCGCTGATCCTTTCACATCGTCCGACCACATCTCCTTGTCGGATCGACCACGACCAAGGATTTGCACGAGCTCCTGCAGTGGTATGTCGGAAACATCCTTCATGCCATAACTGTCCAGAGAAAGCGCTTTGTTCTTTGACCTGAAAGCTTCGGTCAAGGCCTTTCTCGTCTGTGAGAGCGTTTCAGGGTCGCCGATCTGCTCCAGACACAGACTCTCCAGTTGCTCCAGCGACGACTGATCTGGAAGCTCAAGCACATGGGTCTGATAAAGATCGCCACCTCCCCCTCCTGCTCCGATCTCAGGCACTCTTGTGCCATCCTCCATTCGTCCGACAATCGGCATGATGTAGACGGTCCGCTTTGAGCGAACCGCAGAGCAGTGTACTCCAGGCTCGCAGCTATGGACACGAGAGCTCTCGTCTTCGCTCAGACAACCGGGTACAAATCGGTTACCAAGCTCGAAACCGCAAAGAGCAGGTGCCTCGCTGATAGCTCTTCGCGAGTTCGAAATAAGTGACCTATAAAGGCCAATCTGGTATCGATCAACGTGGACCTTCCAAGTTCAGTACAATGCATTTACAGATGTATGTGCGTCACACACCTTGGTGTTCAGAAGAGCGGAAAGGGCTATCCAGACGTCTTCATAACCAAACGTCCATGCTCGAAAGTAGAAGATGGTCCCCTTTGGGTACGCTTCGACCTTCTGTAGAAGCTCTCTCAGCCCTTCCGCTTTCGACGGAAAGCTCCGACAAACACGATTAACGCGAGCAAACGTGGTGTCGAGATACATCTTGTCCAGCTTCTTGCTTCCTAGGGTGTACGGAATGAGGACCGGATGCCGGACAAGGCTGTCGACCCACCAACGCTCAGCTATTGTCTCTATCAGTATGGAACAGCAAAGAAAATGCAAAAGCACGTACCGCGAATATCACCGGTGTAGAGCACCGCCTTGCCGTCACCTTCGATCAGGAACATCACTGCACCAGCACAGTGGTTCGCGTCGAGGAGGGTGACTCTGATCGACAGTAACGGTGTCAACTCAATTTGGGTTGGCGTATCCAAGGGAATTGGCCGCTGTGCATGTGAGTTGACGGTAAATTTGGAGTAAGAAGTGAAGAGCTCTCACCAGAAGCTTGGTCAAATGCTTGTAGTGCAGTCTGCGGGACTCCAGTATCCCCTTGCTGAAGTTCATCCGGTGGGGATACTTTTCAATGCGCAAGAGCAATTCTCGAGTCGCAGCAGAGCAGTAGATAAAAGGAGCCCGGAAGGACTCGAGGCCCTGTAGATGATCACTGTGCACATGGCTGAGAAAACATGCCAGTGGAGGCGGGCGTTCGGGATTCTTTCGAAAGTAGTCGACTACATTATATTCAGCTCAGTATACTGAAGACAATGACAGAGATAATAATCTCGGCTTACTCTGTATGTAAGGAAACTCTGTAGAGCCGTTAGATAACCTGCTATAGCTTTTTCTGGGCGGTGGCCATACCTTGTACTATCCCGTCGAAGGTCGACATCTGGTGTTGACGAGCGCTATTGTTCTCGTACTCGTGAGAAACATGACCAAAAACTAAGTCTGCGACTAATCCTGCAATGATACCAAGGGCTGTCCGAGAGAGAACAAATGGTCGTGAAGGATGAAATAGACGGCATGATTCCTTCTTGAAAAGGGTATTATCACGTGACTTTATCATCCACAAAAGTCCCTATTAGCAGTTGAGTAGAGTACACTTCTTGTTGTCAGAGATGTTTGCCTTCAATCTTTATCATATCCGCTCAATCTAGACTCTTCTACCTAATTTAGACAACTGGGAATATGCACAGCCAGGAAGGCTCGTCTTCTTACGGTAAAGAACATCAGATCGGATGCCAATCGGCTTGTCAACGCCGGTTTGTGCAACACCAGCATCAGCATCAGCACCAGCTCCATCCTACATTGATCATCTTTCTAACAATGCTGTATTGATACCTGGAACATCTGCCAACCAGGACCCTACATGGGTAGCGGCAGGAGGCCCAAAGGAATAAGTCCGACCATCGACCAAGTGGCCATGCAGATACAACATGGTGAGGCGAGTGGACAATAGACCCGCTCGCCAACACAGTCAAGCCCAGGAAAAGAGAACCACAGCTCCATTCTCAGGGTGATTGGGGATAGAATCATCTAACAAGACGAGACTGGTCCTTTTTTATGGTTTCTGCGCCCTCACTAGACGGATCCATCAAGGTTTGCAGCAATAATGACGCCGGTTTATGACGGAAACAAGTGCCCTCGTTGGCCCACAGCGTTGTTCTCCTCTCCTCCGAACTCCACGCAGGTTTCCCTTTTCCTTCTGATGCGCTGGTCAATTGCATGCGTGTCAGCAGACTAATAGTCGTATCATCATAATTGTTACTATTTGTTGTCATCGTCGCTGAGAAAAAATAATCGCCGACAACAAATATAAAAAAGTTTGCTCTCTTCCTCCCCTTCACCCTTCTCTCTTACTCTTGTTTCAAACTCTCTTCTTCGGATCCATTCCATTCCCCTGATCGGCTAGGACAATAAAAGGCACTCCTGAGCTGATCTATACTCTGGATTCACGATGTATTCCTCCTGTTAGAAAGCCGGCTGATCTAGACTCGAGGCCTGGACCGTACTTGAAGCCAAGGCTTCTCTACGGGCTAAGGATCCTTTTCCAGTATCATCAAGAGTTCTCCCTTTTGAGTACTCGAGTTGATATTTCAGTGAGAGAGGATACACGACGGAAAAGTCAAAGGAAAGAGCGATACACTTGTGGTCTTACACCATTATCAGCGTCATCGTCACCGTCGTCATTATCCGTTGTTGAGATTTGTTACGATAACGACCGCAAATAGTATCAAACTCCACACTCGACCCGAGGGACAGTCTATATCAGCTCTATCTTATTATCGACTATTGTTTACAAACTTCCCCTTTTTTCTTTGTCTCTTTTTTACCAACTTCACGCCTAAATCGCCATCATTTGGAGTTCTCCTGTACGCACTGCGTATCCCCTCGGCGCATTCCCCTATGCATACTACCTAACATCCGTGCATATTGCTCCCCTTGCTGATCTCTTCTCCTTGCAACTTGCAATAATTTGTGAAGCGTGACTTGAGAAACATTTTCAGCTCATTCACTGTCCTTTACAATCCACCTTCCAACGCCTCCGACTCCTTACTCATTTGCCTGTCCATCTTGTTTATATCTGAAACTGTTGTTATCAGATCTGGGATTGCCTCCTTTCTCCTCATCTGGTCGCTCACCGCTCCTCTTTCTCCGCACTGTGTAGTTGGGGGTTTCTCATTTCGTCAACCTGACGGACTATCTTACCCCAGAGTCTTAACTACCTCAACATCAAACCACTGCAGCCTCGTCGACCATGCATAAACCTTCCCTAGCTCAAATTGTGCACAGCGCAATTTTTCCACGCCCCCGTACTAGTGATCCGGCTACTTTCTCAGCTCACATCACTCGCAATCTTGTCCCAGAGGTTCGGATAGAGACGTCGACTTTCTATGGATCACTGGACAGCATCGAAGCCCAATATCCGGGCCTTGACTATTCCTATGGCCCCCACCGCATGAGATTGAGCCGATTCCCATGGCATCGAAAGCTATTCAAGGTCTTTGACGAACTTGGTCTAACGGAAGCCGAAATCTCATCGCTCTGTAGATGGGAGGGAACGAAATCTGCGCGGGAACGTTACGAGAAGGAAGAGGGCATCAAGGTGCGAGACACAACTGCCGAAGCCATCCGACCGGCAACGCCGTCCCCGCGACCATCTGTTGAGATCCATTTCAACGGCAACTCAGAAACGGCCAAGGAACCTGAGGTGAAGATAGACGAACCGTTCGAGGACGTCATCAACACTGGCCACACCGTTGGCAACCGTGGAGTTGACCGTTTGCCGCAAGTACACAAGGTGGAAGAGGACTCCAGCGACGAGGAGATGGAAAGCTGTGGGGTGGAATTGAACCATCGTCTGCTGGCGGCTACTGCAGCCCGAGAGCAAGGTGCCAATGTCCCACTCGATGAGGACTGGGAGCAGTGGTTGAAGGAGGCCGGGGAACGCGGAAGTTACGCAGACCTGATCAATGCCATCAGAACGGGCCAGCCGTTGAACTTTTTGTCCCACATGGCTACTCCATTGGCCCAGTTGCGTCGGACAGGTATCGCACAAGTCCCGCCATCGTTCCCAGAACGTTTCATGACTCCGGCGCCTCCCAGGGTGCTTTCTTCAAACATTGGCATTCAGCGCCCTCCCAACCCTCCTCCAGGAACTGCACGATAAGAAAAGGCAGCTCACTGGTCTTTGCTTTGTTCTTTCCTCATTTGCGTTACAGATATTGCTAGCGGGCTGGTTTCAGTTTTTGTGGTGCATTTACGGCGCTTTCGCAGTTGTGTCTCTCGTCTCTTTATCACCTTCGGGCGTTTACTAATAGTCCCCTTTTTCTGCTGTTGATAGATCGTTCTGCTTTTCTTCGTAATCGTCTCCAATGCTCTTCCAATACCCTCAAGTCTTTGTCCATTTGGGATTTTTTTTGTTTCAGCGTCGCAAAACTACGGACTCTTTTCTAATTCGATAACGGTCTGAGATATTTTCAGTTTAATTTGAGCCGGACACTGGACAGCAAATGCGGTAGAATGTTAAATCCAGAATTGATAATATGGTTGAAGGCAATCGCTTTTTCTTTTCAACGGTTTAAAAAGCGCTGGTCGGGCAATGGGGCGCTTATCAAAGATTCCATGTTGGTTATCCTTGAGCCTGCTTGGAGGTACCTTATGCTATCTCCGTGATTAAGCTCCCCGCAGCCTTCAAACTGCGCCATCATTCCTAAAGCCATGGCACCCTGAACACTTTCAAGGACTATAGCCATGGAATAGGATCTATGATACTGGCATAAAAAAAGAGAGCTGTGATGATGCTTCCAGCTACCTACTGGTCTTCAATTCAATGACTTTGACAATTGCAGTCCCGCACCCTGTTCTTCATAGCTTCAACTCATCATGATCAGGGCCATATTCTACAGCAAATTTGACACCCAAGAGGGTAATAATACAACCCATCAATCTCATAACCAAAGATCTAAGAAAGACTGACCGTTCCAGGCCCCAAGGTTGTCCATCAAGTCCCCGACGGAGCCATCGTACCCTCTGCGACCGCCCCTCGCAACCTCTCTTCCTGACCTTCTCCAACATCTCCTTCTTCGTGATCCCCCGGCAAGAGCTCTGCGGCAATCTGATTCAGGTGTGCACAAATGGGTACCGGATATTGGGCTATCCAATCTGCATGAAATCGCTCCGGTACGACCGCAATGAGTTCATATTCAACTTCTGCCTGGTGCTGGCCGAGGAGGAGGACTTTAGCTCGTACAAAAGCGTGGTGCAGAAGCTTGCGGATCTGATGCATGGGCTGGAAGAGCAGAATGGATTCTTGTCTAGGGATCATTCGAAAAGTGGAGAAGGGAAGGTATACAGTCTGTGCGAGACATTGATGGAGGATTTGAATAACTATTGCGAGTGCATGATTCCAATAGGTACATTGCGTTTCTCGCGAGGATGAGGGGGCACTGATCGCTGACGATCCATGCAGATGAATTGAACACGCTGAATATCAAGCTGTTCCCTGTATACCCTGCTCCTCCACAGGTGCGAGCTTGGCAGGTCCCTCTTTTCACGGTCCGATACCAGGCGTTTATGGATGAGAATTGGGATCTGACCATGCAACGAGTACGCCTTCAACCAGCGACGACATCTGGACTGAAGCTAATACAGGATAGATTGTGCCTCATATAAATGGCGTCAACAGCATCCGCATCATATCCATCCTCGCAGATACTGACTTCTCCCTCACCTGCCGCGCGATCCGCCATCTCCTCTACTACGGCTGTCTATTCCTGCTAGACATCTTCTCCTTCTCGGCAATCTACGCGCCTACCGCCCAGTTCAGCTCCACCATCGCCTCCGACGAAGAAATGCAGCGCGAATGCGCCCGCTACGTCAACACACTCTTCGCCCCGTCCCTAACCGGCCACGGGAGCACCAATGCCGCCGCACCACCGTCCGCCTCGACCTCCGCCCTCTCACCCGCCGCCCACGGCCTCACAAACGCCCACGTTTCCGGCATCCCAGGCAACCTCGTCGGCCTTTCCAAGTACGACCCGGACTCCGTGTGGCCCCGGTAGCCGACTACCGCGACCGCCGAAGCACAAGTCGAACACCCAGTCCGAGCTCGAGCTACCGCTCCAGCACCACAACGCCCTCGATCTCAACCATCCTTCCAGACGACCACGACCCCACGCAACCCCACCTCCCCCGGAAATGGTCGATGGCGTGGGCATCGTCGAGCTCTACGCAAGCCTCAAGCAAGGACAGAGCGTGCGGCAATGGTACGCCCAGAACAGCCGCAAGCTAGCCCACATCGACATTCGCCGCTTCATCACGTTCGGTATCATCAAGGGATTCCTATACCGCGTCCACAAGTACGCCTACGCGACGGGGCAACCCGCCCCGCAGCTGAAGTCCTCCCATCATTACCATAGCTCTCAATCGCAGCCGCCATCGGGACCCTCGTCCCGAGGACCGGGCACGGGAACGAATAGTCCCTATGCGTCGAGTGTGGGTGATGACGCGGCACCGATTGCCCAGCAACAGCATCATCACCAGCACTCTGGCCAGCGCGGGGATGACGGAAGGGAGCATGCAACCTCGGTGCATAGCGGGAGTCGCTCCGCAGTCGTCTTTGACGATGAGGACGAGGAGGAGCTCGTGGATAACAAGACGTTATCCAAATATCTGGACGGCATGCATTGTTTTGATCAGATTTGTACTGAGCTGGAGATCAGTGAGAAGGACCTAACGGCGGCGCTGAAGAGATACCCCGGGGAGGTCTTGATTATACACCGATGACGTTCTATATGCTACGAGAATAATTGATACCCATTTACGATGATCTAAACGCTACAGCGCTTGAGAGGAGACGCAGATGTAGATTATTCCACCAGGGAAATAAATTTCATTAGTCATTCGTCTGGCCGCCAGCGAAAAGCCCAAACCAAATCACAACCGCCGGTGCGTTGCCAAGTCCCCACAGGGGACAGCGACACTTGGCAGTCGCCGACATTGGCGAGGGTGGCTGCGTCCTTGACGCAGGAGATCGTAAACCAGCGCTATCAAGCGCGAAAAAAGGAAACCAGTACTCATTCCCAATCCCCTCCCAACGCCGCCATTGTACAGGGGTATGTGGTAATACACAAAAAAAGAAAAGAAAAAAGAGAAAAACGACCGACCACAGCAAGGACCGAGCACAGGAGTGCAGGTCTGCCGGCACCATTTCGGTAAAATCGGCCGGCAGACCTACTCCTGCTCCTCGTCCCAGCCCTCGAGCTCGGCCTTCTCGTATTCGGCCATGACGGCCGGGTCGAAGATGGTCTCGCCCTTGCCGGGGACCGAGGTTTTCGAGTCCTTGAAGATGGGCCCGATGCACTCCTCCCAGCGCTTGCGCCGGTCCATGAGGGTCCGAGCCACGTCGCCAATGGCAGGCCGGCTCACACCTGCACCACTGGCGACGTGGCTGCCACCGCCGGCTCCACCAGGCCGGTGCTTAGCCTGGGAGCCCTTCTTGCTCTTACCCAGAGTGCGGGTGCGCTTGAGGTAAGCCTGCTGAACCTGGGAGTCGAGGTCGTCGTGGATGGTGGTATATTCCTGGTGTGCCATGCGTTCACGAGCGATGTCTAGGAGCCGCGCCTTGCGGGCATTGTTGGCAATCATTTGCTTTTTGAGTTCGCTCTGGAGCAGACGCAAACGCTGTGCAATATCGTCGTCGTAATGAGCATCGTAATCCGGGTTGTCATCCTCGCCGAGAAAGCCAATGTGGCGGAGCTCCGCTTTGAGACGCTCGTCAAGCTGAGCATGGTCGAGCTTGGCTGCGGGGACCTTGAAGCCGCTGGGAGAAGCATCGGGGAAGGAAGTCGCAGACAGGAGTGGCTTGCTGTCGGACTCACCAGCTGGCTGATCGATATCCATGGAATCTCCATTAAAGAAGTTACTGGTGGAAGCCTCTCCATTGGCAGCGCCAGTTGCGGAGTTTTCGTCGGGATCTGTACGGTGTTCATAGCGAAGAAGGGAATAGAGGCGGCTGACCAAGGGTCCGACAGAGACCTTGTCAGTTTCAACAGTCTCGTCAGTGACCTGATCGATGCTGCCGCGTCCCTGGTTCAGAGGAAGACGCTCGCGATCGCCGTTGGCTTGATCGACGTTCATCAGTCCATCCTCTTCGGCCCAAATCTCGGTGTAGTGCTTCTTGCCGCGAGGAGGCATGATAAAAGGAGTAGTGCGATCACCCTGGTTGATTGTTAGCTAACGTGAAACTGCTTTTTTGGGATGCCAATGAAACTAACCTTTTCTTTCAAGAACGCAATGTCCTCCTCGGTCAGGGGACGCACGTAAGGTTCGATGTAAGAGAGAAAAGTGTTGGCGCTGACTTGATTGGTAGGTTTGGCGTTGCTGAAATCCTTGTCTGGAGGAACGCCAGCCATCATGTGGCTCAGATCACTCTTTGGGAAACGGTTGACGCAATAGATCTCCTTCTTCTCCTCATCTGCCATATCAGGAGTGACTTCACGAATGTGGTAGATGGTAGGATCATCGAATTTGAGCGGGTTCGGACCAAACACCTGAACTTGAGGAATGGCCGGAGCGGGTTCAGGCTGGTGCTCATCGCTGTCGTCCTCGGAGGGAGTCTCGGCAGTAGCGGAACCTTCGCCAGCAGTAGCAGTGTGTTTGGGAGATGTCAGAGACGAGGGAGAAGTGGGGGAGGCGACTTCAGAAGCCATATTCTTCGACTTCTTGGAGGCTGGGGAAGCGGCTAGGTTCGGCTCGTTAGCTGGATCCATGTTTGAAGCTGAAGTCCAAGACAGGATGAAAGGTACAGAGATGGAGAAGGAGGGGGAGTTGGAGGAGTCTGTGTTGTTATGAAAGGGAAAGTCCAGTGAGAGAGGTTGGCAGGGACGTGTCATCGTGTGAATGTCACAACAAAAAGGCATAACAAAACGTACCTCCTTCGACCTTTGTCTCGGCGCCGTCCTGACGGGCGATGTCATGAGCACCATGTGCCAACGGACGGTCCTCCTTTGTGCTTCCTCCACGCTCCTTACGCTTCTTCAGTTTTCCTCCCTTAGAGGCTCTGATAGGTTCCTCTTCCTCATCGTCGACATCGCGCTTCACCTTGGATGCAGTCTCGCGGTCGTATGTTTCCTGGTCTTCAACAACCTCTTTGCGCTTCTGCGAGAGCTCTCTAATACCGGCATCGCAGGCATCAACACGAGCCTCTGCTAGCTGACTGAGAGTCTTGAGATGTTCCATCAACGACTCGAGAGACTTAGAATCAGGAATCGGCCCAACCCCGCTCATACGATCGAGGATTTCGCCATACTGGATAGTGCCCGGAATGAGCAGCTTCGAAACGTCAACATCGAGGTAACTGGCCTGCGCGGATGTTGCACCAGCACTGAAGCTCGAATTGGGGGTGGTGTTGCGGCTCCGCGAGGGACGGACTTCGCGGCCTTTTCCTTTGCCTTTGTTGGCACCTGGCATTTTGAGACAGTTAAGGTACGTGATGTTAAGGAAGGATTCAGATGAGAGATTGAGAGGATAAGAGTGATGGTGTGAGAGAAGGGATTCAGAGGCACAACTCGTCACTGAAGTGGTATTATCTTGCCCGAAGACCAAGGGGTCCAGAGCTTGATAAATACTTGATGACTACCTGCCCTCTAGAGCATACTAGATGCAAGATTTGCAGAGAAAGCGGTTGAGGAGAGAGTGAGTGGTGTTGGTGGGATGTTTACAAGAGCTGATCGTTATCGGAGTGTTGATAGAGACGGATGCACGTGATATTGATCACGTGGAGATACGGGCTTTAGGGTGATAAGAGTCACCGGCCAAGCAATTCACAGTTTCTACTACGTCTCAGGGGTACAGATATTCATGTTACGGACTTGATTATCCTTCCTTTGTAGCTGAGAGTGATAGGACATGATCTACGGACTCGAGTCTTGTCTTGAAGTGGAGATGTGGACTGATCCATCATCTATCAACAGTGCTCCGTACTGTATCCTTCCTTGCAGGAGCTCCACTTGTCGATCAGCGTGGGATGAGCACAGACAGCTTGCCTATGAACAGACCGGATGACGGATATGACTGAAGATTCTGCTGATGATACCGTGGCAGACCGTATCATCTGCAGGCACAGGCATACTGTGAACCCCTCTGTTCAGATTCCTCCCATTTTATTCAAAATCGGTTTCTCAATGTGTGGCCAGTCCCCGCAAACGTCATTAGAGTCTGACCGCAAGCGGCATTTCTATCTTTGATCAAGGAGCTGAATCAGAATTTGCACGCTGACAACAGGGAAGAAGAAAAAGGGGAAAAAGAACAGGCCAAAAGGACAAGATCAGTAGGATGGGACTTGTCCTCCTCCGGTACCTGAGGAGAAGACCTTATTGGGATGATCGTCGATTTCGGGTACTATATTATTTATCTATCACCTGCAACTATTGAGAACAACCTTTCTGGCCTTTTTCCTCCTCCCTTTAGATACATCTCTGTATTCTGCTCTTGCATTTTCCTGATTGAAAAAGCTATGCATATGCGTTACAACCTCTTGGCATTTTATTAATCGTGCGAAATGTTGTCTTCTACTCGATCTTGACCTTTTATATTCTTCGACGCCCATTCATTGACGCTGAGTGGCAGCGGTGTGGTATACCGCAAGCATGTGTATGACCCCTCATCCTCATCCTCATCTTCATCTTCAGATAGTGCACTGTGCCTCTTTTCCTTTGCAATATTCATCTATACCTCTGGTATAGCCATGCACTTTGGACAGTGGCTTTCTGTTGGAAACTGGGCTGACCATGTCTGACCATCATAGCCGCCCAATCGCTAGCCACGGCTCCGATGTTTTTCGAAGGATCTGGGAGAGCAACGAACGCAACTCGAGCAATCAATGTATGTTTCACCAGTGGTACAGGTCAATCATGAATCAATGTCAGCAAATGGGTTGCCCGCTTACATTGCGGCTACCAACAGGAAACCGATAGCCTCCATGTAGTGCTTGACGGGACAATCCAGACGCTATCTACTCAAAATGCACCAGACAAGGGTCCAGTAAGAGGACTACTCTTTGTCCCTAGCCTTAATCCTCAGGATCCATGCAACAATGCCACAGCGTCGCTTGTGCCGTCCAACTCGACTCGCCATAGCCATGTCGCTCCGTTGAACTTCCCCAACATCGGCTTAGCGCCGTGGGTATCTATCGATTGTACCCAGTCATTTCTTAATGCGTCGCAACAACAAGGCGTGGAAGCGCTGATCTTCTTTCTACCTTCTACAAACGACTCGAAGCCGCCTGCGCCGGAGGATTCTATCTGGAATCTGGGTGATGATGGAGCATGGAAAAGTCGGAACAACTATCCAGTCTATGCAATCCCCGGTCCTGCTGGAGAGACACTCATGCAGCAGCTGTCGTGGTACTCTGATAATGCGACGTTGGTCGGATTTGATACGGATAGCAATCTAAATGAGTCTTCTGCCCTGGCTCAGGATCAGCATGGTATCGTTCGATTGTTTGCTCTCATAGATTATGGTAAGACGACCCATAGTTCACAAGGAATACTGATATGCGGGATCCGTTCGGCTGACCTTGCTCTGCCTCTTCTGCAGCGGAGGATCATCGAAACATGCCCAGTCTCTGGGGTTCATCCTCGCAATTTTGGGAATGGTACTGGTTCTCAGTATCATCATCCTTCTATGTTATCAATTCGTGCAGAAGAGACGCCGACTAGCCCTCGAACGTCACATCTCTGCCGGCGAAGCTGATATTGAAAATTTCGGACTACATCAAATCAGGGTTTCGCGGGAGGTTCTTGATCAAATCCCCACATACGTCTACCCCTCTGTCAACATCCCCTCAAAAGCGTCTTTGAGAGGCAGCCCTAGTCAAACCCAGATCACACTGGCAAGAGCCGATGATACAAGTTCGATACCATCTGTTGACCACAAAGAGCCTCGTCTAGTCTACAAGGAGACAGAAATGCAAGCAAGCAGTTCCACCATCAGACTACCGGAAACTGCAATTACGTGTGAGAGCAGTCGACCTCCCTCTGCGCGCGAGTGCAGCGGCTCTGCCAGCAGGTCACAGCCCACCTGTGCAATCTGTCTTGATGACTTTGTCTCGGGAACAACGATCGTGCGGGAACTTCCATGCGGCCATATCTTTCATCCGAGCTGCATAGACGTTTCCCTTACGCAGATAAGCAGTCTTTGCCCGCTGTGTAAGAAAAGCGTTCTACCGGCGGAATACTACACGACGTCTGCGGACGCGATATGGTAGTTCATCGGGATTATGTTGAGACTGAGCATTGATTGCTGGATTCTACTCGATTGGGGATATATTGTACGGTGTTGCGGTGGGATGATACCCTTGGTTTATGAAAATACTTTAGGTTTATTTAGGTCTTGCTCATCATATAGATGATAATGCATACAGATGAACAAACCAGACTATTCAAAGCGTCTCAGGCCCGACAGTCATTCACCCATTGTTCGAGGTGTAGTACGCACATCAAGGCGCGTCACGCTCAATCTCGAATGAGTCCAGGCCTGTCCTCCCAGCAGATAGAAATGTCGCCCTCATAGAATCCGTCGCTGTAGTGCGCATTCTCGCGTCATCTGCGAGAAGGGCCCTTCCTCTGGGCATTCCCGAATGCAATTGTCCAGTGCGTCTCATCTCAAACGCAGGTAATTGACCTCCCTAAGGTTCTCCGCCAATCTACCAACATCGGCATCAGCATTAGCCAGAATCAGACAAAAGAGGCCAAACCTACCAAGCAAACTTGTCATGCTTCCCCTTCACTCTCACATCGAGCACCTCCTCATGGAAATTCCCTTCCCTCCTCGCCCTCTTCAACCTCTTAACCTCATGCTCCTCCAGCCGTCTCCCCACAATCTCCTCCAACTCCTTCCGACTAATCTTCTCCCTCGCCTTGGTCTCCTTGCTCGCTTTGATCCGCGGCTTGAACCGCGCCTGCATGCGGATCCGCAACGTCGTCTCAAAACCCAGACTGCCCGCGTCGCCGCGCACCTCGATCACGCGCCCGCTCGCCTTGCTGCTCGACGACGCCTCCCGCACACACACAAATGCCTCCTTGTCGCCTCCGCCCGTCTGCAGCGCAAACGTACCCGGAATATCGGTCGAGGGGAGCGCAACGAACGATTCGTAGTGCGAGATTGCGGACGCGGACGCACTCAGGATCCCGTACGTATCGCAGCTTAGGTATCTGTCCCCATCACTTATCAGTATTCCCCCTCCCTTTGCTATTAAGACAGGGGGCGACGTACTTCCCATGATGGCCCTTAAAACTCAACGACTCCGTCCCCGCCACCCTCGTCGCAACCCACACCTGCCGCACATCATGCGGCTCCGCCGTCGCCGCATCCCCCTCGATCAGATTCTCCAGCTCGCTGGCAAACACCTTCCCGTTCGCATCGCTCGCGATACACGTCGGCGGATCGGACGGCAAAACGAGCACCACCGGGCCTGCGATATCCGATGGCGTGTCGGCCGATACCCAGCTCTGGTCTTCGGCGCTGTCTTCGAGGTGCTGGGTTTCCTCTGCGGGGTCCTTGTGCTTGCGCCTGTGCCTGTGCTTGTGGTTGTGTCGGTGCCGAATTTCGATTCTGTGGAGGCGATTTCGCGGTGTTTGCGCTTTTTGGGCTTGTCGCCTTTGAAGGTTAATGGCTTGACCATTTTTTTATTTTCGTTTCTTTTTTTATTGTTTTGGGGCGGGTTGAGGGACGGGTCTGGAGGTGAGGGCGGGGAGTTGTGAGCGTTGGAGGATTACGGAATACTGTATTGGAGGTGGAGCGGAGTGGATTGGGATGCCGTCGTTTACAACAACATCAATGGTCTTTGCTTTCCTGAGTCTGATTTTAGTTTTACAAATTATGAATTGCTGATACAGAAGTTAAATCGAACAGATCAATGAGCGCCAAGATTCTTGTAAATTACTTAAGGATATTGTGTTGTTGTGTGGTAGGCCAGACCGGATACGTCATTGCTACCTTGGGGGCTGATGGCACCAACAAGTCACCACTCCCTCAAGGTCCTCGTTCCCCCTACACGTATAACCAGACCGGCCCTCCCATAAGCCTGGGCCAGGACTCTGCTAGTACTTGAGATACATCTCTTTCTATTATTCAAGGAATAATATCATCGTATATGTCATAAATCATTACATGAAGAATGTTCAAAGCTCAGTTCTGACCCAATCCAGAATTTTGTCTGACCCCAACCCAAGTCTATCCAATCAACCCTCTAGTCGAAGACAATGGCGGCCTTGATGGCAGACTTGTTCCTCATCGACTCCAGGCACTGCTCCCACTCTTCGATCTTGAAGACCTTGTTCACGATGCCGTTGACCTTGACCTTGCCCGTGTCAAGGTAGTCGATGGCAGCAGGGAACTTGTACACCTCGGAGAAACTGCCGACAATGTTGATCTCGTCACCGACTAACGTGTTTGTTAGCAAACAGTGGGCGAAAACAAGGGGAATGAAACTTACAGATCTTGGCAGGGGGCCATGAGACACGGTCCTTGTTGGCGTACACACCGTACACGACGAGCTTACCGCCGCGACGGACATAGTTGATGGAGTCGTTGAGGATGTTGAGGTTACCAGTGGCCTCGACAACGATGTCAAATCCGTACGGGTTCTCCGACTTGACCTTCTCGAACTGAGCGGAGGGGTCCTTGCGGGAGAGGGCGACGTATTCATCACCGGCACCGAGGTTCTTGGCGAGGTCCATCTTGAGACCCTCAGGAGCAACAACGGTCACCTTGCATCCACCGTTCAGACGGAGCATCTGGGCGAGGATCTACGCACAGTCAGCTTCCAGTCATGTCACAGAGCTACCAGACCTGAAACCACATACCAGACCAGTGGGGCCAGCACCGAACAGCAGAACAGAAGAGCCCATCTTGGGGGCGATCTTGTCCAGACCGTGGGCGGCGCAGGAGGCAGGCTCCAGGAGAGTGGCGTCGACATCGGAGAGGTTCTTGATTTTGAAGACTCTCTTGGCTACAGTCCGATGTGGTTAGTTGCAAGATACTGTGGTTGGGTCGAGAATATACAACATACCAGGGTAGGCACAGTACTCGGCAAAACCGCCGTTCATGGTGACACCATGAGCCTCAAAGTGCTCGCAGAACAGCTCATCACCGCGACGGCAGTAGAAGCACTCGCCGCAGAGCTCAGAGTTATCGGCAACAACACGCTCACCAATCTCGAAGCCCTTGACCTTGGAACCGACAGCAGCGACAACACCAACAGTTTCATGGCCTGCAGCGGTTAGTCTACTGTTCGAGAACCACGGCGATTGTCGAGGAAGCAGGCATACCAGGAACCAGGGGGAACTTGGCAATGAATTCACCCTCGTGGATGTGAAGATCGGTACCGCAGACACCGCAAGCCTTGACCTTGATCTATACATGCATATTGGTCAGCCATCCGATTCTGAGGTGTGCAGAATATCGATTGGGTTGACAACGTACCAAGACATCGTTCTCACGGAGAGTGGGCAGAGGAACCTGGACAACGCTGTGGACCTCAGGCTTCTCATATCTGAGAGCCTTCATGGTCTGAGGGAGATTGGAACCCATTGTGACTGATGTGAGGTGGGATTAAGCCTTGCGATCTATTAACCCCCGCCAGTCAATGTCAGATACTCAAGGCAAGACTCGATGAAGAGAACAAAGGAAGCAAGTTGAACTTACCAAGAAAGGAGGATAAGGGAAGCAGGAAAGAAAGCGAAGGGTATGAAGATGAAGAAGAGGAAGCTGGAGAGAAGATGAGGAAGAAAAGAGAAGACAAGAGGAGGAAAGTCAAGGCTACTTATTGTTTCAAAGGATCCAAATCCCAAACAGTGAAGGAGGGGAACCGAGGGGGAACAGCAAAATCTAACCTCAGGCATGCATTTTCCGGTGCCAATGAAGTCAGACTTTCCATCTTTTCCCCCATTCATCAATCTACCGGACCAGGGCAGGTCAAGCACCAACTGTATCGGAATCAGCCATCAACGGAAGCTGGTGCTAGACTCGGGACACCACGCTCCATCTCAGTGGGTCTAGCACAAACAGCCCAGAGTTCCACTGTCAGGTGATGTCCTTGTGCCTCCAGCCCGGTTCCCCGAAGCTACTGGCGAAAAGATAATCTTTTTTTGCCATTTAGTCTGATTATTCACGCGGGTGGTAATCTTTATTTTCACGTTGATCAATTCATTTTATATCTGCGATATCAATTGACTAGTCGAAACTCGATCAATTGATACCAGGCAGTGACCAACGTGTACACTGCACCGTGTATCGTGTTCCAGTGGACCATACCCAAATTACACTCCACCGGTATTCCCGATACGATGTCTCCATCTCGACTTTATCAGAGCAAACCTTCACAAAACATCAAGGCACACAAGAGCAAGTGGATCAAATGACTTCAGCTGGAGACTATAGCTCCATATTAACTCTTGACCCTTGGGATCCATATAGGCACTAACTATCACGCCCAATTTGTCTTCACTTCCCAACTACGTACAAAGCACAAACAGTGGAAATCAGTTCCTCGGTGGAAGAGCTCCCCTCCCGTATCCGCAATGACGTTCCTCCCCCACAGACTCTCCTAGAATGTCCCCGTTTCGGCCCCGCTATGACCTCGTCATAGGCAAACAGGTTGGTTGTCGTTGTCGGAGAGCATGTCGCTGTTCCTGACTAGATAGATAGATAGGTAGAAAGTAAACAACATCAATAATATGGGCGGTATGATTCACCTGCCACTATCAACGAGTCAACCTCCAAGAACAAATTAGACAAATACTGTCAGACACCAGTCCTGACCTTTCCACATGCCCATCCGAGTCTACTCTTCCCCCAGGATCTAGACTACCTAACCTGTACTTCGTACGCGCACAGGGATATCATCCCACACCGCTTCTCCACAACAGCTGTCTACTACACTACTGTAGTCTACTGCAGGTGGGATGCTGATGCTCCCTGACTGCGACAATAATGCACCGCATACCCGGACAGTAACTGCACTGCACTGATCCTTCGTCGGGTATCGACTATCCTACCATGTTTGTTTATTTCTGTCCCGGAACCCCAAAAGTCAATGGCTCGGCTGCTCGCTCGCCAGTGTCCCATGACCTGAGAACAGATCGAATCCTTACACCGATTAAGCATGAATAGATGACCTGGATCTTCACTCTTCGGACATATCGACTGTCAACGGTGAGATTTTCGGGTCTAGAACTCTTCTAAACCCCACGCCAATCTGGGGGCGCTCAATAATGAGACCGCTAGACGCGTCTCACCACTATTTTGATGACCGTCTCTTTGCTTTTCTCGGAGTCCGACATCAGGTGACAGACTAGAACAGCTACGACCATGAGACAGGTATGACTAGACAGGCAGAAAGGTACGACGATCAGAGAGATAGCGGCTAGCGCTCATTGAAGATATATGACATCCCTCGACTAAAAATGGCATTGACAAGGACTGATGATTAGCTCCTTACAGGGTAACCTGCCCCTGAGGTGTAACAAGGTATCTATTCGGAGTTTCCCACAACATATTCAATCACTTCAGTCCAAACCCTTCGCTGTTCCCCACCGCTTCCCAGAGCATCCGCTCCAATTTCTCCCGCGTGGGATATCGATACAGGCCCAGCGTGTTAAAACACGTTCGTGCGATAGGATACCGCGACGCATCGTCTCCGAGGCATGCCAGCCGGATCGTAAGACTTGTCGCCCCCATGGCCGGTATCCGGTCACTGCCTGTAATGAACGAAAGGATCTTCCTCTGCGCCTGGGGGTCGGTATTCTCGAAGAATTCCCAAAACCAACGAACAACCGGAATGTTCTCCGGCCGGGGATGAGACCAATTGTCGTATGTAGCAACCGCTCGAAGCGAGGCAACATCCAGCGCTTCGTCCGAGCCGCGAACAAGTAACTCGATCTCCTCGGGTCGGAACAGCGAGAGTGCGTTGCCGCCACACACGGTAAAGAACCCTCTTTTGAAGGGCTCAAATTGTCGAGTGACTGCTGTGTCTAGCATGTAGTGAACATACAATTCCACAAATTCCCGTCGATTCGCATTGGTGACCGGCCTCGTTTCGCCTCCAGGGCAGAGAGGCACCGCAACCGCCTCGCCATAGCGATCGACGTGAGCCACAAAGTCATAACAGAATGTATCGGCAACATCTCCATCAAACTCCAAAAGGGCCCGAAGCCCTTTGGCGAGTGCAGGACGGTACTCTGCCAGGTCATCCAATGTACATTTGTAGTTTGACCGGGCACTCGATGGTTGCGGCCCGTTGGTCTGCGGAGCAGCAGCCAACAGCTTTTTGAAGGCAAACGGCGGAAGCGCAATGTCTAGAATCGTTGAATTGTAGATAGCCAGTCCAAGAAGCACTCCAACCAAGAAAAATTGTTCAGATGATTCGAAGCAATAGGGGTTAAAATAGCAGAATTGGGAGTCCTCGTCATATAGAAAGAGTCCTGTATCAATTAGCTTGAGCTCTCTTCCGTTTTCGTGTGCAACGCCGTCGACATACCGTGATGAGGGTCAAAAATTTCCCGAACAAGCAGAAGAAACCATTCTTTGCGAAGGCCTCCCGCATCAACACCCTCTTCACCAACGAATTCAATGCGTAGGCCCTTTTTTATCTCTTCTTGGTTAGAACCCACCACTTCGCTAACACTCCGTAGACTGTCGTCAACCAGACAATCCCGCCGGACCTTCAATACGAGATACTGACTTATCGCCTTTCGACTCAGTATACTATTGAAGAATGCCTCCCGAGCTTTCACTTCCATTTGGCGACGAGCGTCATGTTCCATTATATGTATTTTCGCCCAAATACTGAGGAAGTAAGGGTATTGACAGAACGAGAACTTGGCCATTTTTGACTCCCAGGCTTCGAAATCCGCCACGAGGTCAGAATAATCCAGCAGTGAATTATAGAAAGCGCTGATCGGGACCTTATGTCCTCGGCGATTCGCCGCAGCTCTACTTGCCGAGGAGCCTGCTTCCTGGCCAAATGCTGCATCTGGCTTCCGAGCAACACTCGTATCGTTTGCTGTAAATAGCAGAGACATCACCCTTGCTGCCGCCCGTATCTGCCAATCATCACCGTACACCACGGGCTTAATCCGCTTGTCTTTCGCTGGCTTGCTGGGGCCTCTACCATTAATCGCAGCGTGCAGTTCCGCAGGAGTATTCCCAGCAGCACTGCTGAAACTGGGTACCAGACTGTTATCATTTTCGATAGCCTCGCTGCGTTTCCGTCCTTGCTGCCGACTAAGACGGTAAGTAACGAAGCTGCCCACCAGGTCCACTAATTTCTCAAACTGTCCAGTAGGAAGGCGTGAAAACCAGGAGACGAGATAGTGATGGCAATCATTGGGCAAGTGTGCCATTAAGCCCAGTATGCGCTTGACGATGCCAAAATGATGGCCTGGGGGTCCACTACGGAGCGCAGAAGGTCCCAATTGTTCTTTGCGGGAAGGTCTAGCATCACGGGGCGGTATCCTCTCACCACTGTCCTTTGGATGGGACGGTCGCCTGCCACCTTGGGATTGGGTGAGATTGACAGGTCGCGAGGAAGAGCTCGATGGGTATATCAAGGGATTAACGAGGAGTATCAGAAGGAACCGTATCTCTTCAGGTTTGTGTAGTGGTCGTCGTGGCCGCTTGACCAGATTTTCCGCAGCTTTGAGAAAGGTTCTGTGAAGATGTAGACGTGATTCTGTAATGTCTCTCTCAATCGCACACATGTCCACAGAGTCCCATAACTTGCTCCGCCCGTGACATTCATCACCACGCTCGTCAACGGGCCTCATGGCTGTCCAGCGCTCGACCCATGACGAACCAGCTGTCATGATCAAATGATGCCACTCTGCCAATTGAGACCAATTGATCCGCGGACTCCTCGAGGTAACTGCTTTCGAAGGATTTGAAGATTTTCCCTTCGAATGTGAATGGCCGAGGCCATAGTTTGGGTCCCCGTCATTCATCCACCAAGAAGAATTTTCGGCTAGGTCTCCAATCAAAAGGGTCTTTGCATCGATCTCAAATGCTGGATGCGCATGAGAGAGCGCCTCATTGCTCTCCACCTTCGGTTTTGGAGGGCTATGCTCAGAACTGGCGTTCTCAGCCATTAAGGGAGGCTGTGATGTAACAAAGGACGCATTCAAACTGTCGCAGCCTTTGAACGAAGCTAGTATGTACTCTTCTAGGGGCTTGAAGATGTAAGGGTGACTAGGTCGATCCTTGATGTCCCGCTCAGACGGCCTTCCTACTTCGCGGGGCAAGCGTTCGCCTTTGGGTGGAATCTGCACGTCCGAGTTGTTGCGACTACGTAGCCGAGGATCCCTAACGTCCGCATGTGGCGCCAAGGAGCTGGCCGTAGGCTTCAAAGGATTTGAGACTCCGTTGAACCAATCTGGTTTCCCGGGTTTACTGGACGCAGACGAACTGCGCGCTCGAGCATCCACGCGCGGCTCAGACAGTAAACCCGAACCATGGTCATGTGTATGCGCACGATTTTCATCCCGCCCTATAGCCGAGGGTTTTTCAGATCGATTACCTGACGTGAAGCCTTGAGGCACAGGCGCGTCTAAAAGCCGTCGCAAATAAGATGAAACGCAATTATCGATTATGGACCGTGTCCGTTCCACGGAGAGAGGAACCGCTGGTTCTGCAAGTTAGCCCAGATCAACTGTAAGAGTCACCAGGTAAATTCGGCACACCTTTTCTCGGTATGGACAGACCAGACTTCCCATCCTTCCGCGAGCTCCCTTGACCCCCAAATCCTTCGAAGTGTACGGCTCCAGATCATTTACAGTCAAGCACTCCGTACACCGGAAAACCTTTAACTCCCGCGGCCATCGAACAGTAGAGTTGCACGTCATGCATTTTCCTGTTGAGATCGCCTCTGCACCCGGCAACGGGCGTGAGGAGCCTTTCCTGGGGCTACTAGAAAGCACATCGGGAAGATGCGTCACCTCAACGTCGTCATCGTCGGAGTCAGAGTCTAAGAAACCCGGGTTCGGGTTGCGTCTTTTGCCGCCAAAGGCGGACGGAAACGGGTGACTGATCGAACGAGAATGACCTCGATTGTGGGGAGGCGAGGTCGCCGGGTTGCCGGTCATCGTCGGCAGGATGGGAGCATCGTGCTGGATGTGGCGTTGTGCACTCCTCTCCGCTGAAGAAGAGAGAAGGGCGGTGTTCGGATAGACGCTGGAGGAGTTCAGAGTCGGAGGATGAGGATGGTTATACGCGGACCGCGACGGCATATGGGCGCATTAGCTTGTGTATATCTGGTGACTGTCTGAGCTGGAACAACTCCAGGCGTGCAATAAGTGCTTCGTAGACTACAAGCAGACGTAGGTTAATTCAAGGCCTGGTAAACTAGGTATTGCACAAGTGTCGTCTGATCAACGGGAGTATGTGCAGGAACCGCAGCGACGCTTGTTAGAGATAGAAAGGAGGCAACATAGGTACTAGGTAGATAGGAGAGTTGGAGGTATGAAGGAGGTTTAAACTGGGTCGGATCCTGCCGAAAAAAACCTGGAACAGATCGACTGAACCAAGTGACCTCAGTAACCAAAAAGGGAACCAAAAAGAGGTAGCCGCACTCGATGCAACTCTAATGATGATGATAAGTGGTGGATGGTTGATGAGTAAGAGAGCGATTAGTCAGGGGCAGTGGTAGAAAGCGGTTAATACCTTATTAATGTCACCTTGAGCTTCTTTGAAGCTAGAAGAGTGGGAACTTCAGCCACAGTGAGCCAGTATCAACGAATATATAGTTTCGAGAGATCTTTAAGACTGTCAAGGTAGTCATAGGCATTCTGGAAGTGTGAGAAAGAAACCAGGATGAAAGAAATTATCAACTAGATCATGTCTTGCCAACTCTTGCGACAGCCTACCTCGGCGTCGCCCTACTGGACCACGGTTATGGGGTCGACCCGCGCCTTAGGCGCTGGTCTTGGATGTGACGCTCGGATGTCACGAACTGCTGCTATTTTGGGCGCTGAAGCTCCGACTAGTCTCACAATCTCTGACAACTTGGGCTAAGTGGTATCTTAGTTAACCAAAAAACCATGTTCCGGGTTGCTGCAACATCAGCATGTCCGAACGTCTTCCACTTGCGGCTATTCGGCGTCAAACCGGTAATTGACACCACCTGCAGTGCATATCAATTACAACAGGTTGCAGATTGACGTTGGTCTATGTTTAGCCTACCAGTCCACTACAAGCTGCAGGGAGCGTCCTGAACCAAGAAAAGAGTCGTCGTACTTCGTTAAGGGAATCATAGAAAGAAACAGAGAAAGGTTTTTGCTAACATCCGATCCGAAAGATCTGTTGCATTAGGCTCGCACCCTGATGATTCAATGACAAAGTCACAGAAGCGAGTTTTTGTCGGAATAAACACATCCTCGAAGAGAGAAATTTTCCATAACCACCAACCCCCATGAACACCCAATGTTCTACATCTAACGGTATCTCCAGTAGCTCTGGGTGTTGTGGATCTTCCAGGTGTGGCGACGGCCAGCACGGGTGTTGTTGTAGCGGTGGCCCTTGTTGATACCACGGGACTTCTTGCCGGTGGCAGTGAGACCACGGCTCTCGCGGTGCTGTACAGGAAATGTTAGCAAGAGTGCAGCGAAATTCCCAGAATCGCGCCGAGTTGCACGAGCATTGTAGACGAACCTTGTGGACAGCGTTGCAGATCCAGTTGATGCGGGGATCGCGGCGGATAGCCTTGTGCTGGGGGTCAACGAGGATGACCTCGAAGTACTTGTAGGTGGAGTCCTGGTTGATCCAGTAGGAGTTCAGGACACGCAAGTTGGCGCAGCGACGACCGACACGCTCCTCAGCGGTGGCACGCAGAGCACGCTGGTACTTGAGCTGGTTAACACCCATGTTGGTGGGCTTGCCTGTAATCCGAAGCCACATTAGTCCAATCTCTTATATTCAAAATCTCCTGGATTCGCGAAACATACCGTAGGTGGCACCCTTGGGCACAGGCCTCTTACGGCCACCACGTCTCACACGGACACGGTAGACAACATAGCCCTGCTTGGCCTTGTAGCCGAGACGACGAGCCTTGTCGGGGCGAGAAGGACGGGAAGCACGGTGGATAGCGTTCAGTTGACGGAGCTATATTGATGCACTCTCAGCAAAGTTCAACGAGTGTATAGCAAGACAACACAAGTCCAAATATAACTTGTCTTGTGTGCCACATCCACATCATCCGCCGGCGGGAAAGAAAAGCAAGCTTTGTGAGCGAAATTTGCGATCTTCGAAGCCGAGCCCAGCAACACCCAGAATCAAAAAAAAATTCTCTTTTTTCGAGGGTATCCTATGGCAAAGCAAACGAGGTTTTTTCTCACCTCCCGGCGGGATGTCAAATGTTCGAAATTGAGGGGGGGATTCTCACCTCCCAGCAACGGACACGCAGCAGGAAGCGAATCACGTCGGACTGCTTCTTCTTTTGGATCTCTTCCACGTACTTGAGGGCACCCATCTGGAATCGATCAGCTTTGACGAATCAGACAATTGCGAAGACATTGAATCGGATTATTGGAATCAATTCGAGGCAAATTCTATCGCAATTTGAGGGGGCGCGAATACGTACCTTGTCGGCGTGGCAGGTCGTCGGTTGTCGTCGATGTCGCTCTGGAAAGATTGAAGGGAAAGATGATCTCTTCTGCGAGGTGTTGTGTGTGGGACACTAGCAAATTAGGCGAGCGCGAGCCTAACCGCATCCACCAACCAGCTTTGACACTAACCCTTGTTTATGCCTAAGGTGTCAAATGTGGATCAGAAATCCTCCTTTTCCTTATCAGGTTAGGTCACTGCATTCTAGGTCCAGCCCTAAGGCCGCAAGGCAACAACAGCTGGGTGTGGTTCGGCACGTGCCCTATTCTGATGTACTAGGAGCGCAAGGAGGAGAGGCAAAAGTTTATCAATTGCAAGCATGAACAATTTTATTTCTTGTCTAAATGTAGAGTTCAATTTTATTACCCGTAGTAAGAAAATTTCAATATTCTTCGTTTCTGTTTCGCAAGGAAAAGGAAAAAGAAAAGTCTCTCAACTGTTCCAACCCTGCAAACCATCACGACTGCACCAAAGTCATTCGTAACTATCATTGTGGCACCGTGTACAGAACAGGACAGTAGTATGGTAATGAATGTGAGACGGCACGCAAGAAGCACCTGTATGTAAGATCGTAGAAGGAAACGAAGAGGAGAACAAAGCGCAAGTGCTGATGTACAGCTGCTTGAGTGTAGTCGGAAAAGCAATCAGGGAAAGCCATCAATTCATGAGTTGAGGTCTATTAGGTATCAGCATAGCGACAGATCGTAAATCTTTTAGCAGATCCGTCACAGGTTTTCTAGAGCGTTGGAAGAAAGTGGCAAAAGCCGACGAGAGAGATCGAAAAGGAACGACTGGAGAAATGGGAATCACTGAATAAAGAACACTTTCGAAAATAGGTGGAACCCCAACAGAACATGGAGATGGAGAAGAAAAGTACAGTGTGCATGTCATTTCACTGAATCAACAGCGAACATGATGTATAGGAGACAGCGATACCTTGAACCAAGGGTACGATGGCTCTCATTCAAGATCCAAGTGACAGGCCCTGGAACCGGGTGGTCCAGTCATTTGGCGCATTATGAACTCGAGACGGACCACCGCCCACGCCAGGGCTATGCGCGGCATAGTCGATATAGCCAGTGTCCAAGGTCCCACCATAAGCGTTTGGCGGGTATGCAGAGAAGGGATCGGCACTGGGTGCGAGTTCACCAAGGCCGGAATCAGGCTGTCGGGCACCATGAGGGAAAGGCTGATAAGGATCTGTGTAGGTGCTGCGCAAGGGCCCGACCTTATTGCCCACCGTGTCTCTGCCAACATCCATGCCGTCTCGAGCTGCGCCGTACACTCGGCCGTCGCCATTTCCAACACCTCCCGGAGGTGGTAAACCAGCAGTTGGCGGAGTCACAAAGGATGCTGGGTTAATTGCCGACATCCAGATCCTGGTCTTGTAGATCTTGAAAAGATCAGTCACAAGAGAGTTGAAGTTGATGTACGAATCCGCAAAGTAGTAGAAAGTGAGTTTCTTCCAATCCCTGTAGTCGCAGTTAGTACAATGAATTCGATGGCCCGGACGTAATCCTTACATTTGAAATTCGGCATCAAGAATCTCCATGTTGAGTCTGTGCTCGGCGACTTTCTGCTGGCAGACCCGCTTTGCTTTCGCCTCGTTGCCCTCTTTGTCGCGGAGCGTCAGGATCTCGTGGTTCTGCGCAAGTCTCTTGATGAGCTTAGGCTTGATATCTCCTGCTAAATCCTGCACACCATGCGGACCATGAGGACCCATGCCGCCGATAGTGCTTCTTCCGCTCAGGGCTGGAACACTCCCAGTCACGTTCGCGGTTCCGTTCTGGCCTTGCCGAGAGAACATCATCAGCCATTTGTAGTGTTCCTCTGCATACTGCTGTTTCAGCTCCCGGGCTCTCTGCAAGGATACATTCGCATGCTGGATAGTGCCTAAATCCGTGCCACGATCCGCTTCAACAATAACCAAGTCACCGGGTTTCACCTGCAAGCCAGTGTCTTCTTGAATGTAGAAAACGTCGGCACGGTGGCACTTGAAAGTCACGATATACAGAAGCTGATTCTGATGGCCATGTGCAAGACCAGACTGGTGGCGGCCGTAAGCGTTCGGCATCGTATAAGCCTGGTGAAGCGAAGTAGGAACTGCAGAGGGTCCTTCGGCAGCACGAAGAGCTTGGTCGCGAGCAAAGTAGGATTCTGCAAATTGACGAGCTCGTAAATATTCCATTTCCATTTCATGTTCCTCGGGACGAGAAGCCACATGCAAACGGTGATACTCACGATTCTGGCTCTGGGCATTTGAAAGGGAACCATCACTGATATTGACAAGACGGTCTTCCCGATCTCCCAATCCAGCCCGGGAGGTGGCCGCTGCTTGAGAGTCGCCAGAAATAGAAGCGTGCCGAATGGGAATGTCTGCGAAAGAGTGTCGCCTGCTCTGAGGAATATCGGCGAGGCTGCCAAATCCAAGGGAAGTCTGCCAATTGGCCTTACGAATATTTTCCAGCGCACGGTTCTCAAGCGGGGTGAGAGTGGAAGGCAGCTGCTTCTCGAGGTTCCCCGAATGCTCGGAAAACCTTCTACGCAGACTGCTGTGAATGTTGCTATAACCGGTATGTCGCCCACTTCGTCGAGATCCTCCACAGCAAGGTCCGTCTCCTCCGGACGGTTCCACGAATCCGATGGAGGTTGCGCAAGTTGCTACCAACTGCATATCCACTGGCAGTGGACGCAGAAGACATGGCGCGATCTCTAAGTCTGTTATCCAGTTGACCTGCAGCCTGGCGCAGAATTGCATTCTCCCGCGAGAGTTGCTCAATTGTGCGCGCCTGATTCGCCGAATAGGCGTTGAGACTACCGTCGGAACTGTTACCGCTACCGCCATCGTCATCATCTTCACGAACACGACCGAGAGTGGCAGGGTCATGACCAAGTTCTCCAAGGAGGCTTGGCCGAGACGATCGGTGTTGCAGCGCGGAGTACTGTCCAGCATTCCGAGCCCGCCCACCTGGATACGGCGCCGCCGACTTATTGGCCATCGTGTTCAAGTATTCTGGATCCATCTGTCCCACGGAGTATGACTGCGAGCGATAGGTCTTGGGCGTGGGGTGAAGCGGGATAGAGAACGGGATCGCCGACTCTCCAGATGTAGTGCGGGCAGTGGGACTCAGCAACTCATCCGCAAAATAGTTGTTAGCAGCAGACGCATTAGACATCGTAGGCGACGGGACAATCTCTGAGAGTCGGGGTGGCGGCTCTTTTCTGGATTCGGAATTCCAAATGCCTGTGCCCCATGTGAACGAGTTGTTTCCGACGTGGTTCCAGTTCATTGGGCTGCCCAATCCAGGGCTTGACCCCGAAGGCCATCCGGTGTGATCGGTTGCGGGGCTGGTCGGGTTAGATGCACCGGTGCCTGAGATCAACGAACCAGTAGTCAGAGACACCTTTCGGGGCATATTGAGGGGAATCTCGTTCAGCCATGAAGTACGGCGAGTAGGTTTGGGTGCAGAAACAGGTACAGATGTTGACGGCAGATGCGAGTGTTCTACGTCGTCATCTGAAGATGCCAAAGCTTCCGAATCGGGCGTCGAACGACGGACTCCAGGATGGGTTTTTTCAAGCCTGGCTGACGCATTACTGGACACTGCTGGCGGATCGGCAGGTTTAGATTCCTGCGTGGACTTTTCAGACGACGCGGCCATATTGTCCTGTAAGCTCAACCCTATCTCAAAGCGTAGATTGCGAGAAAGGCTGAATCACTGGCGACGGCGCAGTCGTGACTGAGACTCCAGGGACTAAAACAAGCAGGTCAGTAGGAGTCCAGAGAAAGCTAGCAAGTAGACGAGATGAGTAGGAGCCCAAGGTCAGAAATCCAGACGAAGCCTAACTAAACACTTCGGGCCGGACAGCAACAGCAGATACAGATAAGGAAGCCCACACCGACGGGTTGAGTAGAATACAGCACCGAGGCTGTGTAGCGTATGAGGATGGGATGAAGTCTTTCAGGTGCAATGTAAAAGATATCGACTTACTGATATCCGAAAATTGGTGATGCTTGGATGTAGTGACAGAAGGGAGGGAGTGATTTTGACTTTTCCAACACCACTCTGTGTGCAGCGCCGAGAAGTAAAGCAGCACAAGGTATTCACTAGAAGAAGATATGAACCAGAGCAACTCGTGTATAGGTCAAATTTCAAGAGAATGAAAACAAATAAGAGGAATAGGCCCTAATTGACTTTGCAAATGTGTTGGAAGGAGCGTGGACCCTGAGGACGAGCTTCGGTGACCTTAGCACAATATGAGCTTGTTGCATGATATGTTAGTTCAAGGTTGCACCAGTGAAATTGAAGTGTCAATGAAAATGAGATGAAGCACGCATAGCATGAAGATAATGTTTAAGTCAGATACGCAAAGAATGGCAGGGTAAATAGCAGACAGATGCATAGGATAATGTCTATACTGAGCGATATGAAGGGAAGTAGCTTGAGGTGGCGATATTGAAAGCTATGGAAGGTTCAGCACCAACGGACCTCACAGCCGGGGCCTCAAATAATGATATGGACTATTCAGCCCAAATCGAGCAACGGCCAATGAGATCTGACTTCAAGGGTCTGTGGCAATTTTTGGCACCTGTCGGCCCAAGGAACAGTTCAATGGTAGGTTTCGACCCACTGACTGCAATTTCAAGGATAGAAGTAGGAAAAAAGAGGTTTCGGCTTGTTTACATGCCCGTATGCCTCACTGCGCTCGACTTGATCGACGTTTGTTTGAGACACACTGAAGTTGGGATGCAGTAAAAATCGCGGTTGGAGCTCCGCCAGGCGAAGATGTAGACGCCCCAGAAGAAAGCCACGATTGAGAAAATCATGCGCGTGAAAATGGTTGACATTTTTGTGGGGATGCGGGGTGTAAAACGGGGTAAAGCATGATATGAAGACTCAACACATACCGTAGAAAGTAACAATGTACAATTCCCCCTTTTAACGCAGAAGCCCTTTATGGACCTGGGTATCACTGGCACTTCTCAACGAATACAAAAGGCAGAAAATTTCGTGAACAAGTCTGTGCGAGCGTTCCGATGTATGAGCAAGCTTCCGACATATCAAACGTCGGAGAATTACAAGTCTAGAGTAAAAAACATCCCTTTATTTTCTATCCAAACCCAAACGAAGCCAATCCCTCGACGATGAAAGAACGTTTGTGGCCGTAATCGAACTGAAAAAGCAAGGCGACGAAAGAAGCGACCAGGCTTCCGGTCTAAACGAGCACAGAAGTTTGCGGCGAAGGCGTTGCGCGAAGATGGGGTCTCGATTGTAGCTCGTCCTTCAATGCTCGAAGAGAAACAGTAGGCTGTTTTCTCTTGCTGATAACTTCGTTTATTTGTTTTTATTATTTTCGACACTTTTTGGATCGGGACTGAAATTTGTCCACAGAATCTATAAAGTAGTCGGATCGAAATCGCGACAGGGTTGATGTCACACCTGGCGCAGTATTGGAGATTAAAGATGTGGTGCGAGGGTGGTAGCGTGACGGATGACGTTGTGAAAGCACTCTTGACGCCTGAACTGTGGGCAGATCTGCTTAGGAGCAGCGCATCTTGGAAGGAAGGAAGTATGAGGATTGCGATCGCCTATTGATGAAGCTGTTTCCGTTGCGATTAGATGCGATACAGACGATAGGTGGTTACAAAAAGAAGAAGACAAAAAAAAGAAAGTGTTGATCTTACTGCTTTGTCGCGGAGGGGAATGCGTTGAAGGCGGAGAGGAAAAGCGGCGCAGGTATCGCGAGGACGGGTCTGTGGTGAACTGTCGGAAACGTAGCTGAGTTGGAAAGGTTAATTCCAAGGTTAATTCGACCGGCGTAGTCGATCTAGAATGCGGTAGCCGATGCAGGGGATTGAAGGTTATGTTGTTCGGTGTCCCAGATCAAGGAGTGGATATTAATGGAGGGAGGAAGAATGAGAACGACATACGACATAGGATGTACGGAGTAGAGGGGGGACGGGGGAAAGGAGAAGAATATGAAAGGAACACGGCGGAGAGACAGACAAGGAAGAATCGAAAGAAAAGAGGAGTAAGGTTGTACACCCCAGTCAAGTTGCAAGTCTAAGGGAGGTACTAAGTCATCCAAAGTAGAAGAACCTAAGGGAAGGTAACTTAATGTAAGTAAACTAATGAACCTCAGGCCACTTTTGGGCTTTTTGGGTTTGGGGGTGACAAGAGGACTAGAT